TTGCTGTACCTGTACCTCTACCAGGTCGACCCTCTCCGACACTAAACAAGGTGTTTTGTCGTACTCCTGGCATGGGATATGTGGTCCTAATGCATCTATCTGTTGAAACACGCCTGCGGCTGTCCCTCTGTAAAGAACGATCGGTTCATCTGTCGGGTTTAAGATGCGCAGCGGTACTCTCAAGGTTCTGGACTGTGTCGCTACCGGCGCCAAGAGCACATTGGTTTTTGTAAGGAAGCTTTGACCGGGCTCCACGATGCCGTAACTCACTGCAAAGTTCTTATTTGTCATTCTGCCTTCCACGATAATCTCGGAGGCTGGTGGAATTGTAACTGTGTCTCTGATAGTCACTCTACAACTCTGTTGTCGCTCCCTCGTATTCTGCAGTGGCACCTCTGCGTTTCCAACTAGCAGACTTTTGCACCCGACATCAACCACACAACCTTGTTGCTGCATAAAATCCAACCCCAGGAGGAACATCATTATGAATGTCTGCTACTACGACGTTATGGCGAAATGTTTTTCCGCCCATTAGGAGCTAAACCGTCGTCTCTCCATGTACTTCCAACAGGGTGTCGTCTGCCAGGTACACCTGTAGGGTAGACTTACTGATATCAGGTCTGGAACACTGGTTCATTCGATGAATCACCTTTTCGGACAGGATGGACACCGTTGCCCCTGTGTCGAGAAGCATTTGAGCATCAACTCCACTTGTCCAAGTGTGTGAAGCCCAGCGCCAACCTCGTCCCCAGTGCTTACTTTATTTCCAACCGCGTTTCCAATAGTAAACCCTGGATAGGAAACTTTCTTCCTGTATCCTGATTGGATACCGCAATTGGCTAGTAATGGTTTTTATCGTGTACTTGGTGCTATAGATTCACAACGTGCAGTACGTGTTTTCGCGATCATTCGTCCACGCCTTCTCGAAAATACTAGTTTCCTTTCCAATTTGCTCATATTAATATGAAATATGGTACTGCACATTGTCTTGATAAGATCGTAACAGTTTGATTTCATAAATCGTGTTTTCGTAACTTACGCCGTGCTCGCGCTGCTACGAATTCACTCTGTTTTTACCCCAGACACCGCATACAAAAACAAACGCTAATGTGTAACGCATATCCAGGCACCAGACTGTTCCTCATTTGCATACGTGTGCAAAAATCTTGCACATGCAAATGATCCAATACCAGGGTGAGAGAGCAGGCAGTGTAGGGCGCGTACTGCTCGACACCCTGGAAACGAGGTTGGGCCAGCGCCAACTTGAAATGCCGTTCCGCTAGAACACAACTTTTGTGTGGACCCTTCCTTCTGATGGGCTGACCCACGGTCCTTGGAACCAGTCCTTACATGTTTTCCTGATCCGTGCTCCTTGTCTTGGCTGTCAGTCTTTTTGGACAATCCTTCTTGAAGTGGCCAAAGTCTCCGCACTTGAAACATCCTCTTCTGTCTTTGATAGAACGACTCTGTTGTGTTAGGGCCTGGATCTGTTGCACTATTAGTTCCAGTTGGTTTTCTAATTTTGCAATTTTGTTATCAGGTACTGGGTTCATCTTTGCCGCCATGGCGCTTTCCACATCGCCTCCAACAACCCTGACTCGTTTGATGCTGTTTTCCTTTTCCGCGGTCATAATGGCCTGAAACTCAATAGCAGCGGTTACCGCTTCTTCCAGACTGCCCGGACGCATTTGTAGGATTCACGCACGTGTTTCGTTGTCTGTAAGTGCATCCAAGAAAAAGTCCCTCGCCATTGTTGTCTGCGCGGCAGCTGGAAGTTCACTGAATGTCTTTTCCACTAGCAGACGGACATCCTGGGCTAGCTCTGAAAGGGACTCTCCGCTTTTCTGACGCCTATTCTTCAGCTGAATACTGTGGAACTCTTTACGTCCATCCGGCTCCAATCTCGCTTTTAAACTATCAACCAGGCTTTGGTATGTGGTTCCGTCCTTTGGTATGCCCTGGAGCACTGGTTGAGCTGCACCTGTAAGGGAGACGGCCAGAAACTCTGTCCTCTCTTGTTCTTTCCATTTATTAATGTTTGCACACATCTCAAAGTGCCTGTGGTATGCCGACCAAGACGTTTTCCCATCGTAGCGATCTGGGCGCATGACTGGTCGCTCTCGTACAAATCTTTGCTGCAGAGTTGCCTGGTTGGATGTATCGGGGACTGGCGCAGGGAGTCCACATTTCCTGCATTTGGTGTTCGGATGCAAGTTCGCCGGTGCACCGACGGGTAAACCAACCGGTATGCCGGCAGTCGGTGCACCGAGCATTGGTGCACCAAGGGATGCATCTGGATTCTGAGCTGTCCATATTTGTTCACTTCCGCGCACAAGTCCTGCACCATGCTTGGCCAATGGTGCCCCCATGGGTGCACTGGTATACTGCATCTGTTGTGCCGCAAAGGACTCCGGCAAAGGCTCCCAGTGCCCCGGTACTGACGGTTGTATATGGACTGTGTTTCCCGAACCTATCGTGGCCATCGGTGCCCCGGTCGGTGCACCGATATACGGCGTCTGTTGTTGTGCTGCCATTGGCCTCTTTGCATCAATTTCCTGGTGCCCCAGTGCCGACGGTTGAAACCGCTCCACCTTTCCCGCCCCATGCGCCGCCATCGGTAGCCCGGTCGGTACACCGATATACGGCGTCTGTTGCTGAACTACCATAGACCACTTGGGATCAATCTCCTGGTGCCCCGGTGCCGACGGTTGAAGCCGCTCAGCGCTTGCTGCACCATGCGCCGCCATCGGTACCCCGGTCGGTGCACCGATATACGGCGCCTTTTGCTGTATTGCCATTGACCACTTTGGATCAATCTCCAGGTGCCCTGCTGCCAACGGTTGAAGCCGTCCCGCGTTTCCCGCACCCTGCGTCTGTTGCTGAAGTACCATTGACCACTTTGGATCTATTTCCTGGTGCCCCGGTGCCGACGGTTGAAACCGCTCCACCTTTCCCGCACCATGCGCCGCCATCAGTAACCCGGTCGGTGCACCCATTCCAAAATGTGTATCCTTGTGGAGACATTTCTTTGTTCTCGTGTAGTAAAGTGTTCAATATTGAAAGTGAATTTTCAAAATGCTCTTATTTTAACCAGAATTAGTTTCCTTGGCTGAAATTTGGAATTTTCTAAAACTCTTCCATTTGCAACGGATCAACCCACCTTGGAAATTCCTAGTTTTTGAGTAAAACCCATATATCTATTTTGTGAAAACCTTGTGGAGACCAATTCATCTATAGAAATTGCCCTGTGGAGACCTTTACAATGTTTTGTTCCGTATTGTGTGTGAGTTTCCACAAGGCTACGAATTTGTGTACACCGATATACGGCGTTTGTTGCTGAACTACCATTGACCGCTTAGGATCAATCTCCTGGTGCCCCGGTGCCGACGATTGAGACCGCTCCACCTTTCCCACACCATGTGCCGCCATCCGTACCCCGGTCGGTGCACCGATATACAACGTCTGTTGCTGAACTACCATTGACCACTTTGGATCAATCTCCTGGTGCCCCGGTGCCGACGGTTGAAACCGCTCTACCTTTCCCGCACCATGCGCCGCCATCGGTACCCCGGTCGGTGCACCGATAAACGGCGTCTGTTGCTGTACTACACTTGACCAACTTCTATCAATCTCCCGGTGCCCCGGTGCCGACGGCTGAAGCCGCTCCGCGTTTCCCGCACCTTGGTGTCTCGGACGGCGCCCAGTTAGGTGTACCAGTATTTGTTGTGTTGGAAGTGTCGACGCCGGCGACTTCTCCTGGTGTCCCGTTGCCGACGGTAGAAGCTGTCCCTCGTTTTCCTCGCTCTGCGGCGTAGCCATCGGTTCCCCGGTCGGTGCACCGATCGACTGCATGTGTTGCTGCATTTCACCGTGTCTGCGTAGAACTTCCCCACCGTGTAACGGTGTCGACGAACGGGTCGCAACGAGGCTTGCCTCTGGCGCTGCCCAATGCACACTCCCTAACTCATCAGGCACATCGACCACGCAGTGAAATGACTTCCACGCAAGGGTGGGCGAAACTGGCTGTAGCGTGTGAAACCAGGGGGGGTGTGGCGTCGAAGCCCGGTGACGTGGACGCGGGAGCGGGTGTCATAGGGGTGGGAACTAGGATGTGATCGGCCATACCTGTCGGCGTAAACTGACTTAACACGGAATATATTAAGGGATGAAACAAACCGCTGCCACCAATGAAGCGTTTGACCAATGGGTTCTAAATGACGAATGTGATATTCCTAGGAGTTTGCCGACAGAGTACTGTTACGCAATGACGGACTAAACAACACGTTGACGTGGACGAAAGAAATGTGACCCGGAGACAGTGCCTCAGTTTTTAACTTTTAATACTCAACAAATCATTAATAGGTCAATCACATTATAACAATAATTGCTGATTATTTGAACACTGATTCACCTTAATTCAACCAGGGTAGCTGTCCGTCAAGGGAGATTCGGGCTCGGTCCTTTTTGGAAGTCCCGCAGCGCACAACCGTTCCGCTCCAAGCCAGCACAACAACAATAGACCGCTTGCAGACGCGATCGATAATTGACGCGCGAAGGTGCGCGACGCCATGTTGTGGGACAAAATGTGCATGGATAGATATACGCTTGTCCCACAACATGGCGTCGCGCGCCTTCGCGCGTCGATTATCGAATGCATCTGCAAGCGGTCTATTGAACCTTTTTCGCGCGCGCGCGTTACCAAACTTATTACATTATTCTGCGCTGCTAATCTGCGCATGCGCGCCCGGCCCTACTGTCCGGATGGACAGCGCCACATGTGATAATCGCTACACATGTAACTAAGAAAGTGAGAATGCAATAAGGCTAATTTTGCCGTTGACTCGCATAAACCCCAATGCCATTTTCTCTTTTTTAAATACCAATATTGTAGAGCTTTCACTGGTTATTATTGGTATGTCATAAAAACAAATTATTGTTTTGACTCCCTAATCCAAATAGATACACAGAATTCAGAACAGAGACTTGTTGGTGCAGTACCAAGCACGTAAGGAAGCGATGGAGGCTCGTCTTGGTCGTACTAACATTGAAGAGACATTGTTCCATGGTACCGATGAGCAAACGTGTGATAAGATCAACAAGTTTGGTTTCAATCGCAGCTTCTGTGGAAAGAATGGTAAGAACCTCAATTTGCACAAGTTGTTCGACATAATTTGTAAATGTGTTTATTTTTGTATCGCTCAGCTGTAAAGAATTTAATTTGGCCGAACATTGTCCCTATTTAAACTTGGTCATTATATAGGATCGAAAATTCAGCCTTATGTGTCATTAACTCATGAAATAACACAGTTCTATTCCCTGGCGTGCACCAATTGTTCAAGGGGGGGGGGGCACTGAAGGCAAGTATTGTTTTTGTGTAATTAAAGATTTTAAGAGCTGTACCGAATATGCCTATTCTCCGAATACTCCATCAACGAAATATCTGAAAAGCATTTTTTTAAACTGAAATATATGCGACAAATTTGAGCGGCCTCGAACAGATGATGAGGTTTTATTGTTCGCGAAATGTCACACTTTTGTTAAATCCCACTTTTCCACACAATGTGAGAGCTTCCATGAGTAACACTTTTGCACATAATGTGAGAGCTTCCATGAGTAACATCAGCTAATATTTCTTCTTAAAATCAGTCAAATATTATCTCTTTCGCTATTACCCCTTCCGCTAACTCAACAAGCTTTTCATTAGTTTGCGAAAAGCGCAGGTGCGCACAAATCCCAATTGGTGGCCATTTTGGGCTTGGGCATGTTGAACTTGGTCAGTGCTTGAACTTGATCAGAACTTAAAAATGCAATGCCCCAGTATTAGTCTTGAGAATGATATGTTTACATAAAACGTGGAGAAAATAGATCCTCCTTAAAAATATTAGTTTTTACAATTATTAATCAATTGAACGCATATGTTTATATCTTCAGCAACTGCCTACGGAAATGGAACCTACTTTGCGGTGAATGCTAACTATTCAGCACGACCGCAATACGCAAAGCCTAATGCATACGGTGTGCGGCACATGTACCTGACAAAGGTTCTTGTCGGTGATTACATCAGAGGCAATCACGGAATGATAACTCCTCCCAACAAACCAAGTCATCCGGACCAGCAGTACGACTGCGTGGTGGACAATGTAAACCAGCCAGGCATCTATGTTATCTTTCATGATGCACAAGCCTACCCAGAATACCTCATCAAATTCCAGTAAGCAAGTCAAACACTTCAGATGGTAGTTGTATTTGTTCTGCAACTAATACGATTGAACGATTTGCAGCCCCTTTGATACAACCCATCAGCAGCACAGTGTCAGTGATATTATAAAAATGGCATGCTATTTGCCATGTTAATTGAGGACTAAAATTGATCATTTTAAAAACATATAAACATATGTACTTGTTTAAAGTTTAACCAGAAAATTAAACGTTCAAAATGTAGTCATTGCTGTTGGAAATGACGATGAATGAATGATAACAAAAACATTTACTAAAATGCAACTGCTTTTTAAAAAAAAGTTCAAGAGAGAAAAAAAAAAATTAAGACCAATTGACGTTTCAGCTTTCGCAGTAACATCTATTTGAGATAAAAAGGTATTGTGTAAGTTTACCTTTCTCTTTGTCTCGAATGCACAAGGATTGATATAACTTAAATTATTCGGTTGAAGCAAGGATTTAATGACACTAAAACTGTAATAAATATTCAAATATTGCAATATTAAGAACACATGTGAAACTAAGAGTAGTAACGTTGTGGTGATGCTGAAATAAATCTGATTTGTCGATTAATCATGAAGACACAATTGATACAAACCGAAAAATATTGAACTAAAAGTGATCATTTTATTGTTCTGGTACTTCGAGTTTATTTATGCACTTTATGTTTCAATAAGTAATTGAGAATTACAAATGTAATCAGTGTTGTCTAAGATGACAAAATATGAATGGTAGCAATAACAAATCTACTTTTGAAAGACAAAAAATCCAAGAAAAAAAGAGGAAAAAATTACTTAAAGATTTTAAAACTTGTATTAGTCATATAAAGCGTGTGTATGAAATTTGGTTTTAATCAGATACGTGATTTATCAAATCCGATGTGCAGCAAATCAATAGAAGAGAAGTCATTTCCCATTTCTTTCATGTAAAAAGAAAAGTTTGTGTTTATCTTGTCTCTCATTAGTTTCATATCGCTCACTTTAAATAAAAAAATAATTTATGATTGGGAATTTGCACACACACACACACAAAATGGGTGGTGTATAGTGTCATAGCAAAAGTGTTATACTAATAATGTTGAAAAAGGGTTCATAAAACAAAGGATTCATGATTGAAAATCCCTTACAGAAGTGTTGATGTGTCTAAAAGTAACCAAGATGTACAAAAAAATAATAATCTTTAAAAACAAAAATTAGAGTGTTGATCACTGCCTGCAAACTGTATTTTTCCATCGGTTATTCGTTTTCACATATCATTAATATTCGGAATCTTGAGATGACCAATCTGTTTGTCAATGTTCATTTTGTTTTCATAGCCTTTTTCAATTTATTATTGAGATGTAACAATTATGCTATTGTGGATGTAACCTTCGTTGAATTTTACTATTTGCAGCTAAACGTTTTAGATTTATTGTGCATTTCTGTGTCGAAGCGTGATAACTCTGTATATCAATAATGAAAATGAGTAAAAGAGATCCCTTTTTAATGTGCAGTATTATGATTTTAAAGGTTGATATCTTGTCATAAATGTATATACTTAGGCCTATATTTCGGATTTGTTTTCTTGAAACTCGGTCATGAAACAATCTGAAGGATTTATTGGTGTACATCAGTGGGGTTTTTTTTACTTACTGGAAGAATATCACAGGACGCGGCCGCTCCTGGATGCGTTTTGTATGACTTATACTTTAACCAGATAACCCCGTAAGTAAATGTCAAGCGAATTCGCCTATATCTCTTGAGGTTATGCCAACATATTAAAATGAATGAAAGAAATTGTTTGTTTTACCAATAAACTAGCTTGTAAATCGATACCCGATAACAGCATCTTGTACTTTTAAGCCCTGCTTGCCAAGCTTCATGCTTCTACCACGACAAGGGCAAAACAAAATATAAAAAAGTATTAATTGTAGAAACTGAGCCACCGCGATCGAAAAGGGGTTATGCAGACACAGATATGTTTTTACGCAATCGTCGTAATTTTCCAACATCAAGAAGAGTTACCAGATGTTTATTTGACTTTGATCCCAGAATTTCTTTGCGTTGTTAGTTGTTCTAGACATTTGGTCATTGAGCTGAAACTCCCTGTTGGTGGCAATAACTTGGTGTAAATTTTATGTAGTCTTGCACTGGTATCCAATTTGTACAAGAACACCAAATGTAGGGATGTTGCGCAACACTGATGAAGGTGAATCGCACCGAAAGCTCGGCTGTCACTATCCGATGAGAACTGTTTTAATATTTTGTTTTTCACATTCCACTCTTGAACAACACGAGGATTATTAACACTGATGTTTGTTTAAACACCAATCCCAGTGACGGGTTATTTTGGAACACTAAAAGGTTTCTATATACTTTCAGATTAATCCAAACCGGATCAATGTTTCTTCCAAATTTCTATCGAAAATTACAAACTAAATATACATCTGGAAATACGAAAGCAATATTTTTGGTTAGTAACCATAGTGAATACTGAGTGACAGAAAAAGTCCGATTTTTTTTATTTCCCAACCACTGAAAGGAAATTTTGGTATACCATTGACCTTAAAATCCCCCCCCCCCCATTTTTTCCGCGATAGCCTTCAAAAAATTGTTTTGCAACCTGAGCTGCTCTAACTTTTTAGCCTCGAGTCTTGCGCATCTTTTGATACCAAAAACATAAAATTCGGAGCACGGGTTGCCGCCCAGCGAACTTTTTTTCCGGCGAAAACTGAATTTTCCAATATACGTAGCGTTCAAAGAGCAGAATTACCATGCATATGAATAATTAATCACCCATAATTCCAAATTCCTTTGACCTATAGTCATTAAATTTTCTGGGTATGTTTATGATAAATTATGATATGTATGTACCGAGTTTCATAATTTTTCGTCACTCGATGGCCGAGATCCTAGGGGGGTTCGGAATCCCCCCCCCCCCGGCTGAGAGATGGTCGAAATAACCCGGCACTTTTAGGGTTAATATCTGACACACAATACGGAAGTCGAAGTCTAGTATTTGAGCCACACTATGTGGGGCTATGTTCACACACAAAAGAATTACTACCATTTTTTCACATGTTCAGTACATCAGCTAATAAGACCTATTTTTTTGCAGTGCACAAATGAATGCATCAGTGTACGAATCCTTCCAAAAGCACTGCTCCAGCAATGCTATACTTAAAACAATATTTTATCTTAATATTTGGTTTCGTCCTTCATTGACTTAATTTCATAATTACTGATATGGGGAAAAAATAGTACAGCGGCATACAATAAAGGATATTAATAACTGCAATTACTTTAAAAAAAAATTAACCACCTGCTGCTGACAAAAACAATCTTATGTCAATAATAAACTAATCTAACAGTCTTGCAATACAGGAAGTTAACTTTAAACGAGACGAACCATTTGAATACCAAATGCTATAATTACGAAATGCACAACCGTTACTTTCTCAGCTACTCACATTTATTCAACCTTTTTCTCCAATCCAACCAACTCGGCGCTGATTTCCCATAGGCGACGCGCAGACTCTTCGTCAAGGGCCTCGCGACTTGGTGTTTTCGGCACACAGTCACTGAAAAATATTTTTTGGAATGAAGAGAAAATTCCAATAAAAAATCAAAAGATTGTGAATTTAAAGAATGAAACTATTCGACATTATATTCTGATAAACTGCAAGTGCAATGCGCTATGTTATCAAGTCACAAATATGTATTTTAATTGTTTTGTACAGAGTGTGCCAAATGTAAGTGCAGCATACAAATTACAAACATTAAAACGGTTTAATGTTGTTTTTTTTCTTCAATGAAATTACATTTTTTTATTAAAGCCTGAATATTTTTCAACCCACTCCTTTTGACCCCATTCCATTTTGGTCCACAGATCCAGAAATACGAACAATTAAGTGAAAGGGTGTAAATTTTACTTGGGCCCACTCTCAACTGCACATGCTGAATCTGGGTTAAGCATTGAATAGGCACTGAAGTTGGTTGCATCACAGGTAGTGAGAGTGGCCAAGTATTTCTATTAAGTGGCTGTTTCGGCAACTTCCCGAAACTGCCATTGTTGTTTTTATTTGTTCGTGTGCAGGGATTGCGAAGTTTAGGACACTATTCCCGATGGCTGAACACAACCTACTCAGCCGTATAGTTGCGAAGGCCTAAGCGTCCACGTTAACAATGTTAATCCGATTACATACTTAGACGCTTTAACAGAGCAGTAAAATTCATGCAACCCCAAAGAATACGGCTTTTTGAACGTTGTGTTTCTCAGAAAAAAATATCAGTTTTATTGAAAATGTTAAATTATAACGGTAGAAGAAATTCTAAACTTCATATCAGTGAAAAAAATCGCCATTATCGATGCCGTAACATCAATACTGGTTACTGGTAAAGTTGACGTTAAAGCCGGGAAGAAATCGTTTGAAAACGTCCCCAACTGTATGTATTTATATCAATTTCTAGGATCTCCTCAAGTTGTTATTTCACGAGTGGTTGATATCATCTAAGTATCCCGTATTTCAGCTTCATCTGTTGTTGCAAACGCTTGAGTTACACCTTGAACTATCTCCAAGCAAAATTTTTGACGAGGATTTTTTTTCCCGATTGAACTCACGTGCATGGTTTTCAGGTTCGCTTGCATGCTTGGCCGATTTTGGGGCAAGCAGTGACGAAGCGCATATTAGCATATTCATTAGCGTGACTCGGCGTGACTTGGCGTGGGTCTCTATATCGACCAATGATAGCTGGTAAAAAGGGTGATGTTTATTAATTAATAACTTGTGAAGGAGGATACTATGCAAAATTTTACTGCACACCATAATGGAAATTGGCCTTCGCAACCAAACGGCTGTACTTGAAAGTTGTTTGTTGTGCCACACTGAACAAATAGCCATGTCGTAGACAGACCGGGGTTCTGGTAAAAAAATACGAGATTTCGCAATACCAAGCTAAACACGTCAATGCGCTTGGTGGCGGGATAAGGATTGGGGTAGTTTTGACCCAGCCAAAAAAGTAACCCGCGTAAGCAAATCACATTTTCTACCTTGAAAAACTTTCCCAAATTACAACAGCAGGTGTCATTCGGGATCAGAAGAGTGTACTTTTGGTCAGAAAAGGCCTTTTGAAATAATCAAATACTCCAGACACTAATATGACCACAATTTAATCCTACACTACACAATAGCCTATTGTTCATCTGCTTGAGTTGTTTTTCTTTTTCCGACTGTCCATACACGTTTTTATCGTGCATGGCACTTTCGGCACTATAATCAATCCGATTGATTTTCGTACTTGGCACACACTTAGACCAGCACCTGCAGTTGTGTGCCAAACATTGACGTCATCTGACGTAATCATGAGTCACGTGACATCACATTCAAGGTGCAAATTTTGAAGGCATATACAGTCGACTCTCATTAATACAAACTCAGTCGGACCCAGCCATAACGTTTTTGTTGTATCAGAATTTTGTATAAAGAGGAGTACCAGTCCCATTCATTCTGCACATGCACAGTTGGGACCAAGGTTTTATGTTTGCTATTAACCAGAAATTGTGTTAACAGGGTTTGCATTAACGAGAGTCGACTGTATAAATATACAGAACTATCGGTCCGATTGGGTTGAAAGATGGTATGCACACTTAGACCGGGAGGTGGTATAGATGAAAAATGACGTCATGTCATGATGACGGCATCATTATGACATATGACGTTATAATAAAGATCACATTTTAAAGGCCTATTTCTACAGAGCTGTGGATCCGGTGGGTTGAAATGGGGTTTGTGCCTAGACCGGGATGTTTTATAGATGAAAGTTGCAGTGTCGTCATCATGACGTCATCGCATGTCATGTGACGTCACATTTCTAAGGTTTATATCAGCAGCACCATAGGTCCGAGTGGGTTGTATTTGATACGTTTGGGTATTATAGTAAACAAATAAAGTGACGTTATGGTGACGTCATCGTATGTCACGTGATGTCATATTGAAATTGTTTTTAATAACTTTTAACGCCTTTTTAAGTGGCATAATAACAGTGTGCTGTGTACACATCTGATATGCTCTATCAGAATATAACATGAAATAAACATGCCATGCCAAAACAGTTATGTGTTTGTCCACAAACATAAGTCGAGTTGATATTATTTCTGGATCTATGGACCCAAATGAAATGGAGTAAAACGGAGTGGATTAAGAAATGGTCAGGCTTTATTGTAATATATAATTTTACTAAAGAAAAAAACATCAAACCGTTTTAATTTGTTGTTTTCTGAATGTTGCATCTTTAATTGGCACGCTTTGTACATCAGCATTTGCCGAGAATAACCCAAGGCTTTTCACATTTACAGACGCATTTCCCAATAGTTGGGGGTTAATAATAGTCACCCAGAATTATGCATGTTTAACTGCACAGGGTCTCATTTACTCAAATGGCAAAAGAACACTCACTCGAATAAAGGCTACCGTTCATCGCCTCACCTGAAATAAATGCCCGTAGTGTCTCGAAGCTCCTCGGCCACGGCACACTGGATGGTAGTCTGCGCCCCTTGCTCTGCAGTCTTCTGGAGGAACTTCAAGCTAATAACCCCAAACAGGACTCGAAACGGAAGACTCAAGGCCCCATGCATGTGACGAATGAGCTCCGTCTTCACGCTTCCTGGGCTCAAGGCATAGACTGTCACGCCAGAACCTGTCATTGTAGCGACCATTAAAAATGACAAAGAAGTTTTAGATGTAGCCTGGTGTAAGGCAGAAAATCCTGCATGCTTGCTTTAAAACTGGACAAATATTAGGGGCCTATTTATAGTTTTCCATCGTGCTGGAGAAAATACTTGTAATAACCGAGATCATGTGCTTTCTAAGGTCGTTACATCGCGGCTGATAATAACAGGAGTCGACTGTATACAATACACCAACATGTTTGCAGTTTAACCTGCAATTCTTATCTATTACAAAGACTGAAAAGGCATCGGGCTTTCCCTTTACGAACTTATGTGAGCCTACTTTCATGGCTTTAAATTCAAGGGATTTCCCGTTGTGTTATACATTATGTTAATCTGGCGTAAATGGGGTCAATCGATTTGCCACTGTTGGGTTCTGAGGTGTTAGTGTTCATTCGTTTTGAACGTACGCAGGACGGGCATTCACGTCTCAGCCAATGAAAAGCTTTGCTTGCCACGCTCCACCCACTAGTTACCGCCCACCGTGACCGTCCACTGCCTTACTTTTATTATTCAAATTGTTCGCTGCTTCTATTAATCACGATAACAATGCAAGAGGATTCCAAGTCGTTGAGCGGTACAAATTTCAACATAACCAAAGAACATTGTAAGTGGCAGGATCGGGGACCATAAAGTGGAGTTTTATAGTGCTGTGCCTATAGGCGACATATGACGTGATGAAGAAAAGCACTGGAAATGTTGTACATGTACGCGTATACGTGTATAGGATACTATAGTGCACGTACAACTCAAACTCATGTTGAAATCTTTCGACAAAGTTTGTCAACCCTTTTCCTGTCAATAAAAGTAAACACAAACAAATCTCTGTTTCTTTGAAGCTCTATCGTATAATCTCCGATAAATAAAAACTGAAATTAACAAAATAAAAGACTTGTTATCGATTATATAAATAAATATTTATAAATAAAAATTTGAAGGACTTGGCGAAACATGGGTCAGCTTAGTTTGTTGATTGTAGTTTCAGGTCAATGTACTCTTTAAACGGTTTTCAGCAGTTTTATTCGTTTTTAGTTATGAAAAGAATATGATAAAAATACGGTACAAACAAATATTTCTTTTTATTGGAAATTCAGTTAAGGTTAATTTTAAACGTAATGAGCGAAACTTTTTTTTCAGCGTCGTTAAACATTTGTGACTCTATAAACTAATGATTTACTCCATAAACCTCTTCTTTGTTTATAAACTTATGGCGATATGCATTTAAAACAGGTGCCCTCTCCTCATCATTGATATTCACACGGGCACATTTGTCGACCTTCCCAATTTCGTGCCTCACTTTCGTCTTGCTTTCAGAGTGACAGTACCCGAAGGTACGTGGCCTTTAGCTTTAACAGGCATACAAATGTATATGTCTTGTTAATCTGAATACTGACTGTACCCTGCGTAACATTTATAATCCTATGTACCGTTTTTATTGTTTTTCTAAGTAGCGCTCGTACCCTGCCTTAGCCTAATTATTTCCTTGCGTTCCGAGTGTATTGTTAATCTGAATACTGACTGTTCCCTACGTAAGCCTTTTTAATCCTACATAGTTTCTATTGTAGCGCTGGTACCCTGCCTTAGCCTTATTCTTTCCTTACGTGCCAAGTGTATTGTAAATCTGAATACTGACTGTACCCTATACGTAAGCCCTTATAATAGTGTCCATTGTAGCGCTCGTACCCTGCCTTAGCCTTATTCTTTCCTTGCGTTTCAAGTCTATTGTTAATCTGAATACTGACTGTACCCTACGTAAGCCATTATAATGGTGTCTATAGCACTCGTACTCTGCCTTAGCCCTTTTCTTTCCTTACATTCCAAGTGTATTGTTAATCTGAATACTGACTGTATGCTGTACCCTACGTAAGCCTTCAGAATAGTCTCTATTGTAGCGCAATCTTGGTAAAGGTGCAGGCAAACAAAATATGCCCGTGCAGAGAAAACCCATAAACAGAGTGTTGAAATAATTCCAAAGAAAAGCCAGCTCTTCGTCGAGAAAAAAAATCAACAGGGGGTACACTTATCAATAACAGAAAGTAATAACATAGAAAGGAACATGACTGTGGCCACGGGATGCATGACTAAAGGCAGTATGTACAGTAGGCTTAAATGCTGAGAGGACTCCCTGCAGTTTGAATTCATATACCTGCACTAAACGAATTACGTGCGTAATTCTGTTTGCTTTACCGACTAGATTTTGTTCAAAACACATCATGTACAATGTACATGTACTTGCAAAATTGCTTCGATAGAGAGATTCAGCAGGTATTGTGTCAGACAGCTTTCTTTGTAAGAGATCCTCTTTTGTTATTTAGATTTTTGTACCGCTCAACGAGTTGGAATCCTCTTGCATACTAGCAAACAATTTGAATAATAAAAGTAAGGCTGTGGACGGTCACGGTGGGCGGTAACTGTGGGTGGAGCGTGGCAAGCAAAGCTCTCCATTGGCTGAAACGTAAATGCCCGTCTTGCGTACGTTCAAAACGAATGAACACTGTTTGGAGGGATACCGAAACAAAGGTTCTGCAATGTGACTGTGCGCACGATATGTTCGTAACTTTTCATTGTTATATGAAAAGCTGCTTCGTCAGCAGTGTTAATCTCATGACTGTTATCGGCTATTTAAGAAGAAACCCATGATTTTTTTTAATAACATCCCGTACAAAGACAACTAACCCATCAAACGTTTAGCGAGTTCCTTAGTGAAGAGCACGTTTGCCAGTTTGCTCTGTGCATAAGCCGCCATTGTGTCGTATTTCTCTCTCATATGTAAGTCATCCCAGCACATCTTATTAAAAGCGTGAGCCATGGAGGACACATTGACTATACGAGCAGGGGCGGAGGACTTGATGAGATCCAGGAGGAGATTGGTCAAAAGGAAGTGGCCAAGATGATTGACGCCAAACTGCATCTCGAACCCATCTTCTGTCTTCCATTCTGGACAGAACATGATTCCTGTATAATATTCAAAAGGATAACAGAGGAAAAACAGTTGACCAAAGGTTTGCCCCAAAATATTTCATTGTGTCATTTATTTGTTTTTGTTTTCTACAAGTTTATTGGCTGAATCTGATTAACACTTCAAAAGACAATATGAGACTTTCTGAGTTTCTTCGAGTATGCTTGTTTAACAATCATCGACTGTCCTTTACCACTTTACCTGCGTTGTTGATGATTATATCCAGCCTTGTCACCTCTGCCTTGATCTTCTTGGCACACTCTCTGACCGAGGCCATGGAAGCCAAGTCTAGTTTGCGCACCGTCACCTTCTTGTTCCCGGTCACCTTACGGATGTCAGCGGCCGCTGCTTCGGCCTTTGGAAGGTCACGGCAGGCCAAGATCACACGAGCACCTGTTTAACAAAACAAACACATGATGGTAAGATGCAAATGTATGTGGCTTTTTAGTGGTCATCCCTTCCAGGCTCCCAGACAGGTTTAAATTATCCATGGAGGGACCGAGAAATAGTTCAGAATCTTCTGAAAAGCTGTCACATACCTACCTCTTCTAGCAAGATCTTTAGCCGTCTCCTTGCCAATGCCAGTGTTGGCTCCCGTAATGACAACCGTCTTGCCGTCCAGGCGAGCCTTGCTGTGGCACCATCCTCCTGCCACCCACCTCCGAAATACCCAGTACAGCACAATGACAGCTTGTAGAACAATTAAAAATGAAAGAGGGTATAAGTCAAAGCACGACCGAGGATGTCATGGAGTTAATTGTCGAAGCAGTCATAAGGCTATACGTGCATGATTACGAAGCAACCTGCATGCAGGAACTTGAGACGGCAATAGCTAACCATGCACTATCCCGAGACACCACGCCCGGCCTTACCCTTTCCAGTAAGGCATGGTCTAACCTCCACTAAATCATTATATACATCAAGAATAAATTCGCCCGAGGATCAATGTGGAGGATCTTTGCTTGAAATTACTCAATTTCTTTTCATATGTGTCTGGTTTATTTTATTGAGAGAACAATGATTAAGAACTACAACTCAAGAAAATAATGTAGCATTATGGTCCGCGCCGATCTTTTTGCTGCAAACAAATATTAAATGGAAACAGGTACCCAAGAGTGCAGGGGGAAATTGTGGAAGCAGACCCTGAAACTCTGTTTGCAAGGGTCTGCCTTCGGTGTACGTCCATAACTAATTATATCCAATCCGACTCCGCCCCGAACAAACTTACATCCTTCTGTGGAAGCAATTATATTACCCCAACCCATCCAACTGAGACTCGTGTGGAGTGCCTGCAGTCACTGCCTCATGGAAATCCGACTTTAAATTTAAATGTGTTACTCAGTACTCACCGAAGATAACAGGGCCAACGAATAAAGGATCCATACTGAACATACTCATCTTCGCATTTACTGGATTGGTAAACGATGGGATTCAGCTGGCAAACGAGATGAATTCTGATTAGGTCCTAATAAGTGGTGATGTTCACGTAAGAAGCAAGCAGCTGCTACTATGTAAAAATAATAATAATAATAATAATAATAATAATAAAAACAATTGCAACAAAATGCCGGATTTTAATTAACTTATTCATATGGGACCAGGCCTTTTAAACAAACCACTGTCATATTCATATACATGGGCAGTGTAGGCCTATGCGTATGTAGATCTTGGGCCAATGTCAATGTCTACATTCTGTAGTAAGAATTACGTCCACAAAAGTTAACCCTGGTTCAAGACATTCCCAGGTGGGCTTACCCGTAAAAACTTTTATACATAGTGTTTTTACATACAAACTGAAATCAGACATGCTCGATCTGTTCCACTAGCTGCCAAACGTCGCCGACATTTTCAGATGCCTCCAAATCGTGCCTGAAACTATAATCGACGACGATACCTATATAGCTATCTCAACGTGCCGGTATACCTCGTTGATGCTTATGAGAACGGCAAAATGCGGATATAAACCAAACCACAAAGACTCAGTGCTATACGCACAATAACGCACTCATAATCACCTATTACTTACAGCGCGGTTGACTACTTCGGCCACGAAACTTCGCTCACCATACGGTACCAACATGTACACGAGCGTTTGCTGATTTTTGAAGCAATGATTCACAAGAAAAGTCCTTGACCCCAATTTCTATTGACTTTTATTTTGCTTTATCATATAATATAGTACGGTAGCGTAGAAGTGCCAAGAAAAATTATGAAAAATGTATTTACTATCTCGCCGCGGCGAGTTACGATTTCGCCGCGGCGAGTCACTATGTCGCCGCGGCGAGTCACTATGTCGCCGCGGCGAGTTACTATGGCGAGATAGTAACTCGCCGCGGCGAGATAGGAAATAATTTTTTCTTAATTTCTCTTGGCCCTTCTACGCTTCCGTAATGTAGGTTTTTGCCGACCGATTGTTCACAAAGCTGGCCGGAAGGTCAACGGACGCTGTGGAAAAACTCATTCACTGTTATTTCGGTTGTGTACTATATGAACCTAGCAACCAGTTGTGTAAAAAATTGAACAAGGTGTTTAATATCTTACACAAGTTGTGTAATATTTTACACAAGTTGTGTAATATTTTACACAAGTTGTGTAATGTTTTACACAAGTTATGTAAGTTTACTCCAGTAAGTAATGCTGCAACTCCCACAAATTGAGTACGGTTAAGCTCCATGGTTATTGCCAGCAAAATCGCGGCAATCAGTAAGAAGGGCCGCGGCGCTCGTCAAAAGTCACGATCGCAACAGGTGGCCGCCATAGCGATAGCTTGATTGTGCGATAGCTTGATTATGCAATAGCTTGATTGTGCGATAGCTTGATTATGCGATAGCTTGATTGGGCGACAGCTTGATAATTGTAGCGGTTTTCATGTACACAAGGTACTATAGGTCACGGTACGGTTTTAGAAACATTGGTATTTCTAGATTTAATCAAGTGGCTAATAGTTGATTCAATTTTTGACAAGATCGTAACCGACTGCATGGTCCAAAGCACAAACCTGGGCAGATAGTTTCTTATAGCCCTGTGGATGTTTAGAAGAGTCGACACCTGAAATTATTGTGGGAAGGTTGACCAATTTGCATAAATCGTAGGCCTAAATAACTGCTGTGTAAATATTATGCTGTGTGAACGTATTCCCCTACTTTCATTATATCCTTTTATTTAAATTTTTTTATTTTGGGGATTTTACTAGCGTATCCTTACTTAAATAATTTTTAGAGGCATATAGATGACTGGATATTTATCAGGACATAGATCCGAAATGGCTATTACACCCAAAAGTTGCAATTACCTATCCCACAGATTTAATCTACCCAAACGTCACTATTGACGAGCTTCAAATTCACAAAGCTGCTTACTGGCACATTTACTCTAATAAAGCATTATGGAAAATCATGTGAACAATGATACCATGATGATATTTAGCCTAGAAAACAAAAAAGGAAAAAACTAGAAGTCCATAAATCGGGATAAATCGGGTTAAAACAAGTTCAAGGAATTCCCGAAACTTACTTGTAAGAAAACTGTTCACGTAGACACAATTATTATAACAACCATAATCTCGTATTTAGGGGGATTTCTTTGAACTTGGTCCTCCACGTTAGGCAACCCTTCGTCTAATTTTGAGCCTGTTTACGGACACCTCCCTGTTTCCTTTTTGTTTTTGGTTTTTGGGCTAAATATCATGGTGTTATCATTATTCACACGATTTTCCATGTTGTTTTACCAGGGTAGGCTACATAACTGTGCCAGTAAGTAGCTTTGTGAACTTTAAGCTCTTCAATATGGAGGTTTGGTTAGACTATACTTGATGATATTTGGGGAAAAGGTGAATGCGGTCAACTTTAGGGTATAATAATCCATTTTGGATCTGCTCTGATAATCATCCAGTCACTTTGCCTCTGCAAATGTTATTTAAGTAAGGATATGTAAGTAGAATCCCTGCAATAGAATTTTCAAGTAAAAATAAAAATATTCCAAAGTACACGGCAGGTATTTAAATTTATGCAAATGAGGCACCCTTCCCAAAAGAATTTCAGGTGTCACCTCTTCTGAATATCTTATCTAGGGCTTTAATAACCTATCTATACCGAGTTTGGTGCTTTGGACCAGTCGGTCACGATTTCGACCATAAGCCACCTGACTAATTTGACAGTGCTTCTTTAAATGTAGCCTTGACCAATGCTGTCAAGCCGAGCTTTTTCCCTGAACTGTCCGGCAGCTGTTTTACCCTACTTGTCACGGCAACGTACGCCGCTCGCAGCCCCCTGGCTAGCTCCGCTTGCCTGTACTGTATGTACTTGTCACGGCACACGTACGCCGCGCGCTTTGCCGGTACGTATACAGTACGTACATGTACATGTACGTGTACGTACGTCCGTGTGCGGATTTGTGTTAGGAGCACATCGCGCGCGCAGTATAGTACAGGCAAGCGGAGCTAGCTAGCCAGGGGCCGGGGGCTGCGAGCGGCGTACGTTGCCGTGACAAGTAGGGTAAAACGGCTGCCGGACAGTTCAGGGAAAAAGCTTGGCTTGACAGCATTGGTCAAGGCTACTTTAAATGTTACGTGCGTTACGTAATTCGTTGCCATCTTTTATTATTTGTAGGATATTCTGAGTCGCAAATGATTATCGTATGTTCCATAATAATTGGTAAATGAACAGACTACAACTACCAAGCTTGATGGCATGGTAACCGATTTTGGCACGATGTCCCCCGATACACGCAGTGTACAGATGATTTGATCATAAAATCCATATAATCGTTTGCAAATGATACTATAATTTGTCCTTTGTGCAGCACTGATAATTTATTCAGCATTTGTTGTAGTTTTACTGAAATAGCTGTGATCATACTAAACATCTCAATGTAACATTATAAGTTGCATAGGGGGCCTACGTACTCTACTGTAAATGTTCTCCAAATTATTATAATACATCTCATAAAATGATCAAAGAGCTGTGTTGTAATGAATAGCCTATATTTAATGGAACAAATACAAGCAAAATGTTCTCATTTCTTTACTTATAGGCCTACTTACATCTTAGTCACACTGATTTTTATGAACCTTTTTAATATGGTAACGAAGGTTTCATGGAACGCGTTGAAAAATGTCACTTTACTAAATAAACATGAGAGACACTTTGAAGATATTGTGAAACTACAGGACGGATGCGTTTATAGAGGTACAGATGATCTCTCTTGCATTCTGGTGCACCGTGCATGTTCAATGACACATGTAATCTAAAACATTAAACCTTGTGTTTTTATGACTGACCAAGGGGAGGATCTGTTAAATCACCTCAGACTCTCGTAGATTCACAGCTTGTATCCAACGCATAGCAAATTCATAAGTTGACTACGGAAAGTCGGTCTTCAGCAGTGACGTATCTAGGGGTGCGAAGGAGACGTCCGCCCCCAGCAGTGATCAGCAAGGTCATTTTGTTTATACTTGAGAGAGCTCAGCCACCCCCCCCCCCCGTACTAACCTCTCTGGATCCGCCCTTGTTCAGTGATTGGACTTGTACCCTCTTTCATGTGTTAAGCAAGCTATGGTTGCCTGTACCAAGGGCGTCAATCGTTTCTCAAAAGTGGGGACATACCTTGGTATCAGAACTAATGCGAGCGCGAAGCGCCAAGCTCTAACGGTGGGCTCGGGGCCCGCTTAAGGGCATCGGACAATTATTTTAGATTCTACAAACGCTCTGTGGTGCAATCTGAGGCAACGTCTGACCACTTTAACAAATTTTTCGAGCAAAAGATCATCATTTCAACATAATTTCGAGCTATTCTGAGCTACATAATCAAATATAGGCTACAAGTTTTATCCGAGGAAGAAAACAGTGGAGGGGACAATCGCTATGATATGCCCCACCGATTGACGTCCATGGGTTGTGTTCTTTTTGATGTTTCGGATGGAAGAGGATGGTGCTACGAGACTCACCTTGACGGCAAAACGGTCGCTGTCATCACGGGAACCAACACTGGCATTGAAAACGAGACGGCTAAAGATCTCGCCGGAAGAGGCGGGTGTGGCAACTTTCAAAGTAACCGCATAATGTCAAATATTGTACGCCGAATCTTTGCCAAAGACTTTTATGAAATTTTTTTTGGGGGGGGCCAAAACAATTTTGGTCCCCCAAAAACGTGGGTCAGAAAAATTACCGCGTGGGGTTCGGGGCCCGCTCAAGGACCCCGAAGAAAAATTTTGGATTCTAGATGCTCTTTGGTGCGATCTGAGGCAATTTCTGACCACTTTAACCAATTTTTTTTTAGGAAAAGATGGTGGTGTACTCATTGCCTGCCTTTATTGCGATGTCACATAAAAATAAAAAAAATTGGTTTCGTTTTTTTTTTGGGGGGGGGGGCCATGGCCCCCTTTGGCCCCCCTGGATCCGCCCTTGGTTGATCAATTATTGCCGAAGGATGCAGGAACTTTTTGGCGGGGTGATCCAAAGAGGGCGCCCTTTTAGCCTGAAGACTTGGTCCCGCATGGTGCAGACCAGTAAATCGGTCCAAAATTGCCTGAGCTGGCCAAATCACGATTGGCATGCCCTTAAATTCTTCGGTATAAGAACATTTTGTGGGCCACGAACTTGAGGGTTTGTGAAAAAGAAGGGTGGAGGACGTGCACAAGACTGTTTGCTTGTATTTCTGTGAAATTCACCGAAATTGGGGCCCCGAAAAGCGCTCTATTTTGCAATGGAGCGTATAGGCATATCGTTTTTCAAAATGGCGATGGGCTTCAGGACTATTGTTAGGTGTGATCATCTTCAGATGAAAATTTCTTCCAAAAGTCATCGGATTACCCCCACAAATTTAACAGAAAATGAAAGATAATTCAATAAGCTTTAATTTGATGCGTGTCTTGAACACATCAGAGAGTTGTAAGTATTTTAAAATAATTTTGAGAAGTGCGCGTAATTACCACTAAGGTCTAGGGCAGTGTATTTACTGGTCTGCACACCAAATGTCTTCCGCACCGCGGAGGCGAGTGTTGAATTTACAATAAAACTGAGTTTCAAGTCAGATTCTGGTTGCCGGTTAGGGGCAGGCATCCATCTAAATACTTACCGTACCTCGCTTATTTACCTGAGTAATCGCCCATTATCAGCAACCATTAATGTTAGGCCTGAGCAGTGCCGTAAAATGACAGTGAATTTGGTCCTGGTGGTTTCGTTGATAGAAAATGTTCGTACAATGTCCATGGAACCGATTGTGTAATTATTTCAGAAAACTTTCCAGAATTATACCAAAAAAAGGAATTTGACTAAACAACTTATCAAAGCCATCAACATTTCGTATATCATCGTCATCAAGCGTCTTTGTGTAGCTGCTCGAGTAATTCTGGCGTGCCGAGTATTGCAGGCGCAAGCAGCAGATGCAGACATTCGTATTAAAGACACAAGAAGAAACACGTTGGTGGTCAAACTAAACTTGGTTTTCCCGGCCTCGGTTATGATTAAAGGCAGAATCGGCAGGACTTGTCAAACTCATCAACAATGCAGGTGAAGTGGTTTATCAATAATTGTCAAATAAGTATTTAGTTGCAGACAATATTACACAGTCATGTCGGTGTGCAATGGCTTAATTGAATTTACTCATAACCTTGGACATATTAAGTAAATGACGCAATGAAACGTTCTGAGGACAAACCCTTGGTTTCCTGATAAAGGAATCATGTTCTGTCCGGAATGGTAGACAGAAGATGGATTCGAGATGCAGTTTAGTGTCAATCATCTTGGCCACTTTTTTTTTTTATAACCAATCTCCTCCTGGATCTCAACCGGGTCCTCAGCCCCGTCTTCCAGGACCCACGAGTCTGCTAAGACGGTGCTGGAGTAACCTTCATTTGAGAGGTGTGCAGACCACATTGTGAAATAAATTACAGTTAGAATTAACTTTAAAAAAAATTGCACCCAGCTGACTTCAGCTAGGGTCAAATGGGTGCAAGTTTAACTGTTTTCTAATTAAATTCTTACTAGTGTTTTCATATAGTACTGGCCAAACATTGCGTGCGGAATTCGAAATCATAAGGGCTAAATCATGATTTATATACATGTAATTGTCATTTCCCCCCCCCCCCCTCCCCTCTTAATATTGGAGATTTGTGGCCCCTGCACTTGATGAAGATTCGTTGAATATACGGTCCCAGATGTAAACCGGTTTTTGTACTTGTATTTTAGAAACAATTTTAACCAAAAGTCGCTACTTATTTTGCAATGGAATGGAGGAATCAGTTTCGAAATGGCGTTAGGCCTAATATACAGGACTGAATTTACGGGTGAGCACCTTTTGAGGAAAAAAATCACAGGAAAGTTATTGATCAACAGACTCTAAAAAATTGAAAAGAATGTAACCAAACGTTAATTTGATGTTTGTCTTGATCACCCGTGGGAGTTCTGAGTTTTTTCCCCGATTACTTGAAGTCTGAATATTTATCATTGGTTCCTATGGGCATTTATTAACTGGTCTGCACCCACCCTATAGGCCTATATTTAATTTATTTTGTGCAGGGCAGATCATGTTGACGTACATGGATTTCAAGCACTTGGGCGAAGTGCAGTTGGTCAATTAAAGACGGCTGATCTACGTCCTGAATTTTAAAGGATACATTGAAATTAAGATTCAAAATACAAGCTTGTTATGGAGTGACTGTCAATGCCGTGCATCAAGGAAGAGTGAAGGCGGATCCGTGTTTCCACCAAAAACGCGTGCAGAATGCAGCCATCACGCACTCGTCCAATTCACACGCACTCGCAATAGAGAATGCATTGGGCTAAATAACCCAATTCAACTTTGTGTAAATAAGGACGTCAAAATAAACCACACAGAAAAAAAAACAGGACAATGAAAATGAAACTTCGCGTTATCACATTTTAATTCATCGCCAGGGGCTTGGATATATAATTGTTCTCAAACGCTGTCTGATGTGTTAATTTTGAATAAATTTTGGATAATTATGTTGAGAGCCTTGGATGTACAAATGTAGTTTCCGAGGACAGTATCATGAAGAACACCTTTGGGAAACCCCCAAAACCTTTGTTTTTATATGTATCTTGTCGTTACTTTTGTCAGTACTTTTTATCTGATTGTATTTATTTTGTATTTTATGTGTTAATTTGCCTAAAAGATATTATTATTGTTATAATGGCGTTCTTGAGGTGCTCGGGGTTTTTTCAAAATTGTGGCATATTTCATTACGAGAAAAGCACATGGAAAGTATACGATACATCGTTCCGGTGCATTGTCGTTCAAGTGAGTCCTTCAAAGATGCTATATAGGTAACTCTTTCCTACATGAATTCCCTAAATTTCGCTTCATTATTATTTCATTCTCGGCATGTCCAATTAGCATAACTACTTGGGTTTACTGAAACATTAGTTTTAAACGGTGAACGCCTAGCCAGATGCATTATGTTACACCTGTTACTAACAAAAGAGAGACAACCATCCCTTATATTTCTTGTCGTAAGTTGGTCTGTTCTTGGCGAAGCATTCAGATCCTTTCCGGTCACAGTTGCACATGTAGGCTCTGCACTGCGCGTCATTGTCGCTGGAGTCGTAGTCAGCCTGTGCCTCTGTCAACCAAACAGTGACAAGAAGTTTATCAAGTCTGTCAGGACAGTATATGTATATATCAATTTAGTTTGTTGTTTTTTTAACCAAGAAGTTCGGTAGTTTTTGGATAAACCGTTTCATTTCTCTTGTGGGTAAATTGCCTCGAGAACTGACTTGTCAGTTCTGCGTCTTTGCTTTCCAAGGCGTTTGTATTCCATGTAACAGAATTCAACGACGTGCTATAATTGAAACTGCACTAGTGTTAAATATGTTTTCTTTTCTGACCTAAATAAAGACCCCACATCTCCACACCCAAAAAAGTCTAAAACAGAAGAGGTAGTACGCAACGTTTGAATTAGTTTTGATCATGAATGATAATCTAATTGTGAAAGTACAGCACAGTTATCCGTATGAATGGTGCATCAATTGCATCATACATGTAGATTTCGTGCCAATTTTATAGAAGGGGGCACCAGCTTGGAATTCGAAAAGCGGTGCGTGGAGGCTGACCAGTGTCATCTCATGGATGGTGCATCAAAGTAACTATATATTCTCCTTTTTTTTTCGCGCATTTCCGCGCAATATGTGAGTTTAATAAATCGAATTTAATTGGTTGTTGACGAGATATATCTTTGCATTGTTTACACGATTGAGAAATTCAACTCAATGGTCAAAATGTATACACTCTTGGATGAATTATTTGGGAATCAAGTTCACAAATTAGCTATCGGCATCCCCAGCCAATAAAATAAAGATATAATAAATTACAGAAATTAAGAAAAAAGGCGGGGGTGTCCCCCGATCAACGCCCGCGATGTTTTATTTAAGGTCGGCGGGGATATTCCGTATAAGGAAACTGCATGCAATTGTAATACTTTATGACCTTTTCACATTTTTCATATAAGCTATACTTGTTCAAATGTTCACAGAAATGAATACTTTTTCTGAAATTAGACACGACGATTATTGATACTCACTGCATGAGAGTTGACAGCTGCCATCAGAAGCCGTTGTTTTCTCATAGTCGTAAGTGATGTAGTATATCTGTAACGCGCTACAACCGTTGGAAGTCGCATCTTCGTAACATTTGTCGTGTACCGCACAACACCTGTAATTCATCACATCATTCCAGGAATTCGGAAAATTAGGGAAGCTACAAGAATGCTATTTTTCATCCGTTATCTCCCAATGTCTTTACAGCGCAAGTATACATAATGTTGAAATGGTGCTGCATCATTCAACGAACCATGCTATACCTCGGCGGAGAGTAGTTAAAATTAACCACAGGTGCCGTCTCCGCACTAATTGCCATTTATTCCAGAACGAGAAGCAAGTTGTGACAAAGTGTCTTGCCCAAGGACACAATTTCCATCACCCCAGGCTCAAATCCCACCATCTAAAGAATTACCCACAGATATTGAGTTTGATACTCCAGACGGGGTCCACTCGTAAGTCCGAGGCCTCATAGGTCCGATACCTCATAAGTCCGACAAAACCTCAGCCCCAACCAAATAAAGGCCCATAAGTCCGACGCTTCATATGTACGACGCATCGTAGGTCCGACGCCTCGTGGGTCCGACAATCAATTTTACTTTTATTGCTGTCCATAAGTCCGAGGCCTCATAAGTCCGAGGCCTCATAAGTCAGACGCCTCGTTTGTCCGACAGCCATTATTAATGAATACAAACATCGCGTAAAATGTCAGAATGTTAGCGCCAACAAGTGTTCGAGGGAGAGATTACACATTCACATCTTGGGATGCACCACATCCCCCCCCCCTCCCCCGGATTTACGTTCGTGCGCGCTGTCAGACTCTGAAACGGCTATCACCGTGGGCACTCTCACGATCGAAGACAACCTCGCTCAAATCGTTGTATAAAATAATTTTGGTAAATCTCTTTTTTGCCTTGTCGGACAAATTAATAATGAACCTTTCTTTGTAACGGTGCATAGGTCCGACGCCTCATAGGTCCGACGCCTCGTTTGTCCGACGTTGGACTTATGAGGCGTCGGACTATATGAGGCGTCAGAGCTATGAGGCGGAATACAAAATTCCGATGCCTTATAAATCCGACGACTCATAATTCCGAAATTTCGGATTTATGAGGCGTCGGACTTATGAGGCGTCGGACTTACGATACGGTCCCACTCCAGACCACGGATGTGAAGGCAGTCGTCATTGTCTCAGTATACTCCATGTTTTATTTAGATTAATTTATCAATTGTCAATAATTCTCCATAATTTCTGTGTGCCTGTCGAAGCAGGTTTATTTTCAACCTTAAAATGATTTGATACCATCTTATTCACTTTAAAAAATATCTCATACAGCTTAGGGATATGGTGTCATTCAGTTTTGAGAATTTGTTTTAATGGCAAATAAATGCCCTTACACGCCACCGCAAAATGAATGTTCAATTTCTTATGAATTCAATCCTTTCATTCTAATTTGGGGAGTCCATGAACCACTGATATTACAACGATATTAAAATATGTGTTAAAAAACACAGACTTAACTGTTCTAAGAACTTACTCATCTGTGTCATCTACTGGCGTTCCATGGCCTCCTGCGCCACAGTAGCACCCGTATCCAAAATAGTCACCAACTGCATCCATGTAACCCAAGCCAACGGTACACGAGTACATGGACGCGAATTGCGTTAAACTGCGTTGACCGATTCCCCGGGCTTGAAAAAATGTGTCAACATTTGGAACCAATTAACTATGACGAACTACATTCAAATTGCCTTAATTAATTCTGAACGGGTCCCAGAATAATATAGTTGTGTGAATGGTAGGCAAGCTATACCAAAGCACGCATAGGGCCTCTTTTTGTAAAGAAACCAGTGGCGTATCCGGAGGCAACTTGCCCCTCTGGCGGATTCTTTAATTACAAAAAAAATAAATTGGGTAACTATTTGCATAAAATGGTATAGAGAGGTCTGACATAAACGACAAATAAAGAAAACCAATCCAAATTAAAAAAAAAAAACCATTATACTTCGTCAAAATGTCAGCAACAGAAAATGAAAGCACGTAGATTTTGCTGCCCTCCCCCCAAAAAATCAAATGATGAATAAGCCGCTGACAAAGACTTTTGATCCCCCAAATCAAAAGCTGGATACGCCGCTGATAATAGTAACCAAAAACAATGGCATCAGTGAGAAAAATTATTGTATACATTCCTTTCCAGATTGCATAATGCGTCTTTTTTAGAGGGGTACCAAAAGAGCTCGCTGTATTCTCTCAATATCTATGACGACATTTGTCTCATTATATCACGGAAAACATACCGTTGGATATTTCTCCGTATAAGGTCTTACCTGAGGATATGGCAACCAGTCCTAGCATTATCAAGAGTAGCTTCATGGTGCTAAGGATTCGTGTGTGAAGATTACAAAGGAGCTCTGATAGTGAACGTCCGGTCTAATGCTGCTCTCTTACCGTCGAACGCAGAGAGTTGCGTTTTCAAAATACCTTTATAACAAGTAAAAACAAAGACTAGCCTTGCTATGGGAAACTTTGAAGATTGACATGTGCATTGTGTTATCTCAAAGCCTTCAATTAAGGCAGGAAAATTCAGTTTAATTTGAAAAATTGTTTTCTTTTATCTGCTTTGCAAAAATTAGCACGTGTCAATCATAAAGCACGAGAACAGGTGTGTTTGTGAGAAAAAAACATGTGGACGGACTTCTTGTAATTAAGCACGATAGCTCGGCAAATGATTAACATCAACAAAAACAATGGACTACCTGATAAAAATAAATTGTAGATAGTACGATATTATCAGACATTAGGAGCAGGTTGCAGAAATTCCATGTTTATGCAACACTTGATGCTGTTGCCAGAATTGTTGCAAATTTTAAAGGCCATAATTGTTTGCATGGCCGAAGAAAAAAAAACAGGTGGAACAAATTTACCGTTTACCGATCATTTGAAAGAGTTCTTGAAATAATTAGTAACGATATTACAGTTTGCGTTTTAGAGTTTCTAGCGCAAATCGATTTTAGCCCCCGATGTACGATCCAAAGTGATCAATACCCCCTTCGTTTTCTTTTGTTTTTGATCTAAGCCGGGCAAAGGAGCCAATAAAAATATGACACTATCTGCCGTCAGGTTGGGTTGGGTAGGGCTGGAGGGGGTCGCGTTGGGTCGGGTCGGGTCGGTCGAGTCGGGTCGGGTCGGTTCGGGTTGGGTTGGGTCGGGTCGGGTTGAGTCGGGCCGGGACGGATTGGGTCGGGTCCGGTCTGGTCGGTCCGGTCGGGTCGGTTTGGTTCGATGGTTCGTTTCGCTTTGCTTCGATTCATTTCGGTATGGTTTGGTTTGGTTTTCTTTGCTTTTACCACAATTTGTTCACGCAGGAGTATGGGTACCTATTGGGTTAGAGAACAGGTCAAGCTGATCTCGAGCTGCCAAAGAAAACGTTCCGTCATACCCTGGTTAGCAGGGACGATGCGCTTTAAACGACTACTTAACGTAACACATAAACGGTCTATCTACACCCTTTAAATGTTTTGTTTTCCCAAAATAATAATATCCATATGCTAATAAGCTACAGGATCTCAGTGCTTTGGATTTTGAATTGACAGTAGGCCCCGGCGCGGCCTATTCGATTAATGTAACTTTTATTCGCTTGACCATGCAGATATGAAGAAAAAACTTTCCCAGGATTCCGGTCCTTGAATACCTTAATTTTTAAAGATCCTTCGCTCGCATCGATGGACAACTTGGCCAATATTGTCTTGGTCTTATTAGGGGTGGCATAATCAGAGCGTACGCCTTGGCCAGGGAAAGACAAGGGCGGATCCAGAACACAAATTTGGGGGGGGCCAAAAAAATTGTTGGTTCCCCCCAAAAAGTGGGTCCAAAAAATTACGGCGTGGGGTTCGGGGCCCGCTTAAGGGCCCCGAAAAAATTTTGGATTCTAGATGCTCTGTGGTGTGATATGAGGCGATTTCTGACCACTTTAACCAATGTTTTTTTTTGAGGAAAAGATGGTGGTGTACTCATTGCCTGCCTTTATTGCGATGTCAAAAAGTGGGTCAAAAAAATAACGGCGTGGGGTTCGGGGCCCGCTTAAGGGCCCCGAAATTTTTTTTGGATTCTAGATGCTCTGTGGTGCGATCTGAGGCAATTTCTGACCACTTTAACCAATGTTTTTTTTGAGGAAAAGATGGTGGTGTACTCATTGCCTGCCGTTATTGCGATGTCACATAAAAAAATTGATTTCGTTTTGGGGGGGGGGGGGCCATGGCCCCCTTTGGCCCCCCCCCCCCCTGGATCCGCCCTTGGGGAAAGACTGTATATTTAACTTTCCAGGAGGATCGGGGATCTGGAGGGCCGTCGCACTGCCCTTTGTCGCCACCTAGTAGTATGAAATCGTCGTTCAGCAACATATCTTTTGATAAACTCCTTCCCCTTGATAGTTAAACATTTTTTTGTCTACTCGGAAAACAATCATGATGTGCTTATATTGTAAACGATGTAAAACTCGCAAAAGTTGTAGAAAAAGTAAACGTAATTCGTGCAATACAGTCTATTCACATGGCTTGCCTGTGCAGCTAGCTGAACTCTTGAAATAAATGAAACACAGTGATGCCATTTTGAAGTGAAAACGCACATTGTTTTATTCAGAAAAAAAAATCACCTTGCAGAGTGAGTGTAGGCTTGCTGTTTTTGTTTTTATTGCGTTAAGAAATGTCATAGGTGTTTTATTAACACTTTATTTTGTAACATTTCCAATCCGGTACTCTTTCTATTGGATTGGACAAGATCCTCGTATTTAAGAGTTTGCTGAATAAACAATAAAATGTTTATGACGAATGAGAACTGAAATTTGTATATGTATGTCCCTGCCTGTTTATACATCAGCGTGTGTCGTTCAAGAGCATGGTTGGTATTTATGGAACTCATGTCTGGTTCCCAGACCAAAATATTTTGACTTTTTTGAAAAATCTTTGCTCAGGTAGCCGTCACGTATAAAAATAAAACATGATGCAGCAAAGCCCACCCCTCGTGCATCCTTTAAAACAAGCATTGAATTTATGAATTCGGTTTTTCGGTATTTAGTTTGTCGGTAAATAAAACTTGTTTTACCCGAGCTAGTGTGAACATATCCGAGTGTCAATGTATTCGGTAAACTCTCGGACATTTTCGGAAATGGGCAAGACCCAGTCTGTTTTCGCTGTGCTTATTTTTAGTCATGACCTGACCTAAGTTTCGTCAGCATAGTCTGAATCGTTTGTTCTGGGAACCAGACTAACTTTTTATTCCAACTTTTTGGAAAGTTTTCCAGATGGAAACTGCCAGCTTATGAAGGTTTGTGAGCAACATTTTGTTGGGATATAATTCAGCTCGCGAAAAAAAAACTCCCATTTCAAGCTATGCGCGTTATTCAAACTGTAATACATAAGACAGATGCAATGTTTTTTGCGTAAATTCCGGTGGTTTTTAAATTTAAAATTCCGGTGACTTTACCACAAGCAGAAAAGATTGGACCAGTTGATATATTTTGAGTCGAAGGTAGGCCTGGCTTTGGCGAAGCATTCCGCACCCTCGCGGTCACAGTTGCACATGAAGGCTTTGCACTGTGCATCAATGTCATCAGCGGGATAGTCGGATAGTGCCTCTGTGAAATAATAATGCAAAACATCAAATGATAAGGAAAAGCAGCAATTATTGTGCATTACTTTTCTTTGGCCATCCCTTAGGCTTATTCCTTGTGAACTGACTTCTGATTTGACTTGTGCTCGACTCGTGCACGTGATTGACTATCAAAACTCTGAAATCTTAGCTTCAAAATGATGTGAACATGGGTGAATGCGCTCCGGAAAAGGCACGGGCATTAATAATGACCATACCATTATGACGAGTACAATAAAGTAATTTTAATTTACATGTATTATTACAGCAGATAGGACCTTTGAGGGACACTTTGGGGCTAGGGGTCATTGAAGTTCGGAAAAAAATGTGCACAAGTCTGTGGGAGTGGCTCCTTAGTGACCAATTATCGGTAATAATAATTATAATATCACATTGCTGTACTTGTTGAAATTACGAACATCTTAAAACAAAACAATGCAAGCCTAGTAAAGCTGGTCTTAGAGCCCACACAATTGACCTTTCGCCGTTTTTCCTCGGGAAAATAGAATGTCCATGGATCACCTCGGGAGGCTAGTTTTACTACACCACTCGAGGCAGTCAATATTTGTAAACTATGAAAACGACACTATAGGCTGAGCCTCTGGGTAGTGGCGGCGCTGGGGAGTGGGGGGAGGGGGGTTAATGCCTTCCACAATTTGACCCCCGTGCGTTGTCTACATTATACGGATTTATTATATTTTCGTCGCTGTTCAGAATCAGAACTATAGTTGAAAACAGAGAACTGTGCACACAGCTGGCCCATAGCATTATAACAAACTAAGTAGTTTTGTTATGATAGTGGTTGTTTTTTTTACTCGGATGGCACCACTTGCACCTTAAACTTGGAAATCGGATATTATTTGACTAACCCCCCCCCCAAGAATACATTAAAAAAAAGTTATGAAAATTGATTTATGACAATTTGCAGTCCAAAAAGCGTCATGTTTTATTCGTGTTTTTTTTAGTGATTACTCATACCGCTTCACCCAAGGATCAGGCAATTAAGGCAAATCAGCGAACGAAAAATGACTCTGATACTTCATCGTCATTTCATTTTAAAAACTATGATGGCAGAACTATAAAGTTATTGAATTTAAAAGGCAAACAACATGCGATTCCCATTAATGTACTCACTGCATGTTAGCTTGCACTTGCCGTCACTGCCGATCGGAGATTCGTAGTCATACACGATGTAATACCTCTGTGCCATAGTGCAGCCATTAGACGTTGCCGCTTTATAACAGTTGTCATGGGCAACACAGCATCTTCAAAGAATATCGATAATTACACAGAAATGAAGACGTGTTTTTGAATATTACTTGTAGCTTCAAAAACACTACAAGCTATGTTGTTATTACGCCGGCATCAGACAGGGGCGATATTTTAAAGGGGTGGCCGCTACGCAATCAGCTCTTAACCTGTGCAGACGATTTTGAAAGTTCCCCCAAATTTGAGAAAAATAAGCTCCAAACAATCTTCCGAAAGCAACCCTTTGAGTACTCTTTCCAGCTATAGGTCAAAATGTTTTTTTGCAATAACTTCAATTTTTCCCTTGTGGCGCGGCGTATGATAAGCATATTTTAAAACCATTTCAAAATTGGAATGGTGAAAAACGTTACAGTCAAATTAGTCCTCTAAACCAAAGCTGAGTCAAGTTATCGCAGGTTATTTCAAGTCATCACCCGGTTATCACAAGCCAATCACAAACCACCCAGCCTCAAGTCAAGTAAGTAACAGGCTAATATAGACTCTGATGAAGGCATTCCTTTGTCATTGTTTTTTGAAGGACTGATGGAGATCGACTTGTGATTGGACTTGTGATTGAATTGTGTTTTGACTTTTGGCTGACTTGTGATTCGACTTGTGACTGACTTGTGATTGGAATTGTAATTGACTTGTGATGGAATTGTGATTGACTTGTGACTGACTTGTGTTTTGGACTTGTACTTGTGACTGACTCGAGAGTGAATTTGTGACTGACTTGTGATTGGACAGGGGCTGACTTGTAATAATTCGACTCAATAACAAACCGGCACGGAATGTAACTCACTGGTCCGTCTCATCTCTTGGCACTCCGCTTCCGCCGAAGCCGCAGTAGCAACCGTAGCCTAGATAGTCAGTCACTGCCTGGTCGAAACTAATCCCAACAGAACAGGAGTTCATGTTGTTGAACTGTAATACACTTCGCTTGCCGATTTCTCGCCCTGAAATAAATGACAATTAAGTAGAAGAGCGTTGGAGAAAAAAATCATTTGGTGAGGTTATGGAGCTGTCGTGGACGGGGGAGATGTAGTAAGGTAAAAGACGTTGTTGAGGCAATGGTGGTAAGGATGGTAAAAGTTATGATGATGAGGAGGATGGTAGTGTCATAGTCGGTAAGGGGAAAACTGCATTTCAAAAATGACGAAGTTACGCCTATAGCTGTCACAACCTGAAGTTTAAAATGCAGTATACCAATTGCGTCATCAGAGTAGGACTAATGAATATGATTTTGAATTTTATTAATTGCGTTATTACGAAGTACTCTGGATTTTTAATATTGTGGAATCCATTTTCACAAATAACAGACATATACGGCCGATGAGGAATACACAACAGATAATTTCTATAATATACATTCATGTACCCCCTCTTCGAAGACAAGATCGAGAAAAAAAGCATTCGGGTCCTAACTATATACAATCAGCCGTTCACCTGAAACAGACGCCACTGCCACGAACAAAAGAAGCAACTTCATGATTGTTGTGAACTTGTAACCAACCAACGATATTAAGTTCGCAAAGTAAGGGTTGCGATGTTTGCTGCGATGCGATGACTTGTAAAGTGACTGGTCTTCAAAATACCCTGCCCTTTATTGAAAAACTGACGTTAAGTGGCACGTAGATTGACGTAGATTTTATCATCATATCAAGGCCATGATCTTAGCAGACAGCAAGTGCTTCCTCAAACTATTCGTTCAGGGAGCTAGATATGAAACTAAAGTGTTTCGGCCGAATGCGTTAAGTCGCGCAACAGCAGGAAAATTATAGCACTATAACGGCTGGGCTAAACTATAGATCGTTGCCAGTGTGCACGATTAATTTAAGTATAAAGTACACAAAACAATCGCATGAACTGGACAGATGCATGGCCGAAAAAGAATCATTGGATTTTGTAAAATGCCGTTTTCTGTATGATGACCGCCCCAAAAACTTTCCCTGGCGTGTCCATGAACAGTTTTTCGCAAACAGGGCGGGGGGTACGAGCGAATTATACGCGAAGACACCTCCGAGGTAAAGTGCTGGTATTTATGTCAAATCTGTATCAAACCTGATATTTTGCCCTCCTAAATCTGTCCACGGTACCGTCTTCACTCAGTGGCACACCCCAAGGGCGGGGAGGGAGAGGGGTACTCGGAGCTCCGAAAAAGGGGATAAATGATTGTCTCACAGGGCTTTTCACCCTCACTAATCATTAGGCCAAAAAACTGCTTCCAATTACATGGCATTTGAAAATAGGTTAGGTAGGTAGTGAAATGCTTTTTTTTGGCGATTTTTTGTGTGTACGATCATCATGGAGGTGTCTGCGTGTAGTAAAGGGTAAAAGGTAGTAATTGATGGTTTCGGGGTTTTTTTCCTCATCCCCCCCCCCCCCAAAAAAAAAATAGGGTAGGTGGGTTTTTTTATCTGGTGGTTTTAATGCATTTGTGAAGCAACACTAGTTTAATATACCCAGTTTTCATTACTGTAAATCGCATTTGAGTGTTCATAAAATTAGTTTTTGCGATCATAAAAAATTATTATTATGCCTTCGAAGTTAGAATCAATGACGGAGGGACTGGGAACCAGTCTAAATGTTTGAGAGGGCGCACTAACATAACACTACAGCCAGTAACGTCGGCAATAGAAATGGATGCCTTAAATGCGATAAAAAGTTATCATTTGAACTTATAAAAACAGAAAACGGCACACGTGTATCGTCCATCGTTTTGTACATAAATGGAGAAATGTATTACTCCATTGCGAAGTTCCACAACCATGGCGGAAACTAACGTTACAGGTTCAGCGAAGGAAGAACAATTGTACGGTAGGGGCCTACGTCACGTAGTCAGCTAGTGCAGTGCTAGAGTATTCAGCGCTGTCATGTTGTGCCCATTCTTGAAAATCACGCAATCTTAAGAATGCGCGCGCGTTCTTAAGAATGAGCGCTCGTTCTTAAGAATGAGCGCTCATTGCGTGGGAATATCACGTGCACAATTTATGAATTTTGTGCAATCTTAACAATAACAAACATTGCACGACATAATTATGTTAAAAATGAAATGTATAGCGGTTAAAAGGGAAACAATTTATATAATTTATAAAGAGGAAAGAAAATGTTCTATGCTTCTGTACTCGTAATAACTACGATAATTTGAATCAAATTAAACCTGTTATTATTGCTTTTTTCTGCCCACTATGGGAAGTTTTGTAATAACGGAGGACTGGGAACTAGTCTGGGAAGTGCTTTGTTTAGGCTAGACAAGTTACAAGTCCCTGTATGTATCATATGCATGCCACGAAAAAACCCTGATGTCCAGAAGCTGCCAAAATTGCTCTTTTGACTAGATAGAATCCAGCTCTGCAACATAATGGTGGGGTGTGAACAATAAATTGGTGGCAATTTCAATGGGAAATAGGATTAGCACTATGGGATGTCGCAGTATTCATTCTCATTCTTCACATTCTTCATTCTTACGTCCCTCCCCCCCTCCCCCCCCCCCTCCCCCCCGCTTTTATTATCCCAAAAAATCAGAATTCTTTCCACTATTATTATGTCTCTTATTTTTTTCCCGTTCCTCCCCCCCCCCATATCAATACGCGTATACTTTTCATATCCACTCTACTTTTCAGCGCTATGCGTTGCAACAGTATAAATTATTAAGAATCAGTGAACGAGGATGCAGCTAGACTTGCCAAGCGCAGCAGGTGCTCGGTATCGACAAGACCGTTATCTTGTCGCGCATTCTTAAGAATGTGCGCTCAATCTGGAAGAGTTATTTTTTGCGAAGATTGTGCACTAGGATCCAGTTGCACAATCATAAGAATGTGCATGCGCATTCTTAAGAATGCGTGATTTTCAAGAAAGCGCACAACAGCGCCGTAATGACTGTTGAATGTTGTTGTGCGCTTTCTTATGATTGCGCAACTGGATCCTTGCGCAATCTTCGCAAAAACAAAAATCTTCCAGATTGAGCGCACATTCTTAAGAATGCGCAACAAGATAACGGTCTTGTCGATGCCAAGTACCGGCTGCGCTTGGCAAGTCTAGCTGCATCCTCGTTCACTGATTCTTCATAATTATACTGTTGCAACACAAGGTCACTTTATCTAGGAAAATATTTAACGATGAAAAGTAGAGTTGATATGAAAGTATACACGTTTATATCCGGGGAACCAGGAAAAAATAAGAGAAGAGACATTACTATTGTAGTGGAAAGAATTCTGATTTTAGGGATAACAAAAGGGGAGGGAGACGTAAGACTAAGAATGACACGGTGTAGAATGAGACTGAATGCTGGGACAACCCGTAGCGCTAATGCTATTTGCCACTTAAATTGCCAACAATTAATTTTTCACACCCCCGTCATTACGCCGCAGAGTTGGATCCTATCTAGTCAAAAGAGCAATTTTGGCAGCTTCTGGACATCAGGGTTTTTTTTGTGACATGCATATGAAACATACAGGGACTTTTAACTTGTCTAGCCTTAACTTAACAAAGCACTTCCCAGACTAGTTCCCAGTCCTCCGTTACTACTGCAAAACTTCCCATAGTGGGCAGGAAAAAGCAATAATAACAGGTTTAATTTGATTCAAATTATCGTAGTTATACGAGTACAGAAGCATAGATCATTTTCTTTCCTCGTTATATGAATTATTTCCCCTTTAACCGCTATACATTTCGTTAAACATAATTATGTCGTGCAATGTTTGTTAAGATTGCGCAAAATTTATAAATTGCGCACGTGATATTCCCACGCAATCTTATGAATGAGCGCTCATTCTTCAGATTGCGTGCTCATTCTCAAGAATGAGCACGCAATCTGAAGAATGCATATGCATTATACGGGTGTGCTTGGGCAAGATAATGAATATGCATTGCAGTTCATGATGTTTGTCGGGCGCACGGCGCGGCTGGCCATACAAACACGAGGTCATGAACTGAATAATATATATTCATAACCTTGCCAAAGTGCGCCCGCAAATGCATACATTACAATGCGGCCCCCATTTTGAAATCGCATTGAGGAACATTTTTCCGGACGATATTCCTGAAAGATGATGACTGAAAGTCGTCTTTTGGCCAGATGGATGAGGATTTTCGGCTAAAAGAACATTTTTTCGAAAAGGTATGAGTTCCTCTTTTTTGACTAGGAACCTTAACTTTGGAAATGTCTGTCCTGGAATGAGAAGATAATCTCGATCAAAGTCGGTAGCAAAATCGCTACATCAGAGTTCAGCATTTAGGGGAGCATTGACTTTCTGGTTGTACTACAGAGCTTGCGATAGTACTGTACGGCCAGATGCAGTCGGGCTACATCGGGCCTACCTGGACATCACGTGACACTCTGTGCACAAACCCTATGAGACTGGTCTGAAAAATTCCAAGTGTTTTCTCAGTAAATGATTTAATATTTGATCATTCATTAATTAATAGGGCGGGGGCGCCCTTCTCCAAGAGTACGCTATTGTGGGACCTACCAAGAGTGGGGGAGGGGGGCATCCAGTGGAGAAATTGGGGCCCCCCCCCTTACCCCCAAAGGTTCCCTGCCAGTGCTGAACATTTGCATACAGTTTGACCTTCAACTTACATGTATAACACCCTGCTAGTGTATGCTTGCACACATGTTCACTGCATCGCACAGCACATGTACATAGCTTGCAATGACCATGTACATTGTATTATAATTAATAACGTGGGTGATGGCATAATGCACGGAATGACAAACAGAGTTTGGGAATAGGAAGGCAACATTTTTCTCCTTTGATTTCTTGGATCTTATTTCACGAGATTTGAGAGTGACCAAATTAAATTTGGGCACTTTGGGGTCCGTGGGCTTACCAGAATTGAATGCATCATTACAATGTACATGTATTTTCTTAATTACAGGCATGCAAACACTGACGGAAGAGGTGTATGTGAACTGCTATTGGTCTCAGCTAGAGGGAGCTGTCTCAAAACTCCTGTCTCAAGAACCTGGAAAATTCACGAGGCTATCGTACGAACAAATGTACAGGTACAGTATACTGAAAGGCTTTGACCTTCCTCCCAAATCTCTGACACATCCAGGGGCACAGAAAACACTAGTCCGAAAATTTGGGACTCTCAATACTGTGTATGAGAGTCCCAAAACTTAAGGTATCCATATCATGCAAAAGTTTGTGCTGCATAATAAAACCAGTGTGAATCAAATTTGCAAGCTTCTTACTCACTACAGTTTCCTCAATAATCCCCGAAACTTCTGCCTCGCAAAGTTGCTGTTGTGAGCATTGCATCACCAAAAATTCAGCTTTTAATTCTAATTTTGCAGAGAGTTATCGTAATCGAAACGTGAGACATCACGTTGATGTGTACTGCAAAGCATTGTGCAAAAAAACTCCCTAGCTAAAACATTTTCATCTTGTAGATAAAGCAGCGCCCTCTTGTTGATCTAAGTGAATGTAGAATGTTTCATTTTTTAACAGAGGGCGTTGTGTTCATTGGGCTATCAATTAAAAAACAAGTAAGCTGCAGGGCACTTCCTACACCTACCCAGAATACATTTGGAATCACACACCCATTTCCAGAGCATGGAGATTGACGTGGGTGGTTTTTGAACTGCCAAAACTTGCCTTAAAATTGGATTTAAGGTCTCAAATTTCGCAGATGACATGCTTGCAACTTTATCATTTTGATGTATGTGTTGTGTGGGTATTAATTAGCCTAATGGTGAGTAAAAAAATGTCAGTAGTAATTTTGCACGTTTTTATGCACTCACGGTCCCAGTCTGAGAAAACACATGCTTAGCATTAAACTGATCACCAACCGAAACTGTTGTGTGATTTGCACTACGTGTATTTGTGACTGGTTGCCAGCTGAGTATTGCTTAGTACATAAAGCACTATTTGTTCAGCAGCCCCATAAAAGTGGACCCTTGTCACTATGGGCTCCATTCACAATTACCCCCTCACTGGCAAGAAAGGGAGAGGTGGGGGAGACCACTGGGATACTAGTTTCAATGCATCGCTCACGCGAAGATGCTGTGGCTGTGTGAACATTCAGAACAAAATAAGTACTTCGCGCTGCACACGCGGTGTGTTTTGTCCACGGAGCTGTCAAAAGTGATAAAAAAACGCCCTCTCTTGTTGGCGTGTAGAGCCAATTTGCCGAGCTAGTGTTACCATTATGTGTTGGCAGTAGATTGTGTTGTCTAATATGCACACCAGTGTGTTTTTGCCTGCAATCAGGGTCACCCTATTGTCCCTCTTTTGCTTGTACTCCAACTTTTTAGGAAGACCTCCCACATGTTTAGTACACGAATCCAAATTTGGGACCTCTCGGGAATTGGGGACCCTATTGTCCTCGAATGTTCAACAAACCCTTGTAGGTGCATGTACGTGTGGTGTCATGTTGTGAAACTGTTAAGCAATTTCATAGCCAAGATGTGCACACACTTGCACATGCATCCTATGGACATTTCCATTCTTCTATCACTGTGTGAAGCAAGTTTTATTGCTAAACTCACTTAGTTCTTAACCCTTACCGCCCTGAATCCTTCAAAATCCTCTTTGCCAAAGTGGAGAAATTTGGAGGATTGAGGCTACATCCTAGCAAAAGGCCTAGGGAGTTAGGGTTAAAGTTTACAGTTCAAATAGCATGGACGAAGGCTCTACTTTATGAAAAGACCTGTTCTGATCAGCACCAAGAAATCTGACATACATGTAGGTGTTAATTAAATGTGGTGTAAGTGGGCAAAGACTTGTTTTCATTGTGAAGATCTCAAAACAAAAATGTGCTCAAAAGTTTGTTTTCCCTGACACATTGTTGTTTTTTCTTAACAGTTGTGTGTACAAGTGTGTGTGTCATCAATATTCCGAGCGAATGTACAGAGATCTTAGGAGAATTATCACCGGTTATCTTCAGGAGAAAGCTGTATATCTACAGGTACTGCAACAGGTATACGTACATGCACCTCTAGGGAGGAGTATATAGAAAAGGAATGAAGCAATAGACCATATTAGGCCTTTTCACTCTAGAGCACTCATCCCCTGGACAAACTCACAGGGATGGTGTGGAGGTGATGATCCGATGAACCCCTAAAATTAGAAAGATGTGTGCCAGGCTTCAGATTCGCTGATTAATTAGGCAAGACAACCGCCTCTGGACCTCTAGATTTCGACCAATCAGCGGGCGCTTTCTATATGAGGTCTTCGGTCATTCACCCGTTGCGCGTCATAGACAATGGATAAAAAAACCTGTGTCACGCACTCTGTATCATGTTACGCAATAGTGCTGTTGTTGCATTACAAAACACTGCATTCAAATTGACCAATCAAACCATTTAGTCCTGATTTGGGAATGAAATGACATCACGATTTAGTAAAGTTGACTCCGATTGGCTGGCGGGCGGCTTGCATATATCTGCATGTCTAGGCATATCAGACATTATCCAGGAGACTCTTGGCTCCGTGGATAACGAGTGATACTCAGACTAGCTTTAGATTGCTTACACTATACAACCAAGAGGCAATCCTGGTGAATCCAAGAAAATTTCATTCTTTTGGATATATCTTTAGGATAAGCGTGGTTAGGATTAATGGGTCTTGAATTACATTGTTTTGTTTTTAAATTTACCATGTCTCATATGATGTCTGGCTGATGGGTACCTGTGTGACAAGCTTATATTGTGCCAAGTATTTTACGTGATACTTGATTGCACTTGTTTCTGATATGTCTCTTGTATTTCAGATGTGCAATGCAAGTGAATACTGCAAACGTTTCCACACTGTATTAAAGCAGTACACCCAAGCTCTTGGGGGAATAGTGCCTATCTTTACTTTTTTGGTAAGTTGAAATAACACAGTCTACTCATAAACCCGAAGTCCCCAGTAAAGTTTGCTGGGAGGCTTCCTGAATTGGCACAAATCCAGCAGTAATCCTTTTGCTGACCCTGCCCTTTTAGTCTCAATGGACAGTTACTTTTGTTCCCCCCACCCCACCCTTCCTTGTGGCTTCCATGCTAGGCGTGGGCATTTTAACCCCCTTTTTTGATTCTATATATTCAGACATGGAAGGGTGACGCCACGTTTTCAAGGAATCAATTTTCTGTAGTAGCTGATTCTAGTTACATGATGGTCGATTCTGAATCATGGCTTCTGTGTGGCATTTGAAAGCAGAAACGTAATTGTTGATTGCTGTGATATGCTGTTTTTAACGCCCGAAGGATGCATAGCACATGAGGCGAAGCCAAGGGTGCTGTGCACTTCGAGGGGGTTAAAATGGCATCATCAGCAGTCAACAATTGTTTTATTATATCGTGCCAATATGTCAAAAAGATAAAGGGTCGGAACTAACTACATGTATGCAAGAAATATATTAAATCACTGTGGTGTAACTCTTGATAACTGCAGGCTTTGTTGCTCGGACATGCGACTGAGCGGTTGTGCATTGCATCCAATTCTCAGTCGTGAGCGTGCATGAAGGTTTTACACACGTGCGTGCAACGCGTATTGTATATTAGGTTAACCATTGAATATGTGTTTTTACAGACTGGACATGGGGTTGTTCTCAACCACTGAAATTACAGTATCCAAGCACACGATATAACAATTTGCATGGGGCACAGAAGACGTGACATACAACAATCAAATTAGTTTGTTTTGTTTTATTTACTGTCAGAATAAGTAGCCACAAAAATATGGTGTCTTGTGTAATATTGTACATACCTGACCCTGCACTTTTCAAATTTCACTATTACAGTCATGAGTTTATTGCCAATGTGTTGATCTTTTCCCATACAGAACAGATTTTATATAACTCAGAAGCTGGGAACAGACCTGCGACCAGAACTGGAGAAAATGTTTATGCAGCACCTACAGACCCACATATTCAAAATACTAGGTACGTTTACATGTAACTCAACACAAAGAGAGTAGCATTTCCATTTCAGCGTACAGAACACAAATGAACCCACATACAGCATAAAGGTAACTCAGTTCTCATTTGACAAGCCCCTTGAGTTCAAGTAGTATATGTTAAATTGAGTTTCATTGAACATAATGCCCAATTTTAAAAAAATATCGCGCACAAAAGCTGAGCATGTCAACATTGTGATAATGGCACCTGTGATGTTTGAGAGGGCGCCCTCTCAAACATTCTTTTAGACAAGAAAACAATTTTGAGTTATTACAATATTAGTAAAATATAGACCTTGCTCTTTTAAATGCCGCTTTGTTTGTGAAATTGGATTTTCCAAAGCGAAGTTATTAAATTTTGAAATCGGACAGCCCGAAATGTCAAAAATGGGAAATAGTTTAGTTAGAAATTAGTGAAAAAAATAATTTGTCAATGAAATTTTGGTTTGAAACTTTTACAGAACATTTCAAACAGGAGTAGCATCACAAAGTTCAAAAATCTCAAAATTGCTGAAAATTACCCCAATGGCATTTGCGGTGCCTGTTTCTCCATTTGTAGCTCTGCCATGTCTGCCGAATTATAAATGATAATAATAATTCCACCTGATTTTGACATTCCACGTCACATTTGAAGGGGAAGAGCAACTTTCAAAGTATGATCTTTGTAATGTTTTTTTTTTGGTTTCTCTTTTTAGCTGTGCTTCAGGAAGCCCAAGCCAAACCTTTTTCAGTTGATCCATCCATTGCCTCAGATATAGTCTGTGGACTGTATGCCCTCCAGCCCGGTAAGAGGAAACACATCAGCGTTTTTGTGAATTGGAAATTGAATGTTCTATAGACACATTATTCTTTGTTTGGAACTCCAGTAGCCTCCATAACACTGTCCTTAGACATGTGCTGGAGCTAGTATGTTGCTATGACTCTGCTGTCACATAGGCCCCCATCAATGGCGAAAGCATTGTTCTAGCTATTGTTCAGATAATCCGTCATGGGGCAGTTGCTTTGTACAATAGCTGGCGCAGTGCTTTCGCCATTGAAGGGGGCCTCCATGAGCGTACAGTGGTTCCGTGCTTACCAGCTCGGCAGCCAATTTCACAAAACGTTACGCAATGGCAATGGCAATGGCATAAGTCCACTGACGCCACAATTTTTTACATAAGGTGCGCAACATTTCAGTTTTGAAAATATTTAACGAACGTTATGGCAAACAAATTATGGCGTAACTTGCCTAACAAAGTATGGCGTAACTTGCACAACAAATTATGGTTTAACTTGTGCAATTAATTTAGGTGGCGTAGGTTGTGGCATAGCGACTGAAAACGACCTGTGTTACCAGCAAATCATGATCGTCTTGGAGCCTTTTATTGCACAACTGATCAAGGTTGATACAAGACACACAACTTTGTGTTTGAAGTAATTATACTTGTGACAGAGTTTTTAGAATTGCCACACGATTCCAAAGAATTCAAAATGGCGGGCGGAGGTGATTAAATGACTGTTTCATAAACGAAAAAAATCACACACAAACAGCCGTCTTAAATGCTGTCATTATCCTTGTCCAAGATGCTTAGATCATATTTAAAACGTTGCGTAGCCACGCCAAGTTTCATGAAATTGATCGTAAGTTTGATCCACAGTTTGTTTGGGAATGAGAAAATCGGGATAAAAACGCCGAAAAGCATTTAAGAATAAGAAACAGGGCCCCCTTTTGACACAGTCAGAAACCTTTTCTCACGCAATGGCCGTTCAACTCCGAGTTCGGGCGGTCTGAGTCTGACGCAAGTATTTATTATTGTTCTCAATTTTGGTTTGGTACACTGAAAAGTGTGCTTACAAACTGATATGACTGTATAAATACAGCCGGTATGCCAGGGGGATCGCGCAAGTTTAACTTACAGTAGTTTTCTGTTTCTGCCAGGGCAGGACTACAAATTAAAACTGATAGTGATTTACTTTTAATCATATCATTTATCTTAACTCCTTGTCCCTCCCCCCTTCTGTTTACCAAGATTATGCAGAGTTGAACCCTGGCCTGTTTGCCAAGTACATTCCCAGCATCTTGCCACCTTGCACTGTAGAGAACCTGTCAGACTACATTGAAGAGACGCACCAAATGCAAATAGAACTCCTGTCACAACAAGACTTCAACAGGTAAAATGTCCCATGCATTATACATCACATTGTGTAAATCATAACCTCATTTGTGTGTAAGTAACCAGATCAAATCTTGAGATCTGTTCATTGTTTCTGAAATAGCTGTTAAATGTTTGGTCTGCTTATCTGAAATAATGATGCAGCTCCATTCCTAAAGTGCTACCAGTGGCCAAAGTGCAAAGTGTTAGGAAAATCCGAGCAAATCATATCACATTTAAACAATACCAGTTTATTTTAAATTGAAGCATCATGACCCCTTTTTATGTTTTTTTTTGTGTCTAACAGAGACAGCCAGACTCAAAAGAAGAGAAGTAACGATGCAGAAGCAGTGGTCAGGTGACGCTGACCATGTGACATTTGTCAGGTGACATATCTGAAATCATCAGGTGAAGTCATTATACATGCATTGGTACACCGATAGTCTTTCATGTACAAAATACATTGTTGGTTTTTTTGTAAAAGAAATCAGTGGTTTTATTTTAGTTAGCAATTACGTGTATACCAAATCATTGGACTAAAAGTTAAATTTTGGTAATCAATTCAAGAAGTGTTTTATCATTTTACTCAGGTAATGGCATGCAAACTTTAGAAATGGCTATTTATTTCAAGTTCAGGACCAACAGAACACACTAAAAGAAAGATTTGTATAAGGAAATTTAAGCCAGATTTCATATTTTTTTTTATCTTTTTATTCACTACCAGGATTGCATTGTGTTGTGAGGCAGGAAATATATTTATAAATTCTCTTTTTCTTCTTTTGCTTTTGTAATTTGCTACATCAGTTGTCAAACAGCTGTGTGTGCAAAAGGCAAAGTATCACAACATCATATACTATACTAAAAGTATTGAAGGATCGAAATATCAGGCCATCTAATTTTTTTGATTTGTAATTTTAAGTCAATCCAGTAAGCAGTTTGCAGCAGTTTTATTCATTTTTAAAAAATGTTAAATTACAATTGCAATCTTCCTGCTCAGTTTTGTAATTAGGTTGTAAATTATTATCAGGTTTTTAATTCTTTTTTTTCTTTCATTTTGTGATAAATTTGTCCAAACTACTTAAAAAATAGGATAGTGAGTCATTCGTCATGTTAGATACACATCTGTTTTGGTAATAGGACCTAATTTAAATTCCGCATCCTAGGACTGGAAAAAATATGTTGCAGCTAGTGGAAGTAGGACTTTTTACTGTCTTTGGGGTTTTTAAATCAATATCATGATTTTTCAGTTGTAAATTTGTTCTGTATTTTTTGAGAAAATTTGCAAATACTGTACAATATATCTATTTCTTGAATATTTGTGAATTATTTGTGTGTCACAGAATGTCCTGTGCAAAAATTTCAAAGCAAATCAGATTTTATACCTTGGAAATTAATATTGTACAATAAAGTAAAACAAAGACTTTTACAAAAATGCAAAAGTGTGCGGTACACTATGTATGACTTTGAATGTTTCATTTTTAGAATATAATTTACACATACAGGTACATGTAGATCTTATGGGTTGCTGGTATCTCAGAGGGTGTTACCAACAATGAATGCGCAACATGTGTTTTCATGACTATCCAAGCGATACAAAACTATTGACCTCCAACTCCACCTCAATGCATAATGTGAATTCATTTGTTAGTCTTAGTGTCATTCAACTTAATGTCGTTGGACATTTTCTAGAGTTAAACTCAACAAGCCAAATTATCTTACAGTCTAGGTATCCCGTCCCTTTTCTCTTTTTGCAAAATATTTTTGTTACAGATAAAAATAGCAAAACAAATATCATAACAAAACATAACGCAAACTGAATTCTGTTATCCACTCGAGCTTGTTCCTCTTGACTTAAATAATGTCAATTAAGCAAGAATAGGATGTGGAACGGATGTTTTAGTGAAACATAGGAGATATAGTCCTTCAGTAGCGAACAGCTGTGGTGGGTTTCTTTTGACCAACGAGCTAACTGCCTAACAGTCCTGGATCCTCTTATTTAATAGGATTTTTCTCACATCCCAGGGGGTTATTAATGCTGACCGTGGCTGTCGCATTCCTCTCCCTGAAAATCGTTTTCCGAAAGGAGATGAGCTTGAGGACTGTTGATAAAGTTATGACCTTGAGAAAAATGAAAGCTGGCAAATAAAGCTTACATTTGATGATATATCTTATCTACCGTGTCAATTATGAAAGTTCCGAGTATTTCCCGATTTTTTTTTTTTCATTTGGGGGATGTGCCTATGGGAATTTATTTACTGCTGTCTGCAAACACTGACCTCTATTTTAATAGAGATCAATGGGTCGCACGCATGAACAGCGCCCCCATTGTCCAGTGAAACCAGCTCACTGGCACCTGTACCCTTTCGCTATCCGGTTCGTTAGTGAAAACGTCATACACGCGCGCACACCACTGATTACTAGCGCCCATTGGCTACAAACGCTCGAGCTGCGTTAACTTCCGGTTTCAATCATGCAGAAAGTTCTGGAGGTGACGTCACACTAACGAACCGGATAGTAGTACCATGGAGCTTTTATAAACACAGTACCGCCAGGGGGGGGGGGGGGGGGGGGAGGGGTACGAGGGAACTTCACCCTTCTCGATCGAATTGGCGACAGTCCGGGAAAACAGGCTTTCCCGGTGCGACCCTGGACAAATTTCTCGCAAGTTCGCAACGCTTTGACCCAATTCAAAGACCCTCTTGTTGAAAAGCAGTTTGAAAATGATTTGTCAAAAATTCGTCGGCCATCCCCAGTACTATACATGTGAGATCCCGATTATGAAGCGCCTGGGAAAAATGCCTCCTGACAAAGTTTGAAGTTGACTCTGCGTGCTATTTTCAAGTATCGGACAATAAGGCCAAAAAAAATAAATCTCCGGTTTCTGGTATGCGCGCGCGTCGCCGTAGCCATGCGCGTCGGCAAATGAAAACGTTTTTTTTTTCAATGAAAGATATGACGTCTCAAAACCACCAAACTCACTGGTTTGACTGGAATCCTGCTGCTGCACAATTTCAACGTGTTTTTAGATGGGGTTATGATCAAGGATAAGCTTTATGTGGCGTCTCTGGACTCCCATATATTTGCACTAAGTTTAGTCGGGCACCATTTGCAGTCATCAGCCGACATTTGAAGCAAACAAATCAGGTAAAAAAAAAAAAAAAAAGCTGCGTCGCCGCACCACTTTTTGGGCAAGCTCCATACCAGAAACCGGAGACTTTTTTTTTTGGCCTAATCAACCCCCAAATATTGTTTTTCCACAAAAACACTTATTTATGTTATACAAAAAAAATATTTAGGCTAAGTTGAAGTAAGAAATTGACTGTAAAAAATTCATTACAATTTGCTACTGAATAATTACTTTGCAAATGTCGAGCAAGCAAAACAGACTCCAAAAAAAAATGGAACTTGCGTCGGGGTGAGGATGTAGATAAAATTAGGTTTTTGCCCTTCGCCGACGTATAAACACTGTATAGTCAGTGTGTTACCTCCCGAGTGAACACCTTTTCAGCTAGCCTTGACCAAGGCTATCAGCTTGTTCCCATATGAGCTTGTTCCCGCTATACCGCACACCGCGCGCGCAGCGACACAATGTTGTACCATACCGTTAGCCCCAACGACCCATGCGTGTGCTTTGTGTGCATGTACTTACGCCCCACACACACTTCCGCAAACAGCCGTACAGTAAGTCGAGGCGGAAGATAGCCTTGACGCAACCGTGTATGCCGAATATGATAATTAGTACGCGCTATGGTAAATAGTCTTCTCTCATTGGATAACGGCTGACAAAAAAATGAATATTTATTGCATTGTATAATACGACCAAAGGTTTATAAACCAGACGGCCTGTGGAAACAATAATTATTGTAAAACACCCCCTTAAAATCTTAAATAATAGTAGAATAATATTTATAAAGTTACACATAGTTTGGATCGAAAATGAAATGAAAAGGATGAAAAATTAGACCTTCAAAAAAACGGCAAACGGTACAAAACCGCAAGCCGTCCAAAACGATGTCACCATGCACAGAGGCCACGTTGGGGCCGTCCACTGTAGGCACCGGCCCGGCTGGCGCCATGCAGTAAGACACGCTGCGCTTTCACGTTCAGCGGCAAAAAAAGCGCTCACACTATTGAGTATATCTACCGCTGACTTTTGGGGGGGGGGGGGGGGTATTTCTTCTAAGCTGTCAAGGGGATATGGGAAAAAAATATCTCTCCTTCAGCAAACTTATTCTGTAAGACTGATTTTAACTTGTATGAACAACTTATAAGTTATATGTCGTATGTACGACTAATATATCGACAGGGTACGACATATTTCGACAGGGTACGACTAATATCATCGACAGGGTACGACATATATGTCGACAGAGTATGACATATCAAACATGACATAATGTCGACAGGTGCCGGTACGACATATATGTCGTGCATAAGTCGAGTCGACAGGGTACGATATATGTCGCATACGACAAAGTCGTATATAATTATGACTTAATATCTCGTGTGTACAAAATATGAATTGTAACTCGTATCATGGAGCTATGCTCGTATGTTTGACTTGTTTGTCGATTATGTCGTACATACAACATATCTTGTGAGAACGACTTGTATCTCGTGCGATTTACATCTACGACTTACATGTCGTACGTATGTCGTAGGTACGACATATACGATTCATACGTACGCGTTAAAATACATGTGTCGTATGTATGAGATGTAATTTGCACATGGTACGAATTCAGGGAGAGTTTTTTTTTCACCATGTACCTGACAGTTTCGTATATTTCCATCCCAAAGTCAATAGCTCGTTTCTTGCAGTTAATTCATACGGGTGCTTATAGATACGAGTTAACCTGCATTCGATTAAATGGGTATGATTTGACCTGGGTCCGAGTTGATCTGTTCCCTACATTCGCTGTCAGAATAGCACGGGCAGGTAGCGGCGTGATAATGTACGCTGTTGCACCGACAAAACGTCGGCGGACTGTCTTGAACTGTCCAATTCGCAATACATTGGAAATAGTATCATTTTGAACAATTGTTCACTCATATAGCGGCATGTTTCATTTGTTTGTAATAAAACTGGAGAAATGGTTTAAAATGGGATTGAAATACCTGGACATACCATGGTTTGAGTTAGCCCGACTGCGTCTGGCCGTACAGTACTATCGCAAGCTCTGTAGTACGCTTGCGATAGTACTGTACGGCCAGACGCAGTCGGGCTAGGTTTGAGTGAACATACATGTACGTGGTGTATACTATAATTTGCGGGCCATGAATATGTATGTCGCGGGTCAAAGTTTACGGGCTTTGATTGGATATCGTGTAATATATGCGCATCAGAAATTTTCGGCCGATTTCGGTCGAAACTATAAAGAAACACATAAGGAATTCGCCACGGTTGCGTCAAGGCTATCTTGCGCTTCGACTTATTGTACGGCTGTTTGCGGAAGTGTGTGTGGGACGTACGTACATGCACACAAAGCACACGCAAGGGTCGTTGAGGCTAACGGTATAGTACAACTAGTGATTGTGTCGCGGCGCGCGCGGTGTGCGGTAGCGGGAACAAGCTCGTATGGGAACAAGCTGATAGCCTTGGTCAAGGCTACTTTTCAGCTCGAGGTCTTTCTTCATGGGTTATTCCAATAGTTAGGGTGCCAACGTTTGACATATTGACCCAAAACTTTTCACCGAAAGTCGGAGGTAGTTTCCTATATCATGGGTTATTCCAAAAGTTAGGGTGCCAACTTAATTGACCCAAAATGGAAAATTGTTTGAAAGGGGATTCATTAATATTTTCCGTATATAAACATTCCCTACCCAAATCAGACATTATTTAATCCAGAAATAAAAAAAATCATGTCAAAAACCCTTTCACGGTTTCGATCACGTGTATAACGGGGCCGACTAAATACTTTTCTGCTTTTATTCCGATAATTCATGATGCTCAATGTGGTGTGTTTATTTTAAAATGTGTGGATTTTTTCTTACCCGGGATTACACGTCAAGGTTTTATTGTGAAAATAAATTGATTGGACTGGTAACAATTCGGTGCGCATGATTGCATATTGGGCACAGTGTCCCATTTACACCTAACCTAACCCAAAATTTAAATTTCCAATCATGCAATGTTTGCTATGATTTCACATCAAGTGGGACTATACATTTGGGTTTGCCACTGAACCCAATTATCTTTTACGAAAATGATTAAAGGACACCAAAAAAGTGGGTCTAAAATACAACGTTTGGGTTAACGCACTGAACTTCCCGCCGGCCTTATACAGTTTATCATATCAGTTACACATACTAATATATAATGCACATGCATAGTAGTAAGAACCAACGGCGCTGTACAGTATAGGATTTTTGGTAAGAACCAACAACGCATTTCAACTGGAGTCACTTTTTGAAATGTCACAGCATTTGGGGTCCGACCTGTTTTTACACGTGACTGAACCGTGAACCAGTACCAGAAAATCCTTTGCTACTACATGTATACTACATGTAGATATTTAGGTATAAGCTTACATGTATGAGCAACTATGCATGATTGGTATAGGGATGATTATCACAATGTAAATAGGGACACCAAAATTCATTGGCCCCCACATTTATGGAATCACCCACATGGAGGCGGTTAGATCATTCTTTCATTGTCAGATATAATATTACTTTTAGGCCGCCTAATTAGGCGTTTCCCCTGAAGAGCACAGGAATGAAATCCCCGTTTACGACGAACATACTGCCACACCCATAATATTTTCCCGTTACCACAGGGGCGCACGTGGCGTTCATAAATAACACACATATTTCCCCGTCTCCCACTGCAGTTTACCATTCATCCAGCGAAGCAAAATGTGAGCACCCGCCTAAGTAAGTTCAAAGGTCGGGCATGTAGCGAAGGCGTGTTACTTCTTTATCGATCGGCGCGGGCGGGACGACGTAAAACGAATGAACACGGATATTTTGTACGTGACGTCGGTCATCTCATGTCCGTTTACAATGGAATATAACCCAGTGACACTTTTTTGAATGGCCACTGTGCCTTATCAAACTACACAGAACTGGGTCCATCATTGACCGCCTGTCGCACGTTTTAGACAAGTCAAATTTCCCGCATCCAAATAAATAGACTGTGGACTTGTGGTTGTCGTGGTGGTACGGTACGGGAGCACACACACGTCCAGCGTAGCAGTACGGTCAGTAGACAATACCGGCGAAGGCGAAAGTAACGGTTCCGAGGAGGCAAGACATGCCAGTGTTCGGTGGTCCAACGAAGAACGGTGTCGGCAGTGGTAGGCCTGCTAGTACTACTACTAGTGGTAGACCCAAAAAGGATCCCCACGACGTAAGAATGATCAAATAATAAACTTGAATTAGTTTCATTACCATGAAATACAACCAAATGATTTTATGGGCACATAACAAACAATCAAAAAAATTAAGTGATGCAGTGCATGCAGTACAGCCTTACAACAAGCATGACATTGACAAGGCGTTCTGCTACATTTGTGTAGCTACATGTATAGGGGCTGGAGAGAATGTTTCTCCGTCCCAGATTCATGTCTTGTCAACGTTTTTGCCGTGACTGACCTTATGCTTTATTGAGATGATGTATGATTGAAGAAAACATCACTGCCAGAATTGGTATCCTCGACCCTCCATAATCTGTCATGTCTGTGCAGGTAACGCTTGCAACGCATGCGCGTTGTCACACACAAAATGAATGCGAGTGCATAGAAATAGGACCACGTAGCTTTAGGGGGTCTGACGATATTCTTCAAACTAGTATTAAAAAAAATCTTATTTCAGGAAATATTTTCTTGCCTCACTCCCCTAGCAACATTTTGCAGGGAGTGAGATAGCTGGAGTTACCTCAGCCCTATATTTTATCATTGGGTTGTTGTAATACTTTAATAGGGCTGGAGGAAGTTTTCAGCACGGACTAGCAATTTTAGCATATCTCTAGAAATTGGATTCAAAAATGATAATAAAATGTGCCAATTTGTCCCAGTGACACACTATCACTAATTCCCCTTTGGACTCACCCAAACCATGCCCAAACCTTGTCAGGTATAACAACTACACTGGTCCAAGTTGAAGAAAATAATAATCCATGATGAAGATTCAGCCTACAATTGCAGTGAAAAAGAGGAGGCATTGTACTGACAGCCGATCAAGTCTGGTTGGCTGGCCAGAGTGGTAATTGGTTTGTGTACAAACAAAATTCGTGTGCGCGCACCAGTCAAACTTGCCAACTGGTGCTGAAGCGCACACCCGACGACTGTGTTTGCACTAACTACATGTAGTATGAGGCTTGTGTCACTCGTATCACGGCTACCGACAGCAGCCGAAGTTGGCCAACAAACAGTCGTCGGGTGTGCATATTTTTAAAGCAATTTGAGGATTTTTTGATACTCTTACATTTTATAATGTCCCCTAGTGTATTCATCACTTTGTCTCATTGATTTGTAAACTAGCCTTTTACACTTGTTCCAGCCTCTACAATTTTCATTTTGATGTAGCAAAAACACTGAACATGTTGAAATCTATAGTGCATGCTATGCACAAGGGCCATGAATCTGTGTCCCAACACTTGCAGCTGCTCTTAATGGACTTGACGTGTGCATGCTACATGTATCGGAGACAAGATATGGCTATTTAATTTTAAGGGGGAATAACATGTTTTGGATTGTTTTCTTTACTATTAAAAAGGTCTGGTTGAAAGGAAACAAACCTAATGTCCATGATGTCTTACCGTTCTCGAGGAAAGACGAAAAACACAGGTTGTTTACATCGTGCCCGACGGACCTTTTGTGGCATACATAATATTTCAAGTTGTGTATCAATGTATCGCTCATGTTGTGTGTGTGATACATTTTGTGTAACATGTAATACACACAGCACCAATACACAAATGTTGTTTCTTTCATGTACATGTCTGCAGAATGCGAACTACTAGTATGGCTGGATTCACAACTACCGGTACCGGTACATGTACATGTACATGTAGCATTAACAGCTCGATTTTTCCGGGACAAATTTTGTGACCCCCGAAATTTGTTCTCACATGGTTTTCGCAAGAATAACACAAATCATTTTGTTAAAAACACTTTTTTTTTAAACCCAATTGGATGGGGCATTCCAGGCCGTGATGTCCCTTTAACTACTGGGCTGTCGCAATACTGAATAGATGTTTCAATTTCGAGGAGAAATATATATACGAAAATGCCATTTGAAAAATTGACCAACTTGAAATGCCATTTTCTCAAAACACGGTGTTGCTGCTGTGTTGGCAGATTCGTCACTTCATCAAAACGATATCAATATGATCAGGGTTTTTAAGCAGATTTTTGTTTTAATGTGATATTTAATTAAAAGAAATTCAGTCTGGAGTATCAATTGGGCACCTTGTCATTTAACGTGTTTAATACTTCTTTGAATAGTCCTAAATGATTTGGGAATGGTCACACATTAGCAATTTAATAAGACTTGCTTAGCGGGCTTGGGCATAGTCATTGTCCAGACTCCCAACCCCTCTTAATTAGTGTTTAAAACCAGCCAAGCGTAATTTACAGTGCTACGCAGTTGTGTGCTAGACAACCTGGCAATCGGAAATGTTGAAAAATGTGTTCATGCGTGACATGTGAAGCTTGAATTACGTTTGGCATACAGATTCATACAGTATACAGTATGTAGATTTTTTGGAGTAGGACGATCTTTTAATTTGAGCACGTACCGGTAGGCCTATATCTAAGTTCTTTAATTTTGGGAAAACTTTGGACATTCTGGATCATCTTCAGAACAAAAAGAAAAGCAGAAAAACATACGGTACAACCCAACAAACTGTACAAATACCCTCCCCACCCTGTATGGTTCCCAGAGAAAGTTGTTGAGTTGAAGCTCATTCATCCATGAAGAACCCGCAATTTTTGTCACCACACCCTGGACAGTATCGTTCCCTGGGGTACAGAAATCAACACAATACAATTTTTGAAGGGTGTAACTAACACCTGGTTTCAGTAGTGAGTGTTGTACATGTACATACCTTCCCATATTGACTTTACTTTTACTGCAGCCTTGGCTACTGTTGTTGCTGGTGATGTTTGATTTTTGCAACAACTATAGTACATATATACCTCAAGTGAGACTATAGTTGCAATATTTTAAGTACATGTACCATCATGACCATACATGTAGTGCACAGTTTGTTTTAATTTCAGTGAAGACTTGTGTGCGCAACAATTTCGCTGTATTATTATTCAGTGCAGATTACTTTTACGCTATTTTTACATCTGTAGAATTTAATGGGAAATGCGGTAGAAGGTAATGTCTTCACCTTTTTTCACACGGGCATACTCATCAAGAACTGTGTAAGACTTAATTGAAGTGATACGCATACATGTATACATGTACACCTAAAATACCTGTAGGCGTACATGTACGTATACACGTGCTTCTCTAAAGTGTGATTTGCACGATTGTTCTCTCTATTCTATGGTTTACACTTCGCCAAATAGCCAGGGTCACCTTGTCCAGTGGGTAGATTTTGGACAAAAGAATTTCTGGTTTGTTTGGCTACAACTACAAGGGTAAAAAGGGTGACCTACACATTTACGGTTCTGTTGTTCACCCACTGGCCTTGATCTGAGAAGGGAGAAAATAACAATGTTGACCTCCTGCAACTCTGATTTTGTATAGTGGTGGGAAATCAAAGGACAGAATATCAGGGCGTGTCAATATATGGTATGTAGTTTATATGGAATTTTTTTTTTGAAATTTGCGTAGGCTGTACAATGCACTGTGTTCAACAAGTGCCTGCCGACCCATGGAAATAAATGCTTCATCAGATCAGAATTATAAATGAATGTTTTTTCCCCTTTTTTCAGGTGTTCAGTTCTGATATCAAACTGAGATCTCTCTGACATCCGGTTTATTATCTGCTTGCAAGTCATGTAAATTACATTGTTAATTAGAAAATTTTAGAAATGAAAGAAAATCAGAAGTTAAAGTAGTCCAAGCAGGTAAGACTGCAGCTACATGTACATGTTCATCTTTTGTTAAGCTATTAAAAAAAAAAGGCCAGTAAATTATCATTACTAGCACGTACATGTATTGTAAGTAATAAAGAACGATTTTAAAATCTTCATAACCAAGATGTATCAGACAATACTGGAAGCCTACACTACATGTGTATGTGAAGTCAGGGCCACTGAATGATTCAGGTCTTTTATATACACAAAAGTAGGTCTGTGCATTTTATGAATTATTTATCTAGGATACATGTAAATAAGTATGTCAATCAATACAGTAGCCTTTTGTACTTTACACATGTACAGCCAGCATCATTACTACAATGCTAGACCAATTGACAATACATGTACACATGTATCAACATTTTACACATCTTCATACAATATACAATGTAATTTATTAAATACCACTTTACACCTGTACACAATGTACACATATCCTAATGTACATGTACAATGTATGTGCATGTGTTTGCATAATGTTTACATTTAGAATTAGAGGTGATTAATGTATTACATGTACATGTATACCACATTTAAAAATAGACTTAAGTTGACTTGTCTATGTCATCTGATTACTCTCTGTTCATCCATGGTTCATCCTAGCAAACTATGTACATTGTATATGTATCTAAGAAAATAGTGTTTGTATCAATACGGGAGTTAAGGGCGTGCACACATACACACCTGTACACGCATACTTTGTACCTGTACTGCTGTACCTGTGCATACCGTACAATCATGTATGCTGCGTGCGTTGATATTTGCTCTTGCAGCTTCTGACAACAATAACCATTGATGGGGTGTATTGTCAACTGTGAGATGGTAGCCACAACAGAATCATTTTAGCAGTTCACGCACAGATGATCATTGTACCTCTCTATACATGTAGTCACTATTGTCAGATATTTTAGTCCAGATTTGTTTTGAAAAGTGTACGTGCGCATTCCCAAAGTCATCACAATAAAGCAGTTAGTGTTTCTGTACATATGTATGTAGATAACAATGTTAAACAGAGAATTCAATTTTCGATAGAAAAAGGGTACATGTAATATGAAATTAAAGTATTGTCCCCAAGGATAATGATTACCTGTAATTTGACTTGTTACTATTACGTGTACATATGTTTAGAACATTATTTTTTACTTTTATTTACACAGAACAGCTTGAGGGTACAGAGAAGCCCAGACGAATTCAGTTAACCCTAACCGCCCTGAATCCTTCAAAATCCTCTTCACCAAAGTGGAGGAACTTGGAGGATTGAGGTTACATGGCAAAAGTGCGTTACTGATTTCGTAGAATGCCCTTTAATTTGTCAAGGTCTTGGGCCGGACCTTGTGTTGTTTTTGCTCAGCCATGCATAAATATAGGCCTGGATTGTGCTTGAAATCCTCCATACTGCTCCAGGATATCACTTGCCAAGCCTCAACATATTGACAGTCACTGCTGCAGGATTTTGCAGGATTCAGGCAGTGGTCACCCCTCCACGAACCATATTCAAGAAATAATGGAGGAATTTGCAGGATTGAGGCTATGCTATTTTCCATGAGGCCAATTGGAGGATTTTGCAGGATTGAGGCTACATCCTAGCAAAAAGGCCTAGGGAGTTAGAGTTAATGAAACAAATTTTCAAAAAGAGTGCAAAACTAAATCTTGCAACCCCCTCCTGAAAAAAACCCTTGTTTTTCTCTTTGCTGAAAAGTGACATTATTTCCTACCCGATCATTTCCAAAGACATTTAATGTCCTTATAAATATGAATATGGCATTGTTGCATTCTTTGCAGTTTGCTGACAACTTAAAGATCAAATCTTGCCCTTCTCAGAGACAAACGCAGGTAGGATAAAGCCCACAGCGAGGACAAGTGAGCATTGGTTGGCATGCATACACATGGCGGATCCAGGAGTTGAATAACAAAAACCCATTTTAATTTTTGAAAACAACTGTGTGCAAAAGTCTAACTATAAATTGTCCTTATTTTCCTGAGTTTTTGCTGTGCATTTTGCATTAGGGGGAGGGAAGAACCAATTTCTCTCCACGTTTTTGATTTCCTGGATCCGCCCCCAGTTGCATGAAGCATGGCCTGTAGAGCCTTATGAACCGTGATTGCAGTAACTTGCAGTTTTGATTCCTATAATAACTTAACACTATACGGACACATTTACTATCACGCATGGAAAAGTCACCCTAATCTTATTTTACAATGTATTAACTCCTTGATTCAAAAATGGATGCACTTGTGATAATATTTCAAATAAAAGGATTGTCATAAGTTTAAAAATAGCAGCCGGGTTTACTAACATGTACAGGTACAACTTATTGTCCTTTTCCTTTAACGTAACATTAACTTTAACCACCACACCCTCGAAGACCTCCAAATCCCCCAAACACTGAAATATTCTCTCAAATGAAAATGTCCCGTATTAACTGCATGAACATCATTTATCAGTGCAAGGAATGCTAAGGTCTGGTAAGAAAATAAGCACCCTCCAAATCACTCTATATTGGGAGTCTTCGCTGATTGGTGTTTGCATCCTTAGGAATTATCTGAGGGTGCTGTAAAAGCACTGTCTTTGGCCAACAACAAAAATAGTATGGCTTCCGATTACATGGCATTTGAAAATAGGGTACCGGTAGGTACATGTACAATGTAGTTAGGGAAATTTGGGGGGGGGGGGGGGGGGGGGGGGGGGCAATTTTTTGTGTATAAAACATGTTCATATGGAGGTGTCTGGGTGTAGTAGTCAAGGGTAAAAGGTAGTAATTGATGGTTTTCAATTTTCCCCCCTCATTTCACCCCCCCCCCCCACAAAAAAATTAGGGTAGGGGCTGTCAAAATAGAGTAGGTAGGGTTATCGGAAGCAGAACTATTTCTTATGACATCCGGTGACTGCGTCATACACGCGCACACACCCACCACTGATTACACAAGCGTCCATTGGCAAAACTCGCCACTTTGTACTACTTCTGGTTCCAATGGTTACAATGAATTGCAATGCTACTCCGTGTGTAGTGGGTATGGTTTAAATTGAAATGACGTCAAACTTACGAACCGGATACACACGGGAATCAAAACGGTTATTGAGCCTGGTAACTTTAAACGCTGTAACGGCTGAACAATCACAAGTTTATACAATCTTTTTTATTTATTTAGTAAATTGCTTCAATAAACTGGATTTTTTTTAGGTTTTCACCTAGTAAATGGAATCACTACAGCGACCTCAGTTACTAAAAAAATTTGGCCCGTCAGCAGTTTGGTATGTCCAGCTGAATGACCAGAAAATAACGTGCAAAGAGCAAGTGTTTGAGAAAACATTTTTGAGGATAATTTCTATTTTCTAACTGAAGTCTGTGTAGTTGCTTCTCATTCATAACTTTAGGACTGTTGAGGACATCCGAAATGTAATGATGTCATCAATGGGTAGAAAGACACATGGCCAAGTACTGGTACATGTACATACCGGTATATGTAGGAAGAAATTAAAAACAAGGTTTGTAATCTGAACTATTTTTAACACTGGACATACTTTTTTACCAAAACTAATATGCACATAAAATATATTCATACTGTATTAGAATCATAGTGTCACAAATTGCCATTTTGCAGTACAGTTTGACAAAACAAAATTGCCATTTTGCAGTACAGTTTGACAAAACAAAATATAAAATATAAAGAGGCAATTTTTTTTTTAGGTGACGTGAGCCCATAATTCTTCCTCTACTTTCTCCAATTGTCTTTATCCATCAAATATCTACAGTGTATTCAAGTGAAAATCGTTTTACTCATGTATTGTATAGATAACAATTTCAAAAAAAACAAAAACACCAAGATACAAAGCCTCCATTTCTGTTGCACAATTGCTCAACTTAAAAGTATAAATTAGTGAACTCAATTTGGGCGATTCAGAATGCAGTGTGCCACCAAGGGTTTGCCATGGAGAGTCCCTTTTTCAAGTTTACGGTCGACAATATACAGCCCATTTGAATGAGTGTCAGTAGACAACTTGAGCTAATTTGTTATAGATTGGGGCATAGCATTCTGCCGCCTCACAAAAAAACACCATATTGGTAAAAAGAAAAGAAAAGGGCAAACATATGTAAATGCACAAATACTACGGTTACGGAACTACTTTAACCGGAAAAATTAACAATTTCAAATGTACCGCGCTGCAAATTTGTCGGCCATCTCCCACAATGCACTGGGAAATATGAACTCTCTGTGGCAAACTCTTGGTGGTGAACTGTAATAGGCCTATTGTGAAATGCGCAAATTAATATAAATCTAAAATGTATCACTTGAAAGCTCTTGTTCAGTTTGTGCAGAATAAAAAAAAATGGCTGTAAGTTCATTTCACGGTTACAGTTCACAATCAGAGAGTGTATGCACAGTTTATGCATGTACTGGTACCTTTTTCCCCGTTTTATTAACAAGATTTTAAAGCATCTATTCGGTTAATTAATACTGCACAGTGTAATGGATTGCAGTGGTTCTTAAAACGTAGTTTTAGAACAGTTTCTAACTTTTAACCCCTTGTGTTAAGTGTGAATACCCCATGTTGACTTCAAATGTTTTTTGTCTTGAACATGTATTCGGACCTGTACAAATGTACATGTATGCATGTGGTATACATTTTTTAAAATCACCTTGTGCCAAAATCCTGCCTCTCATAAATTAACATACAGGTTGGATTCAGGTATATGAACAGGGTCAAAGTGATTTCCACATGATCAACCCAGAGTTTTTGGATACACATCGAAAGGACTTCGGAATGTTCATTGTATAACATGTACACGTATGGTAATTTCATTGAAATGAGCACGGGGTGGCCTGCCAGTGGGAGACTTTTGGATGTTGGTGGCAGCAAACGCACTGGTCCTTTTCAATTGGTGACGTCATGTTTAAGCTAAAGCACGCATGCTCAATATGACACAAACAATGGAAATTGAACTCATGAACTGTTGTCAGTGTTGGATGATAATGTCTTTGGTAGCAAACAGGGTATCAAAATGTAGCTACGGTAACAACATTCCCCAAAGGTCTTTATAAATGACGTCACCATAAGACGATCAGATTTAAAATTATGACCCCTCCAATGAGTGTGGACCTTCTTTTTGTGGTGTTTATGAACAAGTACAGCATGACCCTTGATGTGGATTTGATTGTCATCTTTTGAATGTGTAATATTTAGCATGCCCTAAAGGATATCAAGATGGAAGAACCCGCAGCTAAGCGAGCCCACATTGTAGGCATGGAAAACGATGTGGCCACGCCCCAGCAGCCCAGGATGCGTCTGTGCATCGCTACCTGTAACCGAGCAGACTACTCCAAGTTGGCACCCATCATGCTGGCTGCCAAGGCTGATGAAGACATTGACTTGTCTGTCATTGTCCTTGGATGTCATCTCATCGATGACTATGGGTGAGTTGACGGTTGTTAATTTTTTGGGGTATTTCAGGTTGTTTTTAGGGGTATATGAAATTCATTGTGACATTCTGTATTCTGGCTAAATGGGCTCATGGAAGAACAGCATACAGGCAAGAGCTAGAATGAGTGGAATGATGTTGCTGGTGTTACTGGCAGACCCAGCATGTCCGTAACTGGAGATTTCAAAATCCAGATACTCTAACTTTTTCAAACCGAATAACAGTTATACATTTTTGTAAATCCAATTTCACCGGAACATCCCATTCAGCTCACAGTCATGCCAATAAAAAGTTGAGTTACATGTAGGTGCTGCACAGAATGCTGCCCACGATGATTTGGTATTGTTTAGAGGACTGACTGAATGACCACTAACCCTGGGCCTTTTAAAACACTTGGGAGCTGTAAATGTTTAACCCTCCTACTGTTTAAGCAGTCACAGACACTCAAAACCTATATCCACTTCCCCTGCCATGTCTTTTACAAATACACAGGCTAGGTACAAATAGTCAGATCACATTTCAAGCAAGCGCTCTGACTAGTCAAACTCATTTAACAGACAATATTAGCAGGCAACTGGTGGCACAGCTATCTTATCAATCACCTACAGTCAAATCACAGCTTTATCAAAAGTACTTTAAATTTACAGTCACAGCCAGTCAATCCTACTTTACGTAGGCTTGGAGCTCTGAACTGTTGAAAACAGTCAATTGATTGATTTTCATGGGGGGGGGGGCAAAAGCGAGTGGCCATTGATGCACCCCTGACTCATTGAAAAAGGGGAGGGGCTGGACTTCATATTTGGGAATGCTACCAGTGAGTCAGTATTTCATAGTCCTAAATTCACAATACATCTTCAGCTTGGGTACAATTATCAGCATCCAGACTCCAACCGGTCTTAAACATAGTGTTTAAAACCGACCAAGCACACATTTTATCCCCTTATTATTTAAGCAGTATACTCAAGCATTTTTTGCCTCTGGATAGTTGAACTTAAAAGAGGGTTTAAGTAACATAGGTTGTTGTGTTGAACTTACTTTTAATTATATATATATTTACATTTATTTTCAGATCTACATACCGCTACATAGAGCAGGATGGTATTGATATTGACAGCCGTCTACATACCATCGTCCGTGGTGAAGACGAAGCAGCAATGGTAGAGTCCATCGGCCTGGCCATGGTCAAACTCCCTGACGTCCTGCTACGTCTTGAACCTCACGTCTTAATTGTACACGGTGACCGTTTTGATGCCTTATCCCTTGCTGCCTCCGCTGCCTTGATGAACATTCGCATCGTGCATGTGGAAGGTGGTGAGATCAGCGGAACCATTGATGACATGATTCGACACTCCATCACCAAGCTGGCACACTACCATGTCTGCTGCACGGAGCGGGCTCACAGCCGACTCCTAGCCATGTGCGAGGACAACAACGCCATCTTGCTGGCCGGCTGTACCTCCTACGACAAACTCTTGAACACGGACACCACCAACTGCACGGCCGTGCTTGAGAAATGGCTGCCCAAGGACGTACAACCACACGATTACCTCGTTGCTCTGCAACATCCGGTCACAACTAATATCAGTAAATCCTTGAAGATGTTTGGTCTGATGCTTGATGCCCTGTTGGAATTTGGCAAGAAAGTCATTGTACTGTTCCCCAATATAGATGCAGGCAAGTCATTATTTGCAAGTATAAGGAATGACTCTAAAATAGTTTTACCATTTTACACTTCTTGAAACGATGTTAAATTGTCAACCTGTTTACATGCTGTCTCCTGAATTGCAAGGGGAAGAAGTTTTGTTTTCAGATGTAAATTTAATATGTACATTGTTTGTAAATAACTTGTTCATGTTGAGTAATCTGTTGCCATAACCCTTTTTGAAGGTCTTGCTTTATTGGCAGAGATACATGCCACGCATTAGTACTTTCTATAATAAATGTCTTTCTATTGCTGCATTTGTCTGTCTTACCGTTAACAGGCAGCAAAGAAATGACTCGCATTATGCGCCAGAAAGGCATCGAGCACCACCCCAGCTTCAAGACGGCCAAGCATATACCCTTTGATGAGTTTCTGATCCTGGTGGCCAATGCTGGCTGCATGATTGGGAACAGCAGTGCTGGAATCAGGGAGGCTGGGGCCTTTGGAACCCCAGTGATCAATCTGGGCTCGCGACAAACCGGACGTGAAACTGGTAAATATCATGGAGTGCCCGGGGGGGGGGGGGGGGGGGGGGACCTTGCTTCATTGACTAGTCATTTACCTGTTTAATACAGTACTATGATGGCAGAGCCTGCCGATTTGTGAAAAGGGTCACATAAAACAGTTAAGTGAAATCCTTTAAATATGCAGTCTTTGTATTGTTATTTGTAAGGGTTCATCAGCGCTATTCAGTTGTTAGGCTCATGTTCTCTTCCATATTCATGAGGAAAATAGTAATGTCATCTAAGGCACAAGCAGCAGTATTTTACAAATGTTGGTCACCCCTATATCATATGTCTTCTTTTTCTTTCTTTCCTTTTTGGATTCAATTTGCAAACTGGATTCAGTAATATTTTCCTAAACAATTTGTATTGAAAGTTCACTGTAATTTTAAAACTACACAGGATATCATCTTAAAAAATCTCATAAAGGTTTGTCAATATTTGGGTATGGGTATTTGTACAACATTTTTTTTATTGTAAAATACACAGACCTACAGAATCAGTAGGCAAGTGTTGTTGGATTTACAGAAGTTTATCTGTACAATGGACTGACTGTTACGAAGATGGATCAACTTGCTTTGTACACTCTTTGAACTCATGGGCATCGCGAAAGGGAAGGTGAAGGAAAAGCAAAAAAAAAAATTAAAAAGGAAAAAAAAGGAAGAAGAAAGAAAAAGAAAATGTTTTGGGGGAAATGAAGAGATCAGCAACTCACAACCACTACCAGTAGTACCGGTACATTGTATTACCCTCCTCACGCTGTAACCAATATTATGAACAAAACAAATTTAATATTGTCCACTTCGGAGATGCAACCATTGGTCACATGGTATCCAGGCCTCCCCTCCCCCACATCTAGATTTTCCTGCGGCTGGGTGACTAGAAAAAGTAATTCCTGGCTATCTTCCATCACGGAGTGGTCTGTCGGCCAAGCTTGCATGCTCGCGATTTTGATTCTCAAGAAAAATTTGGGCGATCCCCATGTTTAATTTAAACCTCATGAGGAAAGAGTAGCCTATATGGCACTGTATCAACACTCACGAGAGCACGCCCTCCAGTTCACATGTGTACATGTATGATGCAAAGTACGCTTGGCCAGTTTTCATCTGAATGCACACAAATGTACTATGGTGGCAATGGCTTTCAAGTGTCTGCCATATCTCTCTTTGTCATGGTTGAGGAGATCCTTGTGTAAAAGTGACCATCACTTCTTGAACTGCCAACTCTTGAAACTTGAGTGTTTTTGTGAGCCTGATCCATGTGCTGTGGGCAGGCGTTTTAATAAACAATTACAAGCGTCATGGTCCAAGGGGTGCAGTGTTCCACTCATGCAATTTGTTTTGTAGTATGTACATACATGTACATGACATTTGTTCGAACCCTGATGGGGAGCATGGCGCCTGTGTTCTTAGGCAAGACATTTTACTACCGGTACCTTTGTTGCTCTCTACCCAGGAATATACTGGTAAATGGGTAACTGAGGGTAGGAACACATGCGCTGATTTCGAGCTGCTGCAGAAAAATGCTTACGACCTGATGAACAGAGGTGCATGTAATTATTGTGAAGTGCTTTTTGAGACTGTTGGTAAAAAGCGCTATAAGAAACACATCAGTCTGAACATGTTTGTTCTCATTTTGTGTAACCACAGGGGAAAATGTGCTGCACTGCAGAGAGGCAGACACAACAGAGAAGATCAAACAGGCACTGGAGATCCAGTACCAAAAGCAGTACCCTCCGTAAGTCTGGACAAACAAAACATAAACAAGTCGACAAAGGCATGATTTTATAGGAGCAGTGCCCAAGGATCTTGGTGTGAACTTAAAGTCACCATGATTTTATGCCATGAAATTAAGTGTAGACTCAAACCAGTTGTCAAATTTAAAGGGAGTTCTAAGCATGGAAATTACGGAACAACCATGTATTTTTACTGTTCAGGACTACATGTAGACCCTCCTTCAAAGCCAAATGAATACGAGAACCTAAAAGTATTTAAAAAGGGGGTGCAATCACTTTTAGCAACTAGCATTTCTTACTTAAACAATTTTATCCGTTGCAGTTCATACATCTATGGCGACGGTCACGCCATTCCTCGCATCATGAAGTTCCTCAAGTCCCTGGACATCACAGGAGAGACGCAGAAGCAATTTGTTTTCCCTCCAATGCGACCGAGCCACCACCGGGACATCGACCACATCTTGGAGAGACAGAGCGCCCTGGCTGTGGATCTCGGCGGCACGCAACTACGCGTTGCACTCATCGAGAACCACGTGAGTTGACAATGTGGTTTGAATATTAACACATTCAAACATTTAAAGGAAAAACATATAAACGTGGTTACACATTTTCCATTTCGTTTTACATGGAATCCAATATAAAAATTTGACCATGTATTAATGTAGTTTGTCTACCAGGTTATCATGTAAAGTGTCAAGCATGACTTATAAACCTATTTAGTTGACAAAAGCTTTAAAAGCACTTTAATGCAAGTTCCCCTCCGGAAATATTTTATTTGTACATTTTTCGTTGTCCATTAATTATCTATTGAGTCAATCATAAACACCACACGCTTTGGGAAAGAAGTTTGTTTTTTTCATGATTTTTTTATCCCCTTTTTTTTGGGGGGGAGGGGGATTTCAACATGAGCTCGACTGAGGAATGTGAGTTTCATTTTCTCGTTGAAATAGTAAAGTTTGCAGCCCATAGGGTTTGCACAGGATATGCATTTATGAATACTCGTTCACTTGTTGCGTAAACACCAAAAAAACATAAGGCCTCAGCAAAAAGTTTGAATAATCAATAACAGACACATGCAAGTATTCTCCCTATAGCATGTATAACATAGCATTACTACCACTACCCGTCCTACTCTCGTATTTCGTATTTATCGCCCCTCGGCATTCATATTTGCAACAGGTGTTTCCGGCCTGTCTGGATTTCCATAAAAAAAGCAATCCATATTTCAGTGACGTCTGTTTGTTGAAAGAACAGATGTTCAGGCACTGAAATTGAAAAACAAGTGCAAAATGTGGCAGATTTTTTTTATTGGCTATGCCTTTGGTTGGATCTGTTGGGCAATTTTTCCCCAGACACAGGTAGTTTTAAATAATGAAAGGTTTGCGGAAACACCATGTGCGAATAATTTCTCAAATAAGAGAATGGTTCTGAAAAGAACCAGAGGTATAAACTCGACGTTCCGGTCAGTATGCTCTGACCGTCTTCAGGAGAGTGGTCAGAGCTCCTGAAGACGGTCAGAGCATACTGACCGGAACGTCGAGTTTATACCTCTGGTTCTTTTCAGAACCATTCTCTTAGTTGAGAAATTATTCGCACATGGTGTTTCCGCAAACCTTTCATTATTTAGTATCTCCACCATGCAAAGCCTCAAATCTTACTTACATGTAGTTTTAATCCACTTGGTCACAAGTCAGTCACTAGTCAATTGATAAGTCATGTCACCAGTGACAGAGGATGAACAGTGATAAATGAATGTCATTTTTTTTACAATTCATGTTACATAGCTCGTGACTTGACTTGAGACTGGATGACTAGTGATTGCCTTGCAATAATGATGACGATAATGATGACGATAATGATGACGTGTCATGACTCTTGAAGACATGATTCCAACTTGGCTAATAAGGATGAGAGGGTTGAAAGCTATTTTCAAAAAGCGCCTATTTTAACCAGAATTACTTTCCTGGATTGAGATTCCAACCAAACATCCCTTACATAAACAATGATAAAATACTTTAATTTGCAACAGATAAGTATACCTTGGAAAATCCTAGTTTTTGAGTAAAATCCATCTATTTTGTGAAATCCTCTTGGAGACCCATTCCCCTTAAGAAATGTGTATAACCCTACTGGTTGTTAAGCACACTGTTTTGCGAGAATTGTAAAAAAAAAAAAAAATGAGGGGACCAAAGTGGATGTGTTGCGTTGGCTGATCTTGCAATAAAAATTAGTTGATAATATTTGCATGAGACACTGTGGGTATGTATACCTGTGCATACATTGTAATTTCTCAAAGTTACTGGTAGGCCCATTAAAAACACATTTTAGTTTGTTATCCTGGCTTAAATCTGCAAGGTGACAATATGTAAAATTTATTTACGACACATTAGAAATACAAGGACATTCTTTCATTTGTCAAATTTTGAGACAATTGAACAATAACCTTCAATATATTCTCACCAGGGGGATATACTTGTTCAGACATCGAACCCAACCCCCAAAACTAATGAGGAGCGCATGTCCAAACTGTTGGAAATGTTGATGAATCTGGCACAGAAGGCCATATCACTCAACTGTCGAGTCCTTGGAGTAGGTGAGTCTTGCCAATCTAAGATACTCGGAATGTGTTTCTGCATTTATTGATTGATTTTGATAGGATCTAAGAAACAAGGACACAACTTATCCTTCCAGATATACAAAAGAGTTAAAGGTCCATTCATACTCGGAGCAAAAGCAAACGTGAATGCGAATTTGTAGACTTTTTTGTTGGGTAGTTGTGCTGTGATGGGTGCTCTGAAGAATTTTATTAAACATTGAAATGTGATGCTTTGCATGTGAATTGATGCCTTTGAGAAGGACTGTTTTTTTATCTGTAGACTATGAGTCAGTTATTTCATCTATATACATGTAGTCAATATTTTTCCCTGTAGTTTAGGGTTTTTCCATCAACAATGAAACCTTCACCGGAGTAATTAAATTCATTTCATTACTCCATGGATTGACTGACCTATCACACTAAGGTATTTCTATTTTTGATATGGTACCAAATTTAATTTCATGGAACATAATTTTCAAATTGAAAAAAAGATAAAAATCTCACTGTCGGCCCTAAACAACTCATGCAACTGCCCATCTGTTAATAATTTGGCGGCTTTCGAATCAATAATGCATGCAATCATCTTAACAGTTGCTTGTCTTGCATTCATTGAAATAGTTAGTCATTTACACCAGATGATAGTTGGATCATGGATGATATCCCGTTTTGTTAAATGTCCACGTCAGCATGCAGCTGGCAGTTGTTTGTTTTCATGCAACTGAATTGGCTTCTAACGACCTTTCCAACCCTTTCGTTATGAAAAGTACGTGTAAAGCATGCATACAAGTGAACACATTGTATGAATGTGTTTTGTTGGAAATTTGGTTTCTATACATGTACCTTAATTAAAAAATAGCCACTGCATTTCTTTTAACAACACAATTTGCTGCCTTTTTGTAGGCTGAGCTCACTCCTGTTCAGCTTGACTAGTACATGTACATATACAATATATTTCCATCCATCAGAATGTCCGTTAGGCCAACAACAAAAAATATTCGGTCTCTGGTCAGACCAAAGTTCCGGAATTGACGCGGCCACGCGGCTTTTTTTTTTTTTTTTTTGCTTTTTTTTTTTTTTTTTTCAAGCTTGGATTGTACAGACAAGGTGGGCACTATTTTGATTTTTTGGTGTCCTCATGTACATTGGTGTCCTCCATAATTTGCCTTGGTGCTTTCGATCATTTGCCTTGGTGCAATTTCCCCTCTCCCTGGTGCTCTTTGATAAAAAAAAATTGAGGAGGTGCGGAAATAGAGGGCGCTGTTGGAGCTACCGCGGAACATTTTGGGGAAAAAAAAGATCGATGCGCATGATTAAAATCGACGCGCACGCTGACCAAAGACCGACTTATTTTTTTTGTTGGCCTTATGTTTATGACGTTTTAAATAGTGATTAGCAATACTTACTTGTACATGTACATGTCTACATGTGGATTTGGTTTTCAGTCCCTACCTGATTCCATGGGTTTTCCCCAAGACTATTCTTCTGGGGTTTTCCTCCAACCTCTAAAACTGTAATTTCTTCTCATTGTCTTCTCTCCACAGGTTTCTTCAGGCTTGCAAGCTACAATGCCTAGGGCACTTTTGAGAAATCATTGGTTTCATTACCAGAAACAAAGAATTAAAAAAAAATAATAATCTTTTACTTAAAAAGAGTAAATGCTTCAGCTTTCAAATATGCACTTGTTATTTCTCAAGGCTGGGTTGGGGCAACCTTGAAATTATAAAGCAACTAATTCTATGCAAAATTACTGTATTTATTAATGTTACTCGTGACGAATTAATATTAACAAAGTGCATAAATTAGTAATGATACCTTATAAGTATTAATAATGTTGGTATGAATAAAACATGGCATTTGCTTTTACTACCAATTTTATAGCATTTTACTCGGATCTGTGTGAATGAAAATTAAGCAAACACTTTCACCATGTTTACTGAAAACCATATGCTAAAATCTGACAATAATTAGGGGGCCTACTTTTTACCTTTTAGCTTTTGCTACGCTATAAGCGTTTACTTCGTTTCGTGTGAATAAAAAGGAGTAAATGCTTCAGATTTCAAATATTTACTTGTCATATTTCAAGGCTGCGTTAGGGCTACCTTGAAAATATAAAAGCAAATAATTGTGTGCAAAAATTACTACATTTTTCAACACTATTCGCGAAAACTTAATATTTAAAAGTTCATAAAGTACAAATAATACCATAGTTCGTATGAATTAAAACTGGCATTTGCATTTACTACCATTTTTAAGTTTGCAGAAAATAAAATTATTGTAACCGAAACGGAAAGCGGAACGTATATGCGCAGCGCGGGCATACTCTAGAATTTCTAGTTTCACACGCGTTGAGCTAGGTCACGTGCTGAAGGACAAATACGGTACATGACTTTATGTTATTTTGTGCGCGTCCACGAGAGACCACAAATATGGCGCACATTTTTGGCACAGTGAATGGGGGTGTATGCACACGCTGCCGATCTAGTCTATTTATTCTATATCTATGGCCGTAATATGGACTGCAACGTGCCACCACGCTCGCATTGTGTTCCAGGATGAGCTATAGAATCAATGTTTTTAAAAAAATGTACTCGATTTGTACTCCGAGTACTGGAGTCGAGTACCGAGTCCAAACCAACGAGTCCGTGCCAAAATTTGAGTGCAAGGAATCGAGTAAGGGCCGAGTCCCAATAATTTTCGAGTACTGATACAGTGATAGTCGAGTACAGGCCGAGTACTTGCATGTGGTTGAGTTGTACTCGAGAACGAGTACGGGTACTCCAACACTGGTACATGTACATGTATGAACTCAGTGCACAAGAACACTGTACATTGTACATGTAAATGGTTACAAACAGAGAGTTGGACAGGATTCTTTTAAATGCATTGCCACGTACAGTACCGGTATGTGTGGTTTGTGAGTGTTCAGGATTAAATGAAGTGTGTGCACTATGTACGTGAAGCCCTCACCTGTGGTCACAAAATGCCATCTACAGGTAGAGTGTCGACCGTTTATTTGAAAACTGGAGGCAAATGCTTGATTGTCCTTTCACCTGTACATGTACCTGTGATTTGTTCCAACCTAATGCTAAGTGATAGTCATTGACAAGGCGCATTGCATAAACTGACTGCCAATGTTTGCTTGATAGGAATCAGCACGGGTGGACGTGTGGATCCCAGAGGTGGAGTTGTCAAGCACTCCACTAAAGCTCTAGAAGGTAGGAAACAAATTACCTTGCCAGGGATCTGTAATTCAGTCAGTCACAAGTCAATCCTAGTTCACGGCTTGAGTTGAGACTGGATGCAGGGGCGTTAATCCGTGTTGGCAAGGAGGGGGTATGGGTGTATGACCAAAAATCTTAAATTGTCCTGCCGTGGAAATTTGAATATTGGAGTGAGGAGGGGGTAGGGCTGCTAGAAACTACATGACACTAGAGGACGCTCTTCCAGATACAAATGTACATCTTGTGCAAAATTGTATGCCTACGTCCCTTATCCTTTTGCATTCAAAGCTTTTTTTACTGTATGTTCTCTGTTTTCATTTGTCAACTAAATACATTAATTGAACTGTTAAAAAATGAACAGAAAACCTCAAAATCTGCCTTGGTTTTGTTTCTCACCACAAAAATCTGGTAAAATTTTTTTTTTAATTGTTTACTGTGCACCTTTGTAATGAGCTCTAGGAAGTTCAATTATTTAGGAATTTATGAAATAGGCTACCATCAGAGTCACAAATTCCAACGTTCCAGAAATTAACTTTGCAAGGATCGTTACAACTGTCCTAAACACTGCAACAGATAAGGAGCCATAAATGCTTATTTGGAAAAAGACTCTAAACGTGAAGTTTTGTTTTCATCTCAGCTATTGAACGCTTTCATCACTAACTTTGAATATGATTTGACTTAAAATGAATGTCCATAATGTCCATTTTGCTGAAGGTTGGTCGGAGGTGGACCTGAGAACCCCTATATCCAGCATGCTGCATCTGCCAGTCTGGGTGGATAACGACGGCAACTGTGCTGCCCTCGGTGTTCGCGCCTTTGGCTGCGGGAAAGGAGTGGAAGACTTTGTTACCATAGCAACGGGAACTGGTGAGTTGGTACCCACCAGGCCTGGCAACTTGTAGTAAACAAAATGCAAACTTTCTACACTCCTGTATATTCCAATATTCGATCGTCAACTGAATATGCGCAAGGCATCTTTTCACTTCAATTATGAGCGGCCTCGAGGAGATGATGAAAATGAATAACTTGTGTGGTTTTATTGTTTGTCAAATGCCACACTTTTGTTGAAAGGCATTAAAGCGCATGGCTTCAGAGCTTCCAGGAATAATATTAGCTCAAATTTCTTCTTTTTAAATATCAATACCTGCTCTTTATATTACTGTTGTTAATTTCTGACAAGCATAGATGCACGCAAATATTGATCGGTGGCCAGTTTAGGCTGGCACATATGTAACTTGACCAGTGTCTTTCAAAATTGAATATTCAAATATTGATTCAAGTCGAAGTTGGAATAATCAAATACTAAATTTTTGAAAATGCACTGCTCTGCTGCATTCTGATTCACTATTCAGAACAATGACTCAATAATTTGCGTGTAAGGTTCATCCATTACGACTTTTCCAAAAAGCGAATGAAAAGTGCCAATTCGGCCCAAATAATGCATTAGAATACCATTGGAGAGTTGTATTTATCCTACCACGCTGTTTACATCAATATCATTTGCTTTCATGCTTGCAATTAGGGATTGGCGGAGGTATTGTTCTCGGTGGTAGACTGATCCACGGCACAGACTTCTGTGCAGCTGAGCTGGGCCACACCAAGGTTTCCTTGGAAGGGCCACCCTGCCAGTGTGGAGGCACTGGCTGTGTTGAGGCTTACAGCTCAGGACTAGCCCTGCAGAAAGAAGCACAGAGGCTCCATGAAGGTAAGTGCAGTACTTGAAATAAGAATGGAGACCGTGCATAGCAACCCGTCACTTAAAGGAAGTAAACAACATTTGCAAAAATAAAAAAATAAAAACTACCAGATTATTGTGAAATACACAAATCATGGCACCTGCCGTGCTGTCATTTTCAAGAAACATGGAATATTTGTTTCCATTTCCAACGATTGTTGGCTGACCATCTTTGCTTTTTTCAAAATACTGCCCCCAATTCAGCAAATTTAGTTTGTCCGCATTTTGTTCGCAATTGGTTACACATCCGTGAATGGGGTGCAAACCAGCTAGTCTGGTTCCCTGACCTGACAATTCCCCGACATCTATAACTTGCTCCATTTCGTCTGAAGTAGGGTCAGGGAACCAGACTACAAGAACAGCACATTTTCTTGGTTTTTCCAGCATCTATGAACACAAAACTTTAAATGGGTCAGTGTAACAATATTTGCTACAAAATACCAGCCCCCAAATCCATCCATTTCTGAAAATTACTGCAACAAAAATGAAAAAAAGTGACTTTTATAACACACCTCTCGCGCATTCTTTATCCTGGTTGGCTAAACACGGTCACGTGGGGTTCACTATTAAATGTAGGCTAGTGCATAAAACATGCGTTTCGCGTGAACTACATTGTAGATATGTGTCTGCGTGCAATTTCTGGAGTATAGTTGCCAGTCAGGCACTATACTGGACAATCTTTCCCTGGATATAGCACCCTAAGGAAATTTTGTACAGGCGTTCACCATGCAAACAGAAATCTGTATAAAAGCAACTAATTGTTTAACATAAAAAGCACTTACTTGAAAGCAAGTAATGGTTGAATTAGACCAGTTCAGTTCAAACTATGAACACATTTCTTTTCTCGTGATTGTGGTGTGTTATAAAAAAAACAAATTGACTGGCGTTATTCAGTCACTTGTGCACTCTATGCCCTGCTGGACCTGTAAGTGACCACAAATGCCCTCTCATGGTCACTTGGGGTAGATTAACATGCACTAGTGACCTCATTGCCAATCTATATGTGTCTAATATAGTGCATCTATCTAGAAAACCAATCAAGGCGCATATACATAAAACAAACAAATAGTAACGAGCAAGAGTCATGTCCCAGTCTAAAGTGAACTAGCAAAGTACATGTAATTGGAATTCCAGCTGTCTCTTGAAGTTGTCAAGGGATTTTATTTGACAGAGTTTGGCAGGGAGCCTATTCTAAATAGGAGTAGCAGCCTTGTTAACAAACAGGAAATGGGAGGGACTTAAACGCATAGCTGTTGCTTGGCACTCATGCAGTTTTTGCACATTCTGCATAAAATTAATTGTGCCTGCTTTGTGCCATTGGTATTCGAATACACTATGTGTCCATGGGTCATTCAATAAATTTAGGGTCCAAAGAGTGCCATTTTCCTGTCCCTATTACCTTGAAACTAGACTGTCATTTGCTTCCTTAATAGAGGGCAACCTGTTGACTGAGGGAGGCCATCTGGAGAATAACGAGAAGATAACAGCCAAGCACCTTGTGGAAGCCGCCAGGCTGGGTAACCAGAAGGCACAAGATATCATGGACAGAGGTGAGCAAGGACACTTTGTCACACTTGCCATTTGTCTTGGGGAAGTATACGACTACAGACTGTGTGTGTAACAGATACTTTAGTCTCATTTGCGTTGTTGGATCTAGGAGGGCGCTCAGGTGATTGACCCACCCAGTCCACCTCCTCTGCACATAACTGAGAAATAGATGCGCAGCTATTTCATTGAGAGGCCTCTTTTCAACTCCGTACACTGCTGAAGGTTTTTTAGTCACTCAGAGGTCAACTTGATGCAACCATAGTTACCATTTCACGCACACTTCAGTGGCCCACATGAACACAATACGCAAGAGCTGAAATGTGTTCAACTTTGCAAATTTGCGTGACACCACTTGCCCCTGACATCATTAACTCCTGTTTGCATACGCATTTGCGCCGAGTATAAACCCACCTTAGGCAAGCTCATGTCTTAGCTTATCAAGTAATTCGACCAAACTAACCAACCTCTTGTCAACAATTTTTCAGGTGCTAAGGCGGTGGCATCAGTGGTTGTGAATCTTCTTCATATCCTCAACCCCTCCAGGGTTGTTCTGTGTGGAGTGCTAGCCCCTGCTTACATCGAAACGGTGCGTAACATTGTCAAGAAGGAAGCACTGCCCTCGGCTGCTCATGCAGAAATCATAGCCTCCACGCTGAAGGAACCTGCTCTGCTAGGCGCTGCTAGTCTGGTCCTGGAATATGCCACTAGAAGGATCTACTAAAACTAACTAGACAGGCTTTATATCTGTGGGGGAATTTTAAAAAGTCGGATTAAGTCAGAGTTTGGCTTCAGATGTTATGTCACTATATATATATATATAATAATAAAGCCAAATTGTTTAATGCATCAATTAGATGCATTCAATGTGGGTTTTGCCTGTCACTGATGTCATTTTGTCCCAGTAAGCTTGTGATTTTTGTCTCACAGGCCCTTGGATAACACAGAGTGTATAAAATTACATCGGTAGGGCACAACCCAATATTAGTGATTCAGGTGGTCCGTTTCAGTAACATCAAGTCATATCATATGATGCCAAAGTGTCAAGTATTGCAGTTAAGGAGATCAGATGTTTGAAGGATTCTAAATGGTTCTGAAGCCAGAGATGGAGCCAAAGCCACAAACAAGCCAAAGTTTCAAAACACTCCATGACCACCACTTAATGAGTGGTAAATATCAGACACTTGGCAGTCTTTTTAATAGGAAAAACAATTGACATTTGTAGCTGGTTAATTCATAGACAAAACGGAGGCTTCAGATAGGGTCGTTTCTATTTATATGTTGATAAGTACGAGTGAAGGGAGGCCAGTTTTGTATACTGGTATGTATCATTTATTTGTGTGTGCGACAATTGGAATGTGCAGTGTGATAAATTCACTATATATTTTTTTGTCAGTAAATTGCTTCGCTTACAAGCTTTTGTTGCAAACGCTGGGGGAAAATGCGCACCATTTGGCAGCTGCAGTTGGGCAAAACTTTAGCTTTTACCATTAAACAATGGAAAGACAATCGTATCAGAATTAATTAACCTTTCCTTTGGTAATATAGGAAGATAGGCACCAGTCTTGACATTTCATGAAGGACTTTTGGAATTACTGTTAAGTATCGGTAGTCGTAGAGGGATGATTTCTTTTTAAACGATTCCCCAATTTAGTCTGGAATGCAACTGTGTTACACGGGTGTATGTTTCTCTGTCAGAGTCTGGTGTATCGACCTTTCTAACTTTCACTGTAATCCTGAATTCCTGGGCCTTTTCTGAGAAGCATTGTGAATCCTCTTCATAAATCGATAGAACATTCTTTGTATTTTAACTAAATTCATCCAGATAGTACTTATTAGTGCTTTAACTTGACAATCTTAAAGCCATCAATAATACTTCAAAGCCTCTTTGAAGTATGGCCGACACAAGAATAGCACCGATATAAGGCCAGTTCGGTGTCTTGATGAAGTAGTCCAGGTCAAAGGCGATTCAGAATACAATCGCTGACGTGATGTTACGTGCATGCCCCTTCTGCTCGTAATTATCATGCGAGCGTCGTGCGACCGTCTCCCTGTGCATGCAGGTGCCTTCGATGAGCGTTCGATGACCAACATTGTGCGCATGTGCATTTGAAATACCGAACTGGCTTATTAGAGTGGGTAAACTCTTTAGTATTTATTCAAATGTACCCACTTCAATAAGCGCCCCCCTATTGTGTCCAAAACGGCCAACGATATAAGTGATATCTATCAACTTGAACATGTTATGTTACAGTCATCAATGCAGCTGGTAGGGACAAGGACCAATAAAACACATTCCAAGTGTAAGCTGACCGGAGTGACCAATATTTTGACCTAGAGTGGAGGACGTTTTGTACTACTGTCAAATTATATACAAAAATGTAACTACAGTAAAATAGTGTTGTACATTGTAACTCTTTATGTTTGATTTACAGCAGGCTCGTAGTGCAAACTAGTCAATACTGTTTAATTGGTTTTCATGTGATCCTCAGTGGTCTCGTAGAAACAGCAGCGCGATATTACCCAAATTGCCTTATGGATCATCAGGTTCATAATACTTTTAATTTACCAACTTCTTGGTCCTGATTGTGGAACATGGGAATGTAGTGCATCAGTGTTCTGTATGTGGGATGGTACTTGACCTTTGACTTGAAGGCATAGGCTAGACAACATTTTAGTACAACCTTGTCCAGGGGACAATAGCCTGACAAGTAATGACACAACACGTTGTTTACATGTGCTTTCCTATGGTAGTCAGTTGGGAATGGGAGCCACCAAGGTTCCATAAGAAAGTGTACATGTAAACAAAGTGTGACGTTGTTACACTTCAAGGCTATTAAACATACATGTACATATATATGTAATGGTGTCACCAGGGTTTCTCAAAGCAAGTACTTATTGCTTTTGGCTCTAAATTTATAATTTGATCTTTACAAATTTGCCACTACATGTACTTTAAAAACAGTAGTATTTAGTCTTGTTTTGATCTATACAGATTTGTTTGATTTTCGTGTTTTGATGTACATTGTATAATATACATTGTGTGTATATTTGATGCGGTTTTAGTAGTGTTGATCAGGTTGAATGTGATGCTGCGTGTGCAGGTATTCATGTAGATGTCAAGCTATCATGGCAAAATTTCATGGAACGGCCAAGCAGCAAATATTGTCTAGCACAAATTTCAGACAAAAATTCAGTGTATCACAGGCCAGTAGCGTTATACACAACATGGCATTTTGACTTTGCTTAACAGTTTTTGTGTGCACAGCACAATTCTGAGCCCAGCAGCTCGATAAGATTGGTCTTGGGAAGTTGTAATCGCAAATTCCGATGACAATTTCTTCAGCTCTGTACCTGATTGCGACAAGTAGAAGTAGATTTTGACTGGTCTCTTTTTATCGCGAATGATTGTACAAAGCGGAGACCCGTTGTTAAATTTTGATTTAAAATTACCATTTCTTTGTGAAGAAAGTACTTACATGCAGCATGGATTGACTTTCATAGGCAACTATTGTTTGTGAAAGGCGGGGCTGTCATTTTATTCTATGCCATACACATGACAATACAATTTATATACAATCAACTTATAATTATTACAAATATATAATTACACATGGGACCCCCCCCCCCCTCCCCCTTCCCTCAGTTGTCCAATAAATCAATTCTAGCACAAAATCACAGTACACTTGCAGGAGGCCCCTATTAATGGCAGGAATATTGTACGTTGTATTGTTCAGAATGTCTGTCATGGGGCAGCTGCTTTGTACAACAGTTTACACAATGCCTCTGCGTATTTAAAGAAAAGTTGCATCTTTAGATGAGAAATTATACATTTTACACAAATAACTCCAGAAAGGAATTAAAACCAGAGGTAGTGACTTGAGAGGCATGTGAAATCAATTACAAAGTACAATGAGAAGTATATGTATCCTTACATGAATTTTCAAGAATTTAACCAGATATTTACTGATGTCATTTTGGAGGTTTCTTTTTGGTCTGGATTTTGGTGATTTAAGATTTTTTTAAATACATGTACATCTTAATCTTTGATGGTTTTACAGCCTACGAACTGTTTAACCTCTTGGACTATGTGTATATATATTCATTCAAAAACAACTCTTTGATTTTAAATAGATTAAATATGATAGAAGAGTATGCCAAAGAAGCTGTTTATTTATCTAGTTTAACCCAAATGTTTGAATGTTATATGTAATAAATAATACAACGCCTGAAGAAATCCCCATCATCTTTGATCACGTGCCATTGAATTATTTGTCCCAACGCATGGCAAAAATGGAAGTTGCATTGCACGGTCACACTTTGGGCATCTCTGATGACGAGGATTTATTCAGGTATTGTATAAAACAACGAATGTTTGCAAGTGCAATGGTAAGAATAATTTCATGAGGTAGACGGAATGTTCCATTCCACTTGTCTTCGCCTTGTGGAATGGAACATTCCATCTGTCACCTAATGAAATTATTCTTACCATTGCACTCAAACATTCATTATTTGTATACTATCATAGGATGGTGATTTTTAAATGACAAGATAGTTTGGCAGTTATTCTTGGTTTTGGTTCATTGTAGATAGTGTTGGTTTCAATGTTTGTTGTGATAATAGAGTTTATTTCAATGCTGAGAAGAATATTTTGGTGGTTAAAAATCAAACTTGTGATTTAAACAATAAATAATCATTAGGTTTTGATTGCAATTTTGTTGCTCATCTTCTTCGGCAGTTTCATTACATTTGTCATAATTTGTTTGAAGAATACAAGCCATGCTGAATTAACTGTTACTCTTTCTAAAGTGATAATGAAAGACACTTCAAATAATGAAAAATATATACTTTGGACACACTGTGCATGCGTGGAATACATTTCAGTTACACACATTGGGCACTACATAACCTATGACCTACTCACTCATATTATACATGTACACAAGAATTGCACGTCCCGGAATATTTCTAAGGGTGTGATGGATCCTGAATGGCCAAGCCAGACTTTGGACGGAGTAGAACATTTTACTAGTTAATTAATGCTAGTCTAAGCACACTGAAGTAGTGTTCTATTATACATCTTTCAATCAACGGTACACGGTACATGCGTCGGTACATTATTCAGTACTAAGGGAATAAATGTGTGCTCGAGAGGTTTTAATCACTCTGTTTAAGACCGCTTAGAGTCTGGGTGCTGATAATTACCCGAGCCGGAGTAAAATTCTGACTCCCTGGTAGTGTTGCGCATGCCTACATGAGGACTGTGAACGTTCAAACAATAAAACGGCAACAGGCACTGGATTTTTAGGAGTCCACATTTTATGTGACACTGGAAAAGTGTTTAAGACCAGCTAGCCATGTCTTTATCATCCGTTTAAGACCAGCCATGTGACGGGCTCTCGACTAATAGGAATGGCTAAACTGTCTGAGGTATTTATGAATAAGGGAATAAATATGTGCTTGGCCAGTTTTAAACAAGAACGTTTAGGCCAAAGAAAAAATGTTTCTGAATACGATTGCATGTCATTTGAAAATGGGGTAGGTAGCAGGGGGAAAAAAATGGGGGCAATCTTTATTTTTGTACGATCATATGGCGGTGTCTGCAATTAGACAAAATTAAAAGGTAGTAATTGATGTTTTTCGGGGTTTTTTTTATTTTTCTAAAACACTATATTGGATAGGGGCTGTTGAAAAAGGGTAGGTAGGGTAACCAGAAGCAGAATTTTTTTTGGGGGGGGGGGCCTTAAAACCAGCTCAGGGGCCCCTGAGCCATACTTGTTTAATACCGGCCAAACACATAATTTATTCCCATTCATAAAATATCCTCTAGCCAAAAAGTCAAAACAAGTCCAAAATTATAAATGTCCAAAGATTTTGTTCAACAATTTTTACTTCATGTTTTCTTTTAAACACCCTTCTAGCTATAATATGGCTACTCTCCCGAGTAGACATAAACATCACCTTATACAGAGATTTGATGTGCGCACTGCACAATGTGGCGCGGAATTTTAGGACTATGAAATACAGACTCACTGGTTAACTGAGGATTGTGAACATTCTACCAATAAAAGGGTAAAGGGGACCCAATTCCAAAGGAGTCAAATTTTCATGTGACACTGGGAAAAGTGTTTAAGCCAGCCGGCCGGTGTTTTTTCAACCATTTAAGACCGGACACGTGACAGGCTCTTGACCAATAGGAATGAATGACCCGTCTTAGGTATTTATGAATAGTTTTTTCAATACTATAATCACACTGAAGTAGTGTTCTACTATACATCTTTCTATCAACAGTACACTTGTCAGTGTATTCTTCAGTTTAAAAAAACCCAACAATTTCTTCTGTCTTTTTAATCAACCAATTCAGACATGGGAGGATGCGCAAGGTAGGACAAAGAAGCCGCATTGAGCAGCGCTGCACACTGTATTGTGAGCCACTTCTATGCAGTCTGTGCACAATGTAAATAAGCCCTCAGTTAAGAAACGGGGGGAAAAATACCAAACACCGAGGTGGAAATATTTCCCAAATATTCAGGAATTCTGTCCAATTAGCAGCACCTCATTTGCCTGGTTTGTTGTATCCTTTGCGGTTAGTTCCCTTGGCATTCAGCGTGCGTGCAATGTAGGCCTCTTGCTGCAATTGTACATTCAACTCCGACACCTGTGAATCGTAAATCAAATGCAGAGAAAACTGTCATATCCAAATTCTTAATAAATCGATGGTACAAAACCTAAAATGAGATTGATGGAATTCTCAGGAATCGCTGTTGTTTTTTTTTTAACAGTTGCACATGCCGCCTTTCATTATCTTTTAAATATTATTTCAGATATGCAGGAAAAGGACAGCATTTCACATAAAAAACCCTCATTAGTATTGGGAATACATGTACATCAAATGAGTACATTATATTTAATGTAAACCAATGCTATAATTTTAATAATCTCACAAATTTTAACTTTGAACTGGCCCTGGCCCACTCAATAACTTTGGGGTCCATAAGTGTGACATTTTGTGTCCCTGTTACACCTGTGTAATTTGCCGCACAAGCATCATTAACATTGACTTCAAACTATTTTTTGTTTGGCAGGCACTTTGTTTACATAATCACCCTTTGAGATAGGAGGCATTAACCCTTGAGCGCTTTTACTAGAAAGTAACCTGAATCCGCCAAAATCCACCAATTTTGTCAAACAAAATAAAGTTGGTGTCCTGAGTCCATCAGAATCCACCAGTGAGTCCATCAGAATCCACCAGTGTAGTACACATACCTTGTACATGCCAAACATTAAGCCAAGGGGTTAAACTATGAAGATCCTGAATCCATCAAAGTCTCCCAACTGATCAATATTGAGGTATCCTGAATCCATTAAAATCCTGCAGTACCACTAGGCTTACTGTCCTGAATCCATTAAAATCCCCCAATTTTTTCATTATGGAGGCATCCTGAATCCGACGAAAATCCTCCAAAACAGGGATATGGATTTTGATGGATTCAGGTGCGTTAGGGTTACAGAATTCTATCAAATCGAACAGGGACACACAAGAAACTGGACCCCCGAATTATTGAATTACCAATTTTTATTTTGGATTCTTCAGATTTGTGGATTGTTTCCGAAAAATAGGAGATCAAGCTTTGGCCAGGAGTTGAGTGAGTATTATGCATACATTTTTATCTCTTCATAGCTTGATAAAGAACCCAAAATATTTCATACTTGTTGTCTATGGTTATCCCTCTGCTTGGCTAGTCTCTGCTTCAAGTCCCTTATCCGGGAGTCTTTCAGGCTTAGAACGTCGTCTTGTTTCTGCTTCTCGGTTTCTATGGCTGGAGGGAGAGACCAACAGTGTCAGAAGTATCTATGAAATACCAAGCTTTTGAATAAGACTCGAGTCCAGTAAATACATGTGTCTGTCTGTCTAATACTTTAACATGGACACACTGGCCAAGTTCGGGCAGTCTGTTCTCGAACGGCGGGAACACGACCCACGAACACTGCTCTCAGAACAGGATCCACACCTCCTATCCATCGGGTTTTGCAAGAATATATCCACGTCAAGAACAGACCGCCCGAACTCGGCATGTATGTCTAAACTTGACCATTGTCTACAGTGTAGTGGCTTTTTACACAACGGATAGTTATTTTACATCAAATGCTCAATTTGAATTCCCATTTGCCCAAGTCGACTGTCCAACTACATGAAAAAATGTACAGCTTTATTGCATGTTTGCATCAACATTTTATAAGGATGAACTAGAATGTTCTTGCAGAATGCTTAACTTATGATCACTTCAAATAAACACCTTTTTAACAAGTTAAACTGCAAATATATGCTTTTTCCATTGAGCATCAGTCTTGAAAAATACTTCCTTGATCTAGTAACATTTTTAAGTCTCTACCCAGGCCTGTGGTATAGTAGATTTTTGACCTAAAATTGAAGCCATTTTAGTATTTTAACACATTTTTCTGAGCTGCTTTTAGACATATTTTTCTGAGCTGCTTTTTAACATATTTTTCTGAGTTGCTTTTAGACAACCACTGATTCCGTGTATGGGAATCTGTGCACAAGTATCCCTCAACGGTTACGAAGGGAGAGTCAGGGGAGATTACTGGGAGAGACATTCAAATGCAGTGGCCGTTGAGCCTGGTGCTTACGTGAAGACATTACGGGTTTATGCAGATTCAGAATTATTAGTCATGCGTACTTTGTGCCATACTCGGGTCAACCAGTACATGCACTCGGTATGTCCCTCTCACTGGGGCTCTGGAGGTGGTCAGAAAGGGTCATTTCGTGCACGGAATCCATATGAACAAGATTTGTTTTCACCAATGAACAAAATAGTTGTGCGGAGCACAACAATGTGCACAATTTCTTTTTTCTACAAAAAAAAAGAAGTGGGGCATTTCACTCATGGGAAATTCAAAAGTCCATCATAACACTTTTAATACGTTTGGAGAAAACACATTTGATGCTCAGAACGATTTCACAGCTCTCATTGGCATGGCACACCATCCCCGACACCTTTCAAGCCTTTTTGCCTTACCTGAAAATCTTGTCTTCAGCTGACTGTTTTTGACATTTTCTTTCACAGATTTTTCTTTTAGCTGTCCAAAGCTGTAGCAAATGAGATCATAACGATATGATTAAAACCACAAACACGAACAATGGAATGGTACAACTGACTGGAGCAGGGTTTGCACCTGCGACCCGGAATACCATGACAGCACTCTACCAACAGAGCTATCAAGCCCTATGTTGGCGGTTCCCCAGTAATACCTTAACGTCTGATATAGGTGGTACCATACTCGCACATTTCACACACCAATATAGTACAGTTGAGGCACACATGCATCTCGGCATCATGTACGACCTTTGAGCAAGCACGTATCTATCTCTTCACGTATGGCCTCGAATTGAGGTTGCCGGATCAGTCTACAGGAGTGGCACAAGAATCTTGTATTCTAAGAACTGTTCCAAGCATTTTTTATGAGTTTTATAGAACGGAAGTCTGTGACTCATTTCAGTTTAATTTTTTCAGGTAATGAAATCAAGGGTTCATAAAAAGTGCATACTGTACATACAGGTATACACATGTACTGTAGTTCGAAAGCCAAAAGGGCAATGCCTTGCAAAAGCGGACATTTTGTCATTCCGTATTAAACAGACCTCATTGTTATTCTTTATTCGAAAAACAGAAAAGAAATGTTCTCTTTTCAAAATATGAACGTGCAAATAAAACGTCGTACATTTTATTTCCACTGGCATCTTTTGAAAAACATCTTTTCGTTTACGAGTTATGAATGATAATGAGGTCTGTTACGGAATGACAAAATGTCCACTTTTGCATGGCATTGCCCTACAGATGACAAAGGAATGTTCAGTTTTAGAGGTAAGAGGAAAACCCACAGATTCAGGGAGAGACTGAAATCCCAACCCATGTTTGCTTTGGTGGCAGTCGAACCGTGGTCACAGACTAGACGTGGAAAGTGAGGAAAGTACCAATTTGCCAAACTGACCCTATCAAATGCAATTGGCGGCCATTTTTTCAAGCTGACTTACGAGTGTTCAAAGTTTGCTTTTTCTCGTTCCAGCTGTGCAGTCAACACCTCAATCTCCCCCAGGGCAAACTGTAGCTTGTCACTCTCACTGGCTAGCCTGGACTTTGTCTCTTCATGTTGCCGTCTCTCCTCCTGTCAAGTCAAAAAAATGTGTCATATCATAAGACAAGCAAATACTCACACCAAGTATCTAAACAAATGGAACAAGATCTGTTGTGGGTTCCACTCAAAGTCTCAAACTCGATCAAGATTGGAAGTTGTTTTCCCAAGTTCTTGGGCTTCACTGAGTACATGTTGTTTTTTAAAGTGGTACAATGTATTAGACGATACCCTGAAGATCACCACCAAAGACAAAAAAATACCATTCAGTAGTTCTCACAGCAGTTTTGTCCATACCTGCACTCATTTCAAACAGCAAGTGGCCTTACCGTCACACATATGTTTGCGATATTCATTGATTAGGATATATATTTTCATGGCCCAAAAAAGGCAACAAATATTCCTTTTAAAAACATGTAGCCGGTTGATTATATGATGAGTTTTATTGGAAACTTATTTCGAGTATATATTTGCGGGGTATAACTTTGGAAAAACTCATATAATAGAAATTTTGGACATTTTATGCCACTGTAGCGCCAGAGTATGTTGGCAAAATGTCGCCAACATGCGAAGACTAGTGGAACACTGCACATGTGCAGTGCAGACCGTAAGTGAATTAAGTGACTATACACGGGCAACAGACTATGAGTATACGTGGTTACAAGGCAGTGCCACGTTACCTAAAACTCAATGGGATCTTATGTTCTTGCAACCATATCAGAATTTGCAATAATCGATAAATCGGAAATCCAACATTGAGAATATTGGAAAATATCGATTATTTGAGGTAAATATTGGGGAGACCGTGAACTCCAGCGAACACAAAGCACAAAGAAATGCTGCTTGGCATTTAGCAATGTTGTGATTTGGAGTCACAAGCAGAAGTGGCTGCCGAGTTTTATTTCATTATACAGCGAACGTTAAACACAAAGTAAAAGCACAAAACGGGAGATTTATGTTGACAATAATCTGATGCATTTTCTATATTTTCGATATCATTCCTCAATATCGAGACTTTTGATACCATTAATAAATTTCTATCGGCGATATCTATACCAAAATAACATCGAATAATGGAGTAATATCGATATATCGACGGTGCTTACCATAACTATATTTGGTTTAAAGTCTATTAGATTTGTGTGAAAAGTAGAACAAAGTCACAAAATAGTTCTTTAGTGGAGCTCTATTATTTAAGGACTAACTGACAATACCTTCAATTGTTCAACCACCACGTCATATTCAAGTTTGGTTACCGTCTCTTTTTGATCTGTCTGCATCTGGTGGGAAAACATCAAAAGTAAATTTTACACAACCTACAGAAATGTTAACAACCGTCAAGCAGTGATGGAAGGGCTTCAAAAAGTACCCTTCTCCTCACTGCGCACCCAAGTAGGGTGTAACTGAGCAAGCTAGACCTAGACTGAAGGCCTGACCTCATAACGCATGTGTATGTGAGGTCAGGCAATCGCCTTGACGCTCTGATATCTTATTGGTTGCCATGCACTGTGATGAATTTTCGTACCTGTAAATTGGTTGAGCTCAGCACATGCAGAGCGGAGAGGCATGTTGAGTCAGTAGTAAAACCACCTTGGCCCTTTTAGCTAGGATCCATCCTGTAAAATCATCCAACTGTCACCATGTGAAGAACTGATACAGCGTCAATCCTCTCCAAAATCATGTTTTTGTTTTGCATATATTCAATTGAGGGGTGACCACTGCCTCAATCCTTCAAAATCCTCCACCACTGTAAAACATTGCGCATTAATGCTGATGATCTGCAGGGTACAGTCTACGACCTCAACACAAAGCATCCTCAAAAATCAACTGACATTTTTTTGCCATTCAGCCTCAATCCTCCAAAATCCTCTGAAACTGCCTTGTTGAATTGGGAGGATTGATGAACGAGGGTTTGGGTTAAGGCTACAAACAACCCGAGTTGTGACTGTGCAGCATGGATTGTAGTCTAGGAGCTACAACCAGTGATAACCCTGGGGCACTACTTCCAGACTAACTGGGAGTGGGAATAAAGTGCCTGCATTGACCAAGACTGAACGTCACAAATCTTGGAAAATGTACATGTACATGAATTAGCTACATTTTCTTCTCCATAAAACAAAAGAAGACTGTTTGCTTTATAACTACAGATATGAAATAAAGCTTGTACCCATGATCCTATATACATGTACCCCTCACAACTTCATCCCATCTTGAAAGTGTCTAGACCCGCGAACGTGGCCACATAGCCACGCTCCAGAGTTCAACGCATGAGATTGTGTGGGTACCCGGACGTCTCCTACCATTTCGCACGTGCATGACTCAGAAATACCAGCATACCATGCAACTGCGTGACCTCAGAAAATCAAAAGTTGTGCTTGTACGTTTGTTGTTGTTGACCCCTCAAATTTCTTGGCAATGCAAGATCCTACGCTCGCGTGAATTTACAGAAAGCTTCATATGTAAGTACTTCTAATACTGGCTAATTAAGGGCATGCTGCGTGACAATTTCAAGTGTTTTTACACGAGGCCACAGCGTGGCGTTGTTATTGATGCCTCGTTTACGGGTCTAGAAAGAGTCTAAAGAACACAAGGGAAATTATATTCAAAAGTTTGCAGATGATTCTTCATTAAAGTCTCTTTGCTGTATTTGGAAAGCACTGTAGGCAACACAAACTCACACGGTGCAGTTGTGAAGAGATAACAGCTTGAACAAAAACTAATAACAGCCCTGTGAAACTTGTCATGTATCGTAAAGTTGTTCCAATTACCCAATTACCCATCTGCAGTGAAATTATAACACTTTCAAAATCCTTACTTGTTCTTTCCACGAAGTCAATACATGTCTTTGGGTCAGGAGAACATCTCTCAGTTGTTTGTGAACTAACATTTCAGCAGTAGTACTGGCCATTTTAATTTCTGCAAAAAGAATAAAGGGCAATTACACCAAACACATGCTCTAGAATTTACAATAGGTTGCAGTATCCTATGGAGTACCGAAGTGAGCACGTGCACAAAATGTGTGTGAGAGACATTCAGCGCGTGATTCAGCCCGTGAACCAACACGCGTGCGTACTCCATTCATTTGCACTACACTTTCTGGTTCTAAATGACGTCACACTTCGGTACTCCATAGGTTGCAGTATATTGCAGTCACTATGTGCACATACCATCATGACTGCATTTCAACAAGTTGTCAAAATCTGAATTGCTTTTTTCTTCACTTTATTCACTAATGTTTAGGTAACAAAGACCTGGAAAAACTGAATTCTGTATCCCTAACATCTAGTCATCCTGTATTTTCAGGCGAAATGTGCAGAGAGTTTGCCCAAAAATTACTGCTGTATTTTTCGCAATGTCAGGGGTCATCACCTTTAACCTATTATTAATTGTTACTGGTTATCTATTAACCAGGTACGTATCTTCTACTAGAGTGCATGAATATCAACCGTGATCAGGTGGAAAACAGTGTTAAGGCTGGTAAAGGTTCCCTATTTCACAAGGCTACAGAACCGGCAGCAATAAACAGGCATGTGTCAGTCGTTGAAAATTGGTTCTTGTGAGACTATACCTTCCTTGAAAAAAAAAATCTTCCAATCCAAGGCCACGAATCTCCTAGAGAGCTAGACCCACTAACTGGGGTGCTAGAATTCCTTTTTTCCCTTGATTTTATGGATAGACCAAATCCAAAATTCCAACTAAAAGTTCTAGCGCCCATATCATGGCCATCACTAATTTTTCCCTTCACTTTCTGATAGCCATCAGAAAGCGATAATACATGTATGTCCTAAAAAGTCAAACTTTGTAGGGACAATATTGAAGTATTTACTGAGGAAACACTTGACTTAGAAATTTTCAGACCAGTCTCATCCGGTTTGTGCACAGGGTAAAAAGTGATGGCCAGATCTGGGAATCTTTTCAGTGTTTCTACAGAATAGTGAAATTTATGCAAGTTAAATCATGGAGGAATAAAAAAAATACACAACTCTTTTCCACACACGCAAATGATGCAGCAAATTTATACAGCTCACTCCACAATACAGAGAAAGTTCAGTGGTAGCCTCCATGGTGGTAGTCAGTAAGCCTATGTATATGTATAGCCCCATAAATGTGGCCAATTTCCTTGGACTACATGTACCTCCGTAAGGCCACATACACTTGGAACATGTACCCGAACATGAAGAGCTTTGTCAAATTTTGATTTTCACATTTAGACTATATTTGTAGTTTATTCATGCTTTAGAACTTGGAAGCAAACTCACCCTCTTGATAAGCGACAGAAAAAGAAGTCCCGCATTTTTCAGACGTCTACTCTTTGTTCGTGTAATTTCGTGTCGGAATTTAGATACGCAAACATAATGTGCAAACGAACCTGCAAATTACACGAAATATGGGCGTTTGAAAAAGGAGGGACTACTTTTCTATCGCTTAAACTGGGATGAGCATGATCAGTGTGCTCCTAAAGTGTAAATAAATAACAAAGAAAGTCTAAATGTGAAAATAAGAACTGGATAAAGTTCTACACATTTTCGGGTACATGTTCCAAGTGTGGCCTTTATTTACAGAGGTAGTCCAGTAAATTGGCTACATTTATGGGGCTAGCCTACGTAGTACGTAAATAACATACATGCTGTATCTGAACCACACACATGACAAATTGTCAGACGGTTACAGCCCAATAGTCCGAAGGTTCGATACTCCGAAGGCTCTTTAGTCCGAGGGTCATTAGTCCGAAGGTTCGTTAGTCCAAAGGTTCAATAGTCCGAAGGTTTGATAGTCCAAAGGTTCGATATTCCAAAGGATTAGTCTGAAAATAGAATAAGGCTCATAATCCAAAGGCTCGATAGTCTGAATATACAGTAGAGTAGGGCTAGATAGTCCAAACTAGCAATCAAGTTCGATAGTCAGAATTGGCAATAAGGGTCGATAGTCCGAATGGACAATACGGTTCGTCAGTCTGACACTTTGGACTATCGGACCTTACTGTTGATTCGGACTATCGGCCTTTACTGTTGATTCGGACTATTGGACCTTATAGTCGATTATAGGACTATTGCCACTTTATTGTCGATAGACTTATTGGACCTTATCGTATTTTCTGACTATGGAAACATATTTTCGTTTCGGACTATTGAACCTTCGGGCTGATTAACCTTAATCTAACTTCGGACTAGGCCCTACCGAATCTTCGGATAAATGGACCTTCTGTCTTCTGACTATTGCATCAAATAGTTGGATTAACGAACCTTAACCCCTTAAGGACTGGGTGTAATGGAGACATTCCTCCACACATAGAGCAAGTGGCCCGCATGACTGCACAACCTTTGTGTGGTAGCGGGACTGCACAAAAGCAGCAGCTGTGGAACTACCCACTAGCCGTGTGCCACGGCATACCACAGCTGGCAACTGCATTCCAATGAAGATTAGCGGCTGCGGCCTACTCCTAGAACTAAGTATGAGGCTCCACGTAGCTACGTGAGCTACGTGGAGCCTCATACTTAGTTCTAGGAGTAGCCGCGGCCATGACCGCTTCCCGTACGCATGGGGTTAATAATAATAATTTATTTGGAAAAAATGTTGCAACCTGACGCCACTTCCGCGAGCTAGGCCTATCGAGTCAAGAAAATTGTCTAAGTATTTCCTAACAAACTTGGAAATGTTTCTCAGTCCCAGATTCATGTTTTATCATCATTCAGTCATTTCTGCAATGAATGACCTTCATTGCATCATGGAGGAATCCTCCATGATTGCATTGAGATGATATGATGAAAACAGTTAAACAGTGGCGTCAGGTTTCAACATTTTTTTCCCTTTATAGTTTATTTCATTTTCGGATTTAACAAACCTCTTTTGTATTCGGACTATCGAACCTTCAGATCACAGAACCTTCAGACAATCGGACCTTCGGACTATCGGGCGGCCCCCCGTAAGACCCCTTATTAAAGCTACGCGGTTTTATTTCTACGCACTCACCTTCAATTTGTGTGTGACAACGCGCGCTCTGCAAGCCTGCGCAGATTGTCGAGGAATATTTTTATATGGGCTAACTCAGCTCACCAAAGTGGTGTTCCTCAAATGTGGAAGTCAGATAAAATGAGATGAGGTATGCCTACAACTTGTTTTATATAATTATATTACTTGTAAGTTGTAGTGGGCCCCCCTAATACTAGATCAGAGCATACTGAAATGCTTACAACGTTCGATTTCAACCTTTGAAACTCGGAGTTTTGCCGCGGTAGCTAGCTGGCTAGCGCGCTACATCTTTTCCTGCAAGTGCGCCCTCTGTGTGAACACGGTTATCGCGCGCTAGTGAATGAATGGGGCCGGGGCCGGGGCGCGGCGGCGGTGTCGTGCGAAATTTAACTCTGATCCTGAGACAACTTCAATTTCATCAATTAAAAAAAGGGGAGACGATTCACCCAGTTATTAGTGGCTTATTCTGGAGGTCATCCAATTGCTAAACAATATTTCAGGTTTGCACTTCCGCCCAAGACCTGGCTTGGAAATTACGAAAATGAGAGCCGACACGCAATTTAATTGAAATTTCTAATTTATTTCTACCAAAACAGATATTTGATCCATAAAATATTATTCTGAACGTAGATTACTTCATTTTCTCTTTTTGTGTGTGCGTATATATGTAGTTGTTTTTTATTTATATGTTATCTGATAGTCAACCCAATAGTTTTATTTGCATAAGGGTTTTGCCATAAAATGTAAGCAGTAATTGGCTTAAGAATTGATGAAGCAATTATAATTTTGTTCGGATTACTACATTTTGTGACTTTCAGTCACAAAATGTGCTCTTTTGGGGAAAATGAAATGACATGAATCAACTAAAATCATCCTCCCAATAATCTCAATACAGAATGATTACATCACCTAATACATGTACATATAATAGTCAGCGATATTTCAAAAATAGGGCTCATTTAGGGCAAGAAGAGAATTTTTTAGTAGAAGTTGGTAACATAGCTATTTTACCTAATTCAGGCGTGCTGAATTCAAAAATAATGTTTACCAAGCTGGATTTTAAGTGGACGTATGCCTAATTTGCAGAAATCTTAAACCTAAAAGTGCCCGGTTATTTTGACCATCTCTCAGCAGGGGGCGGGGGGGGGGGGGGGAGACAAATTCCGCGCCCCCCACCCCAAGATCTCGGCCATCGAGTGACGAAAAATTTTGAAACTCGGTACATTCATAGAGCAACTTATTATAAACATACCCAAGAAATTTCATGACTAAAGGTCAAAGGGTTTTGGAATTATGGCTAATTAATCATTCATATGTATGAATGGTAATTCTGCTCTGTGTACACTATGTATATGAGAACATTAAGTTTTCACAGCGCATAGCGCTGGAAAACTTTTAGCTGCACAGGCCACCCATGGTCCGATTTGTATGTTTTTGGTATCAAAAGATGCGCAAGGCTCGAGGCTAAAAAATCATAACAGCTCGGGTTGCGAAAAAAAAAATTCAAGGCTATCGCTGAAAAAGTTGAGGCCCCCCCCCCCCCTCGGCCCTTTTAGGGTTAATGCAGTCTGTCATATTTTTTTTTTGAACATTTTATTTGCTGATTATACTTACACTTCCTTACTTCAATGACATTTTCTAAAGCATATAGTGACTGAATAATTATGAGGACACACATGTAGTAACAATCCAAACAAGGCTACTATGATACCCTTAAATTGTGCACATTTACTTTTACTCAGATATCATCAAGTAGTCTCGCCAAACGTCAGTTTTGATGACACAGTTACCCCAACAAATATAAATGGGACATTTTGTCAAAATGATAACATCTTGATATTTAGGCCAAACAAGAAAATAGGGGGGGGGGGGGGCACTGAAGGACAGTGATATATATTTTTGCTCAATTCAAGACTTTAGATGGGGGGGGGGGAGGGCACAGACATCTGGAGGGGGGGGGGAGACATCGCCCTTCCCACCTGCAGATACGCCACTGCAGATAAGCCACTGCAACAAAGTCTTATAAACATTAATCTAACCTGACCATAGAGTGTGTAAGTCTAGCCAGTCCACGACATTCACTTTTTATGTTAACGTCTCGGTACCAATCACCGACTAGTCTAGTCACAGACTACCATGTTTGAATTTACCAACTTGTTATCCGCCTGATCGATTACACGGAAGTTGAGGTCAACAATTTTAATTCTATTATATTCATCAATTCCTAATACATGTATTTTCAGTATGTGGTAAATTGCAATGACTTCTTTTCTTTCAAAATACCCATTTTAATATTGCCCTTGATTGGACAGTTCCAGTCAAGACACAAAATAAATGCAAAAAAATAGGACATTACTTCACTACCCACATTGCAGATCCTATACATGTACACTACATGTACACGTACATGGTGCCCGGTTGTGTAAAATATCGCAGGTTTTAGAGGCAAACTTACACGCTCTATTGCCAATCATGATGACCAGAGTTTGAACTGAGTTTGAACTGACAGTTACAATTGTATTTCAGATCAGATCATCATCTTCCAAGTCAGGCATATGAAGAGGTGACAGAGGTGACAGAGGAGGCAGGGAGTCTGATGGAGGGGTGCCGGCAAAACCGTCCATCAAGGAGAATGGGGCTTCCAGTCTGGAATTGGTCCCCATTCCAAAATGGTCCACCTCCCTGGTGACACAACGCATCCTGCATTCCTCCAATTCTTGTCTGAGGTCCGACACTGTCTCTTTCAGTTTCTGGTTCTCCTGTTCACAGCTCTCCAAAACCAGGAAGAGCCGCATCAGATGGCTTTGCAGCTCCTGATTTTGAGTGAGTAACTCTTGCACAACTGTCTGTCGAGTTTTGGGAAGCTTTTGCCCTCTTGGAGTTTCATTTTGGCTGGACTCACCAGACACAAGTGGCTCTGTGATGTCGAGGCGACCACTGCCTGAGCCAAGTGTTCTGAAAGCTGCCATAATCTGTTGAACACGGTATTTTGGCTGTTCGTTTTCAATAACGTGATGCTGCCGGATCATAGCTAAGAGGGAGTCAGTCTCCTCAAAGGAACTGAACTTGGACTCGGAGCTGTCTGTTCTCATTCTCCTCTCTCCATCTTCAGGCTCCGCCCCTCCACCAGCCGGGACCTCACTCATTGGGTCTTGGTCTCTGAGGACATCAGGAGTATCTTCATTGAGGAAGCGCCCATTCCAGAGAGTCAGCACTGAATCCTGTTTGTGTTGGTCCCACTGCTGTCGCTTCTTGATAATCTGAGGCTGCTTTCTAAGATTCTCAAGTTGAAGTCTCAGCGACAGGACAGCTGAGGGGTTCTGCGTCTGTTGAATTGCCACTTCCAGTTGGTCTGCAAATCATAATAATAAGGTTACAATTAATAGGTGCACTTGATGAATACCCGCGGCACTCTGACTCAAAGTAAAATACGGCTTGAAAAGCAAATAAGAGATGAATTAAAATGAAATTAGTCATTAAATGACAAGTGATGGGTAGAACGCAGTATCCTGGCACTGCCTTTTAACCTCATTATAGCCTTGGTGATCTCATTGCAAACTGTAGGGATCAAAAAAATAAACAGGACTTTATGACTAACATTAATTTCCAATTATTGTTTATAAACTGCTGAGAAAATTTCCACGACTCTAGGTATTTACATGTACTTTCTACAAAACCACAAAACGTTTTAGACCAGATTTTATCAACTTAACATAATGGAAAATCTGATGGTTAACGTTTTTTATTGGTGTTTAACCCTTACTCTCTGAGGGTAGTTTACTGCATGTCAGTTGGTTATGCCAATGCCCTCCAGCTGCAGTTTATTGGAGGATACTTTGATGTAGCAGTGAAGGCTCCAATTGGCAGGAGTTGGAGGCCCTGGAGGGTACCTGATACTGACCAGCTGGGGGCACTTGATTGTTATCAGAGGACTCTCATTGTTCTCTGTGGCATGTATTGGAGTGCCTGTCCAGTTACCCTTGAAATGACATGGCAGATATTGGAGGGCCATGCAAAAAACATAGGAGATTTTCTTGAGGCACATATTGGCATGCGTTGGAGGGTCTAGTAGGGTAAGGGTTAATGCATGTGGAAATTAAGTTTTTACAAACCTGCAGCTCGGATGTAGCAAGACGAGGCCTGATCATATCGTCCACTTTGCAACATCTTCTCTGCTTGTCTTTCAATCTGATGGGCCTATATGGTGCGATTTAAATGTTAAAGAAAAAAAAATTAATTTACCACAACTGCACTGTGATCCAGTACACGTATCATGCCTATGCACAAATCATGTACATGTACATCATGTTATGGGCCTACGTGCACGTATAATGAAAGGCAATGGATATTTTACCACCAACCGGTCCCCGATTGTTTTCAGCATTGAACCGGCACAGCTGCACTAAACATGCGCAGTGACTGTGTTTTGGGGGGGGATTTTTTATTGGCAAGAATCTTCGTCTGGTTCCACGCTTACTTAGCCATTGTGACTTCCTTTTCATGAGATGGAATCACACCTAATGCAATTCAGACTTTATTCCCGTTAAAAAATCCTCTACTTCGCGTGTTTGATGTGAATCAGCAAAAGAAAATGACACAATCTGTAATTAAATGTAGGATTCGATTTAATTCAAAAAAAAATTAACTCAAAGCTCAGCCTGTACAACAGCCTGGTCCTGTCCATCCTGTTGTATGGCTCAGAGACATGGACCCTTTCCGCCGAGCTAGAACAAAAGTTGGATGCATTTGACACAAAGGCCCTCCACCATATCGAGGGTATTAACTGGCAGGATTTTGTGAGTAACAAAGACCTCCATCTTCTCACCAATCAACCCCCAGTCTCTCATCTCATTCCCGCCTCACGTCTTTGCCTGTTTGGGCATATTACTCGAGCAGACCCACTGATGATGGAGCCTGCTCTTCTGCTGAAGGAGCCTGCCCCCAACTGCCCCCTCCAAGAGGTCGCCCCCGTTTGCCTTGGACGGACAACTTGGACTGGAGGAAGACCTCAGGGCACTGGGGCTGAATGTCAGCCAGCTGGAGACTTGCCCAGAACCGGCTGGATTGGAAACTGTGCTGTCGAGAAGCTACATGTACGCTCTTCCCGAGCATGCAAAATTGATGATGATGATGATTCGATTTAAATTACTAAACTTAAAGTAAACTTTTAGATAGGCCTACATGTAACTAGCCCCACGAGTGTGGCCCCGGTATGCTGCGCTGAACCTCTGGCCACACACTGTGGTACCACGCACTACTGAGGACGTTTTCATAACAATTACGGTCCGTTTCTTACATATGGTTGTATTTTATGATGTCCCATCTATCACTTCTGGGATGCTTATGTGTAATGATGTTCAATTTTCCGAGATAGTCTTGAATCTTTCTGGAGCCCATATGCACTCGTGAAACGTCATTTTGAATGTGACAAGAGATGACCTCAAGCTGTGACGTCGCGTTTATGCAAATTGCTTGTCGAGCGAGGGTGCGAGTTGCAAATGCGATGGCTGTTTCCTGTGCCGTGGATCCTGAATAGAGATCAGTGCATGTGGCCCCCAGACGATAAATGCATGGTACAGGAAACAGCCATCGCATTTGCAACTCGCGCCCTCGCTCGAAAAGCAATTTGCATAAACACAACGTCACAGCTTGAGGTCATCTCTTGTCACATTCAAAATGGCTGCCATCACCAGACGTTTCACGAGTGCATATGGGCTCCAGAAAGATTCAAGAATATCTCGGAAAATTGAACATCATTACACCTAAGCATCCCAGAAGTAATAGATGGGACATCAGAGAATACAACCATATGAAAGAAACGGACCGTAATTTTTATGAAAACGCCCTCAGTAGTGCGCGGTACCACGGTGTGTGGCCAGAGGTTCAGCGCAGCATACCGCGGCCACACTGTACTAGTGGGGCTAACAACATGTAACCCCCCATTTAAACTGGTTTTAAAAAATATAAATTATACACTTTGAGCGCATTATTTTCAAATTAGAGATGCTGTAAGCATGCCATGGACCTGGACCAGATAAAGAACAAGAAATATCTTACCCGATTAAGAGGTGAATCGGGATCCATTCCTAATTTCACCTCAACGATTTTGTGGAGCATTTCGTTGATTGAATATATCCAATTCTCCGTACACCGATAAAGTAGGGCGCCCCCTTTTGAGTTGAAACCAACCAAATCATGCATCATCGTCTCACGCGAACCGTGCGTGCACGGAACTGCCAGTGAAATTCATTATCCCATTTATTTTGATAAGATTTGCACGCTGATGAAGGAAGGCAAAATATGAGAAAATGACATTTCCCAATAAGCGGCCCCCCCCAAAAAAAGGGGACACAGTCTGGGCCTAGCCTCATTATAGTTGTTGGTACAAAAAGAGACCGAATAATATGACAAGAAGTAAATCCTTGGCTGCAAAGAACATTCAAGAGGAGGTATTATAATTTTTACTCTGTCGGCCAATTTTGTACCAAAGTTGGATAGAAAGTCCCTTGTAAAGTTTGGAATTAATCATGCTGAAGAAATTAAAACCTGTTGATGTTAAAGCCCCTTAATTGTAAGTTCTAAAAAAAAAGGGGGAGGGGGGAGGGCGTGTATTTCCAATGATCATTTTCCCCGATCCCCTTTTATTCTGAAAAGGGGTGGTCATCGCCTTTTTGTGTAAAGTTTCTCATGAAACAGTGTTTATACAGTGCTTATTCGTCGGTGAAGGGCAAAAAACCTAATTTGATTTACATCACACGACAAAATTCCATCTTCTGAATAGTTAATGCGGTACCCGCTGCTATGTACATCAGATTCGAACCAGCCTACCGCTCCACTTAGCTCGGTTGTCGAGTGGTAAGACGTCTGCACTAGAAAGCAGGAGGTCGTGGATTCGAGTCCCACCCGAATGATTTTTTCAACTTTCACTTGGCAATACATAGAGTATACAGTATTTATTCGTCGGTGAATTGAAGGGCACAAACCTAATTTGATTTACATCACACGACGCAAAATTCCATCTTATGAATAGTAATGCGGTACCCGCTGCTATGTACGTCAGATTCGAACCAGCCCACCGATCCCGTTAGCTCGGTGGTCGAGTGGTAAGAGGCTGCACTATAGAAAGCAGGAGGTCGTGGGTTCGAGTCCCACCCGAGTGATTTTTTCCAACTTTCACAGAGGTAATACATGAGTATACAGTGTTTATTCGTCGGTGAAGGGCAAAAACCCCTAAATTTGACCCATGATTATTACCCGCCCTATAATAAATGAGTCTCGTATTTTTCTATGTTTATTCCCCGGCCCTCTAATTCTGAAAAAGGGTAGCGTGCATTTATAGTGATCATTTTCCCGACACCCTAAATTTCCTTTTCTAGTTATAGATGACCTTTTTGTAAGAGAGAAGCAATTAAGGTCAAACTTAGAGTATCTTATACTAGTTGGAGAAAGAAGATGCATGGAGCCTGACCAATACATGAAGAAGCTGCAGAGGAACTTTCCACTGATGGATTTCCAGTCAGTTTATACTCACGAACCGGACGGAGACATATCCCTACACTACTACCAAAGAGGGTCGACGACACGATAACATTCTTTTCACCAGAGAAGACATAAACAGACAAGTTGAAAGTTGATAAATGCCCGGGTCCAGACAAGCTTTATATCCCAAGGTTCTCAGAGAATGCAGCGCATAATATTGAGTTATAGCTACACCCCTACATCTGATTTTCAGAAAATCCTTAGATAGTGGAGTATTAAGGACTGGAAGACAGCCAGAGTCACCCCAATAAAGGGTTCCAGTACCAAATTTGGAAACAACAGACCGGTCAGCTTGACTTGCATTCCATTATGGAGTGACGGGTCAAGGATAGAATGACAGGTTTTTTATCACCATATTCCACTATCTGACAAGCAACACGGATTAACAGAGGGGAAATCATGCCTCGCCAACTAACTTGAAACTTTGGAAGTCATATGGCTACTCGGTGGATATGTTTGCGCTTTATAAATGTCCAATATTATTATTATTATTATTATAATGGAAGCGAGGTTGACGTCATATTCCTGGGCTACCAGGAGGCTTTCGATTCTGTACCGCACGAAAGACACATTAGAAAACTTTAGGACTATGGATTTGATGGAAGAATAGTATATTGGATTGAGAGCTTCCTTTCTAGATCGCAGGTACAGGTTGTGCCAGTGAGAAGTGCAGAGTACACGCATGCAGATGCATTGAGCGGGGTGTCTCAAGGGGCGGTCTAGTACCACTACCATTCATCAGTGACTTGCCAGAAATTGTCAAATCAAATGTCCAAATGTGTGCGGACGGCACAAAATTCATTCAAGAGATACAGGATGATACTGATGCACTGTTCAGTGGACTGGTCACACAAAAAATGGCTTTTCAGTGCTGATAATTGCAAGATCAGATCATGCACCTGGAAGCTAGCAATTCAAAGTGTGATTATAAATCAAACGAGCATTCACATACATCAATTAGAATACTTTCAAATTCTGTATGAAACCTACATCAGACCTCATTTTGGAATACTGCATTCAGGCATGAAACCCAGGAATGGAAAAAAAAAATATTCTCACCTTCGAAAAGATTTAAAGAAGAGCGACAAAACTGGTCCCTGACCTAAGACATCCGAGTTACCAAGAAAGACTTGAGGAGTTAAATTTGTTCTGCTTGTCACCAACACTCTTCAGCCTCTACACCGAGTGTCTCATGCGGGAGTGGTACAATCGCACAGCACACCTAACGGCTCCAGATGTCAGTGGTACACCCCTAAAGGAGATCAGATATGCTGACGACCTGGTACTAATGGCGCTGTGCAGAGCTGATGCTGAATAGATGCTTACGACCCTGGGCGATAAATCTGACGGGTATGGGTTAGCCATCCACCCTGGTAAGACTGCATAAATTATATGATCATCCAGCCAACAATTAACCGATGACAACACCATCACATACCGCTCGGCACAAATACCTCGTGTCACATCTTTCAAGTATCTGGGAGTGTTGATGGACCACACGCTAGACGACAGCAAGGAGGTTCGGAAGCGGTTAGGTATGGGCAGATCCACTCTTCGGCAGTGCAAGTACCTGCGCTCCCCCCCCCCCCCCCCGCGTCAGCCTTGAGGTAAAGGTACAGCTTGCTCGGGCCCTAGTCATATCAAGGGTACTGTATGGTGCCACCACCCTGTCGTTGAAGGCAGCTGACATCAAACGCCTATAGACAGTTTCGGCCGAACCATTTGGCGTCACCTGCTCAACATCAAGTGGCACGATCATGTGACAAAATGAAAGACTGATGGAGACGATCGGCGACCGGTGGTGCTTCAGCAGTAGTACTGTGATTGAACGAAAGGCAGCGTGTTTGGGCCATGTGGTTCGGCAGGGCGGCATGGTGGCAACTGTTGTGAATGGGATGCCAGAGGGATGTCGTCGCCCCGTGGGCCGACCAAAGATGCGATAAGTGGACAACATCCGAGAATGATCAGGGTGTGACACCAACGAACTAAAAGCAGCAGCACTGGAAAGACGGGCTGTGGTGGGAGCGGAGCCAGTGATCCCAACTGTGTATAATTTGAGGAGGAGACCACGGGCAAATGCCAGTATGTCTAACGAATGAATGAATGAATGATGCTTGGAGCAAAGGCCACATGATCGAAACATTCAAAATACTGACTGGGTTTAACAAGACCGACCTAAACAAATTCTTCAAGCTATCCAATACCACCGGGACAAGAGAACATAACATGAAATTATTTAAGACAGGGATGAAGAAGGCGTTACGATGTAGACATGCGTTTTTGTTCTCCCAGCGAGTGATCAATATGAAATGAACTCCATTTTTTTTATGTGGTCAATACTAAGTCCGTGAATTCCTTCAAGATCGAGCGAGCTTGATAATTATCGGAAGAGATATTGGGGTCACAAAGGCTAGTGAAGTCTAACCAATCTCCCATTAAATCTTAAGTGTAAGTGTAAGATAGCTGCTTTCTGTATCCAGTATCCCCCTTTGTATGGAAGGTGTGTCTGAGGGGCGGGGGGGGGGGGGGGGGGCCTGTGGGGCTGGAGCCACACAGTGAGTCGCATTCTGCTTACGTATAAGAAACAACATACATGTATTTTGTGTATTGGTGCTGTGTATCACACACACGTGTACGATACATGAAATAGATATGACTCGAACGAATAGGCCTAGGTGTGCCACAAAATGTCCGTCGCGCATGATGTAAACAACCGCGGTTTTTCGTCTTTTCTCGAGAACGGTAAGACATGCAATCCCCCAAAAAGTTATTTTCTGGGACTTCAGGCCGTAATGCCCCTTTAAGCATTAAGCCCCTTTGGCTGGTAAAAAGAAATCATACTACAGTTCCGAAACAATATACTCTCAATTTTTTTCCAGTTATGTGAAAGATGCAGCAAGACGTTTGTGCAACTTCACTGGTCAGCTCTTTTGTTGTGACTGAGCAGGAACTGTAATTGCCTGCAGAAGTCGCGCATGGGCACTAGTTTCCCCCATTTTTCGGGGGAGATTTTACATGTTGTTCTGACGGGTTCGTGTGTGATATAGGCCTTTCTTTTGTTTGTAAACATTGGCGCCATTTTGTATGGGCTGCCGTAAGCGCATGTGTAGGAATTATTTTGTAGCTTTGTTGAAAATGTTGTATTTTCAAGTATCAAATAATATTTTGGTGATCTGTAATAACTCCTCTTCATTTTTGTAGTTTTGGACCTTCCATAGTTTTGCTCGGGCCGTGGTTGGCAAAAATGCAGTTTGCCAACCAAGCGCAGAAAGGTCTATTGGTTGGTCGTGATAGCGCCCTCTCGCGGCGGCGGGTTACTGCTGAAGCGGGTTTTCGTATATCAAACCTTAACAAGGTCTAGCCCCCAGACTAAACTTGGCAGAGTATCCAGCATTTTTGTGGGCACATCCGTGCTGAAATGTCGACACGGTTTTTTTTCACCGGACACTTGGTCTCCGTGTAGTGGGGGGGGGGGGGGGGGGGGTTACTGGTACCATCTTTCACAATAGGGGGCGCTCTTCAACATTGGCCATTATGTAAAATACGCATTATGTACCCATTTTCGGGGCGCATGGTAAGGGTTTTGGGGTTTGTTTTTCATTTTCCTCGTTCACATCAGAACTCCCTATACCAGTTTGGTAAATGGTTACTGAA